ATATAGGAAACTCGTATACTTAACTATCTATCCGACTAGCCGACCGGTCGGTTAGTATATTAGTAAGTTATATATCTAACCGAAGTCTATCGTCTCTAGTTAGTAACGTATTCTTAAAGCGCGTACTTCCGCGTATTTCCTCCCTAAGGCTAAAATAAATAGTCCTTATTCTCTTATTCCTATATTATATATTATATGTTCGTAACAACGTTCTAGGAGATAGTAGTTATTAGTATTATACTTAGCGAGCTTAGGAATATATTCGATACTATAATAAATATAGTCTCGGCAAGACTAGTAGGACTAAGCTCTATACGCTATTACGGTAGTAATAAAATGCTATAAGACCTCTTACGGCTAAAGATAATTAAGTACGTTTCTAAGTATAACGTTATAGGACAGTAGAATAGCTATCGTAGCTATAGCGTTAATAGAGCTAATACCTATAGTACGCTATATATAAAGTTGCTCTATATATACCCGCGCCTACTAATGTACCCGCTAGCCCAAACTCCGCTTTAATTATACTATACTAAAAATAAAGAATATACGATCGTATTAGTAGTACGAGATTTAGAAGTAATTTTTAGAGGCTATCGATATCGCTCCGCAATATCGGGTTGATATAATAAATTAAGATATTTCTAAAGGAACCCTTTAAGAAGTACTTCTATCTCTAGCTTCTATAGTAGTAATAGTTTCTATAGATCTTACGCTAGAATTTAACTTTATAAGATTAGTCTAATAGTACTCTACTAAATAGGAAGTAATATCTCTTACTACTTAGTAACCTTCCTTATTTCTCTTTTATACCTATACTCTAGTCTAGTCTAGTCTATTCTATATTAGTAAGACCCTCTAATATTATATCTATTTTATTATTATAGGGAAGCTCTATTACGCTATCTAAGTCTAAACTAAGTCTATAAATATTTATCTTCTACTTAATTCTATAATAATCCTACTTACTATCGCTAAGAGAGCGATCTTAGACGTACTTAAGCAGCCTTCGAGAGGGTTTATATTATAGATACTATTATAATAATTAGTAGAGTAAGCGAGTAGATAGGAAGGTAGGAGTAGTAGCTTCCGCTCCTATAACTAATATAATTAATACTTATTTGATTAGTTAGATTAGACGCTACTAACTAAACTAACTACGCTACGATTAGTTAGATTAGTCGAGATATAAATCTCCTATATATATAGAATAGACGTTTCTTATATAGGTAGTTTATATTTAACCTAAGTTACTACTCTACTAAAAGGTTAAACCTTAGAGTAGTCACTTACCTAACCTATCGCTTAAAACTTACTTATCTAACAAGCTCTAATCTTCTTATACTATATATTACGAATACGTATATAGGATCGGGCGTAGTTTTGCCGCTAGCGGCCTATATCCTATAAAGGCGGGAATAGTAGCTATACGCCTTATCCCCAACTTAGTAGAAATCTACGATCGTATATATTATAGCCCTTAGCGGGAGGCCCTAGACTATAGTTACGTATAGTAAGTAGGATAGGGTTCTACTTATCTTAAGTTATATATAGGGTAAGATAGATAAGCTTAGCTCGCCTCGCTTACTATACGACGAGCGTAGTAAGTACTACTTACTATAATCGTTATAAGAGGACGAATCTTCTTTATATATAGTAGCGGTCTTATACCGAGTAGTTAGGAGCTTTATACTTAACCTTAAGTATAGAAGTTAGCGATAGGTTTTACCTACTACTAATTAGCTACGCTTCTATCTACGCCTTAACTATTTACGCCTAGTTATCTTCCTACCCTATTAGTAACCCCTTATAATAGTATAAGAGATTACTTTATTACTAGGTAATTAAGTAATTAGAGTTATAAATACCTCTAGTAACCGCGATCTAGTTATAACTACTATAGGTAATCGCGACTATTATATAAATCTTCTATATATATAGAATAGACGTTTCTTATATAGGTAGTTTGTATTTAACCTAAGTTACTAACCCGCTAAAAGGTTAAACTCTAGAGTAGTTACTTACCCGACCTATTACTTAGAACTTACTCGTCTAACGAGCTCTAACCCCCTTATACTATAGGTATATAATATTTTAATACCTTTATAGTTAGTAAGTACCCTAAGTAAATAAATAGCTCCTAATAATAAAAGAGACGTTAGTATAGCTTTTACTACTTACTAGATCCTTACTCTTTTATCGAACTTACTAAATACTACGTAAGCTCCTATATATACGTTGCTCTCCCGTAATATCGATATTACTACTTTAAATATAGATATATAAGCCTAAGGTTTTTCTATAGCTAAGTCTAGAGGAGCTAGTAGAGTAACTATACTACTAGCTTTACTTATACTACTACGCTAAGATTAATATTATTAATATATAATTAATTATAGAGTTATAGAAGCTTTATCTCTTATATTACTACTATCTATATATATATTTTTACGAATTTTAACCTAGGAGTATACGCGTACTAGCCTTAGCGAAGAAATTATTCTAAGTTAATTATATATATAGTAAGTACTAACTACCTCTACCCTATCCTCTATTATTTATATCTTTTAGTATATATAGATTGCTATTAGATTATACCTATTAGAGAAACTCTAGGATTTCTTTCTAAAGATATTTAAATCTTCCTTTAACTTTTAGTTTTAAGTAGAATAGCTAATATAGTCTAGTAGGTATTTATTTTATAATAGCTTATAGTATAATATTATAAGTAAGTTTAATTCCTTAACTTATTTACTAAAATTAAAAAATTATACTATATTTAGGGAAGAATACTATACTTCTATTATATATCTAATTTCTAAATTCTAACTAATCAATTAATTAATTAATATATAAAACTACTAATAGTAGATATACTTATACGCTACTAAATAGGTTCTAACTACTTCTTTTTACTTTTAATATAGGCTAATTAATTAAGGTATTAAGGTAAAGATAAGAGCTACTAACGTTATTACGGCGTTAAGGCAAAGGTAGAGATAATATATAGCTAAGAAAGATAAAGGCAACCTTAAAAAACGCCTTCCTTCCTTATAGACTAGCCTGCGTACATTGTATTAGCTAGACTACCGTCGAGTATATCTAGGATAAAGTCGTTAGATAAGCTATAACGCGCTTTATCGTAGCTTCCCCGCGCTTCTTCGTAGCTTCGTAGTGCTACTTAGATAGTATCCAAGGGCATAACCTCGATAGAGAGTAGACACGAAGAGTCATCGAGTTGAAATGGCTGGGCTTCGTCAGACCGGAATATCGCTTTAGCATCTTGGCGCTAAGCTTTGTGATAGAAAGCATTATATCCCCATCTCCTCGCTTGTCCATCTCGCCAGAGCATCCTCGTGTTTGGCGAAAAGTCTACAATCCACGACGGCAGACCGGGCTGTCTATTCAGTCGAAAGCTGCGTAAGGAGTCTAGGGTTTGAAAGTCTCGATTTGTGAGAGAGGCGTATTTGGCCCGAGCATATAGCTCAGAGATTGGAGCTGCATAGTCCACAGTCATGGCTTTCGCCTCCTTGGCTTTGGTTCGGCCTAAAAGTCCGCATATCTTGTCTCTACTGTCTGTCGCTCTTGTATGGCCGGTCAACTCGGTTGAGATACATAGATCCAGGGACTGGTCTGTGTATCTCTCTTTCAGCCTCCGTAGATATGACCACTGATTGAGGAATCCAGGCAATTGCGGAAGGAAGATGTTGCATCTAAATGCGATTGTCTTCCGTGCTCTTAGAGAGGCGCTGTCGGCTGGAATTGTACGGCCGCCGAAGGCCAGCTCACACTTTCAGCTCAGAACACATTCCTGCTGTATCCATGTTCTGCCTATCCAAGGAGGTTGTGTCTCGGCTAGCGCTTCCTCCAGGGCTCGTGGAAAGTTGAAGAAGAGATAGTAATGTGCCCAGGACATGCTCGTGTCAGCCTCGGATTGTAGGCCGTCGTGAGATTGGCAAGACCTATAGATTTGACCAACATGCAAGAATGGTCGGAGCGAACATGGCCAGGTTTGAGACGTATCGCGAGCCAGATGGTTGTTGATTGTGCTGTGGCATAGATGTCACCCATCAAGGAGACTTGTGCACTCTTTTCAGCAGTATTCGCCTGGTCGATACATATTGCATCTATTCACAGTACACGAGTACGAGACCTCTATCTCAATCTCCGCAGAGCGTGGTATAGATAATCTGTTAGTGGTATCTTGATCCCTTTGACTAGATTCAGGCTTCTGGACTCGGTTCTCCCGCCCCTAGTGTACGACAGTGTTTCGAAGGTTGATGCTTCCAATTTGGCAGGGCGGAGTCGCCCACGCAATTCACCACCAAAACGTGATGGGAGTTCCAGCAAGCGTATTTGTCGGCTGTCTGTATGCTGCGGGAGAGGTGAGTATGGGCTGACTGGTAGTAGAGGTCACTCTTCATCTCCATCATTGACTAGCCCCTTGCGATGCATCATCTACATTCTCTGGCCTCACGCATCATGGAGATCATTGTTCGGCGCTTGCTACCACTGCAATCGTGACAAGTGCTCGGCCTGCGCCTCATTTGCAGACCGATCTCACAAGGCTCGGATCCATCAGGCTGAGGTTCATCTGGTACCTTGCCTACCGCATGATTATGCTCAGGGACAGCCTTTCCAATACTCAAAGTCTACCACAACCAAGCCTTTCACCCGTCCTCCATCAGAATCTTGTTCTGGAGGCTATGAGAGAAGTGGAGGCACGCCTAAGAGGCTTGAACGGCGGCTTGGCCGGCAGAGAGGGACGATCGAAGTCTGGGCGTCCAATCGCCAAACTAGTTCTATCGTACACAAAAACCCTTGCTAGGCCCGCCACCTGCACACCGCTGACGTCTGTTCATGCATGAGCGTACGCGATGTGCGTTGTTCGTGGCAATGACGACGGCAGAGGTAGGTCTCGCAAACATAGTGTGTTCGGAAGGTATAGTATTTGCTCTCCTTAGTACTTAGAAACCTCACCATCGAAAAGCTAGATCAAAATGACTCGCCCCGTCGTAGAAGTCGAATACACAGATACGAGGACAAGTCCGAGAGTTCGGGAGACAAGAATACAAGAGATACCGTGGGAGGAAGTGTCGCAAATACGGAATCGAGAGCGTGCGCTAGTAAGAAAAGATTCCTCACCATCTCCTCCTCCACAGCAGTATGGACAAGACGATGAAAGATACGAACCTCGGCGCGGTCAGGAAGACTACACAACGAGAAGAGTCGAGCGACAAAGACACACAGACGATGCTGTAGTGCCGTATCGACGACAAGCCGACGACGATTATGATCGCCGAACAACACCACGAGGTGCGATGAGCCGCTATGACAACGACAGTGACAGCGACTCTTCCTACGACCACCGGCGGCGTAGAAGAAGGAGAGGAGACGACCGACGCACACGAAGTAAATATCGTAGCGAGGCAGGCAGTCGCCGAAGTCAACAACAAGACCAGAAACAATATCAAGACCAAGACCCAGACCAGAACGATGACAACGCCTCCCGCCTCTGGTACTCCGGTAAACCGCGACGTGACGGCTCCTTCTTTGAGAAAAACTTCGACTCCTCTTACGATGGTCTTATAGCTGCCGCCGCCGGCGCAGCCATGGGCGCCATCACATACCGGAACTTCACCTCGTCGGACGCGGACCCCAAGCTAAGCGAAATGGACCCAGAGACCAAAAACCAGAAGATCTTGAAAACTGTTGCTGGCGCTGCGGCGGGAGCGGCGCTGTTCAATGCGGGGGAGAATTGGTATAGGATTTTTACGGAGGAGAGGGAGGCGAAGATGGAGAAGAGGGAGCAGGAGGATGAGGGGTTTCGGGCTAAGCAGGAGAGGAGGAGGCTGGAGGCGGGGAATGGGTATATGTCCCGTCAGGCAGCGCTGCAGAATGGATTCAAGGTTGCTACTAAGTTTATGTAAAGGAAACCCGAAGTGGGACGGGGATGCATTGATTGTGTTGATGGGTGGGAAGAGCATTGCATGCGGGTTTGCCATCATCTTTACGAGGCTATGAAATTATGATACCCGTATGTCTCAAGGATTATTATGTTCGGTATGCTGGCTTGCCAGTTAACAGAGACGTGAAGCATTCGCAGGACCACTTTACTTTACTTCTCTCCTTAACCCACCTTCAACGTCACTCATAGGTGTCAACGAGAAAAGGTAGGTGCCTCAAGCTGAGTGACAGCAACGTCACTACACTGCAGACAGCTTGAAGGTACAAATACCCCCATGCTGCCTGTTATCTTTCCTCTTCTTTACACTTACAACTCCACAACACACCTCGAATTCCCACGAACAATTGCCCACTTCCTCACTCATACCCACTCATACCCACTCATATCAACACAAATCTCTCAAGCAATCCCTCCCAGACGACCTCCTCGCTCGCCGACCATGGCTCCCCTACTGAAACCACCCAACAAACCTTCGACTTCGAAACCATGGCCGTAGTCCTCTACGCCATGCTCGAATCCGGCGTCTCCCTCTCCGGAAAACACTACGAAATGATGTCCGCCGTGGACGGCTCACGGGGCAAAGACGCCTTCAATCACCAATTCCGGAAGGTCAAGGCCAGGGCTAAGGAGCTCCAAGACCAGGCGAAAAAGGGTGGTGGTGTAGGCACGCCTGTGAAAGGCAAACCACGCGGTGGTGATGGGAGCGCTGTGAAAAGTGGCACTGGTGGTGGGAAACGGAGTAAGTACTCGTGACCTCGTCAGGGTGTCTTGAGATCGTGCTAATTAGTTCATTGCGACAGAGGGCAAAGCAGATACGCCCCAAAAGGAAAACGAGGACGATGACGAGGATGAGGTCGAGGGGACGCCGAGTAAGAAGACCAAGGTCAAGGCTGAGGTCGAGGAGGCTATGGCGGCTTTTGATGGAGAGAGTGATGACTTTCAGTAAGGTGGTAATAATACCTTGGGATTGCCGGCAACAGGGCGAGATCCAGGCCAAGGTGACGGGTATGCTGATGTTATGCGCTATGAGCTGGCCGTGCTACGCGAGTGTGCCTGCGTGGCTATTCAGAGAAGAATTCACGATGATGTGACCACAATTTTGCCTTGCATGTGTCATGCTACTGTGCGCTCCAATCGGTCAGTATGTCGGTCTTGGTCGTATAACCTGGCCGGCTCTTTCACGGAAGTCCGAGAAAAGGTATTCTTTCCACAATTTCGAATACAGTTCCCATGGTATCTGATATATACAATCTACTACCCTCACGCATACGGTCCCGAAGCCGGATTATCCTTGATCAAAGTCTCTCCCAGAGGCTGCTCAATAGGCACAGCATTAACCCGTACCTGCTGCAACTTCTTCTCATTCGCCTCGTAAGCCTCCTTCTCGTACTTGGCAATCACGTGGTCTATGTTGGCGCTGCCTTGACCGGCTGGGACGTTCCAAGGAGATCCGATGTTGAAGGCTCTGTTCGCTAAGGTATCAGCAACAAGATGGTACGCATATCGGATTGGTTTCCTCACTCAGGAAACCTCAGGTCCACCACTCGTGGACCCTGCTGACTCTCATTCAAGAAGATCAACCTGTCGCTCGCCGCTTGCTCCACGGCCTTGGTATGGAAATCATTGCGTCGCTGGAATGTATCTTTGTATTCGGCGTATTTCTCCGTTATGTAGCGTGTGGCCCACGGTTGCTCGGATGTGCCTTGCCGGGTGAATTGGTAGAGGGCGATGGAGGCCGGAATTGTGGCGAGGACTATGTAGAAGGTGGGCTACAAGCGAGACAAGTTAGTATGAGACCGGAGAGGGCGAGGGAGTGGATTGTGCGTACGCCAAAGGACTCGGTGGTGGGATGTTGGTTCAGTCCACCTTCGGGCTTGAGGTTCTCGGGGTTCGCGCCTTGGGAGTCGCCTGCATAGCGTCGTGGTTGCTTCTGTAGTTGAGGTCGTATACGGCGCGCTGAGCGCAGTGCGCTTCTTTGGAAAGGCTGCATGCTTGTATGTGTGCCGGTATGAGCCAATGGCTGCCGAAGTGATCTGGGAGCCCTTCTGTGAGGTTGCACGACAGGGCTCGGAGATGGTTGATCCGTGCCGAGAGTTTGTTCAAATTGATATGTTGCCCGTATGTGATTGTTCCTCCTCATACTAAAGTCCAGGCATGTGCACGATACAGCACCGACCAAGTCTCCACAAGAGCGCTACATTGGTATCTTGGCTCAGGTCTTGAGTACTCAGACGATCCTAAGCACCAATTACCGCGCTTCCAACGTGCTCTCGCTTTCACCGCCGTGCCCGGTGGAAATCATGATGATATCCTTGAATACTGTATGACGCTTCCATTCACAGCTCCACAGGACCGCCGCAGCGAGTAGATTAGCAAGCAACGTCGAGGCGACGCCTTTCGATGGCTTCTTGAAGCATATGCGTTTTGGTCCACCGGACCCGACAAGTTGAAGCGTGCATATGACGCTCTGTACTGTCATATAAAGGACGATAATCGACGAACGTACAAGTTCAATACAGCGGGCAATTGGTTTTTGCAGTCACTGCGTACCGAAGCACGACTTCACATGGACGTCCGCGACTACACACGGTTTATCAGGCTCATAGGCACATGGCAAAAGGACCCTACTGAGCTACTATTCAAACAATCGCGAATGCACCTCTTACACCCCGTTTCGCCCGATCCACGACCAGCCTTGCTCTTCTTGCGTCAAGTGGTCAACAGCACACATCCGTTTTCACAAGACATCCTCAATGCGAAGAATGCCCGCGTCCAAATCATGATTTTCTGGTACATCGTCTGGGCCGCTCAAGCCTTAGCAAGGCAGGGCTTGGCTGTAGAGGCCGGGGAGCTAATTGACATTGGCGTGCAACACTATCCTGTCATCTTCTGCAAACCCGGATATTTCCCCAACACTCGGGTGACCAATAGCGATCTTGACCTCCCCAGGTCGCATGGTCTCACATCTCGTCTTGGATTTGGTAGCACTCGCTATGGTGCCGAAGACGAGGCTCGGGAGTTGCAACGTATCCAGGTTTTGCGCGAACCTAGCTAAACTCTATCGTGGCCGGACGATGCGACGAGTACAGTAGCTTTCTCGACCCCATTGGCATGGAAAGGGGATCTGCGATGGCGACTCGAGTTTTGAGCCGCACCGACGACTCAAACTTTCCCTTTGGATTGAACTCCGGGCCCGACTGTGCAATGTGGATGCAGAGCTTCACTTGCCACCGTAAAACAACCAATAGGCGAATTTATGAATCTGCTACGGCAGTGCGTGTCCTTGACAACTGTTGCTTATGTGACAATGAGTGTCAACATCAAGATCAGCTGCTCGATAATTGATACCGATCTGCTTCCTACCAGCATCTGCACGCTCCACCGTGATCATCTCCATGACCCTTGCACTTCTCCTGATAGCTGAACGTTCCCGCTTCAGCTCAGTCGGTTCGCCAGTCATCTGAGCAGGACGACAAGTTCGTGCTTAAGGCTGCATGGTTGCGAATATTATGAGACTCACAATCTGATGGGAAGAAACGATGACTACATAAGAGCAGCATAGACCGGATCTGCTTCATGATAAGAGCGATGATGCTTTGGTGCAATGACTAGACTACTGTGCATGGCTAGTCACATGGACATCGAGAGACGTAGCGCGATGACCCCCAATCTGGGTCTACCAGCGGTTGCTGCGGGACAGTAATAGCAGTGGAGTGCGCGTGGCCCGATATGTGAAGCAATACGACTACACTTATGGCGATGTCATTCGCCGTCTGCGAAGTGTGCAAACGAGTACTCGACCGCTTAGGGTTTGCCCGGGTAGAGTCAGGAAACTGTGCATGTAGATCACGAAATGCTCTACGATTCCGTTTATAACAGCTTCGTCAAGTAAGTACAAACTTCTTTGGTCGCACTCGTTTCTGTACCCCACGCACCTCCTCAGACCATGAACTGTTCCAGCGATCGCGATCGTCTCGGGGTCTGGTATTCCTTGCTTCGTCTTCACGGACAATTACTGTTACAAATGTCCAGCTTTCTTCGTCTTGCGGTCGCAGTACGGCGACAACGCCATATATACCCGTGACGAGTACGACTATGTCGCCACTAGTAGGCAGAAGTCGCGAGGGGCGTGCAAGTAGGTATGTCTGTTCTGGACGTGAGGGGTCTACGACTATCACTCTGAGACGGAGATCATCTCCATCACTTCTATTGGTGGTCCAGCAAAAGCTGACCAAGCCCACTCGTGACCCATATATTGCCAGTCCCGATTTCGTCAACTTGCAGTCGCCCCTGAGCGAGGTGTCATATGGGATCTCGCGAGCACTGTAAAGCCAGTACCTGTACACGCCCGTGCTTGACAGAGTTCTCCAGTCCGGGACCCATGAAGGGAGCGATACACCGTCCATATCACCTCCATACTGAGAAGCAAGACAAAGGATTACGACGCTTTCGTCGCGCTGAACGAAGTATCTGGCTACGTGCTCGTAGAGCTCGCTGATAGGCAATGTATAATCCACAAGAAGGTACTGCGGCCCGTAGAGGAAGTGGTGTGGGCCTCGGGCGTCTGCAGCCGTGTATCGCGTGGTCCTGGTCATACCAAGAATGGCATAGATTCGATCATGAGCACTTGTAAATTCGCAATTCGCCGTACTTCGAAGCGCGTTGAAGAGATCAAGCTCATGCACAGCATCCTCCAAGAATTGAGGATTTGCAATGTCGCCCACCAAGTCCAGCCTAGACAGTGTCTCAGCAGAAGCTCGCCGTAACGCTGATGGCTCCCAGGTCCGTGGTCCAAGTGCTGACGCTGGTCGACCTCCACTCCATCTCCAAGGGTGCCAGTGGCGGAGCTGATCAGTCAGTTCCGCAGCAGCGCGGAAGCGATCCCAGTCATGGATTCTGTACTCGCCACACATGACGATGATATTGCTTGCGACCCATACTTCCTGCCGAACCCATATCCGATGCTGCCACGAGGTCTCGAACAAGGCGATGAGGCCATTGAGCAGATTCTGCGAGTGGTCCAGACACATATGCATTGTTTGTAGGCCGTGCTCCAGTCGTTTGTGCTTGACATGGCACCGATCCGTGAGCCGTTTGGACTGTAGAGCAGCCGAACACGTTCGTTGTACGCCCGAAGATGCGGGACTGTGGATTCTCGCATTGATGTAGTTCGTGTCCGGAATACTGGTCAGGAGGTTCATTGCCAAATCCATGTCACTGGTACTGCAATCTCCCAGCCAGGCGATGACTTCGGAAGCTTTCTTGTAGATCAGTAGCATATTACTAACTTGCATCGCTCTTTCCACGGCATCTACTTGGTTGATACAGATTGCGTCGACCCAGAGATACCTTGCCCGAGTTTCATGGCGAAGCCTGAGTAGAGCAAGATTTAAATTGGCTGTCACGAGTAATGGATATTCATTACACCGGATTGTGTGGTCCTTGATCTCTGAGCCCCAGCAGTAAGATAGCGCTTCGTATGGTACACGGATGTTCTCCTCGTGCAACGCGATGCCAGATTTGTGCACCAAGTCGGCCGTCACTAGCTTCACGGCCGGAGCCTCTCCAGCAGAGCCAGGTTGGAGAATAGCCAATCTTGTCTGCCAGTCTTTTATAGGCCGATAGAGTGTACTGAAAGCTTCAATCCGAGAAGGAACGGCCGTGGGCTTGTGATCGGGAAAAGATGCCGCTAGACTCGAGTCATCTGGCCTGAACGGAGGTGGTCCGCCCAGCCTCGAGAGCGCGCACTGACCCGAGCAGTGATCCGTCAGGACAATGTCCAGCGCGTACGCCGTTTCATGTACTGCGCAGTATGGAATTTGACGTACTGTCTGGTCGGAGGAAGTCATGCTTACCACGTTCGCTCATAACCCTCCCACCACAGACCAGTGGTAGTGACGAGAGCAATGAAGCTCTTGACAGACGCTGCATCATCGAGAAGTGAGAGGAGGGAGACCAGAGAATGTTCAGTAGTCCCAGTAACTGGCACATCTTGAGCTGCGCCACCAGGAGAATGAGCTGAGAGGCGAGCGAGTCCCTTCTCGCTGCACATACGGTTGGCTCCTTACACCATTGCACACAGGTAGCTACAGACCTGGTGAGGCTCTTTCGCCTTGTCTCAATAGACATTCCTGCATGCGGTCCAGAAACAGATATCGTGTAGGTGTCCGCATTCACGTGATGCTCTGTGCTGAATAATGCTTTGCAATCGAGGCCCAGAGCTTTGGAATTGATGGCTAAATCGACTCCACCGATCGCAATGCCATTGAAAGAGCTTAAGTCATGCCTAGCTAAGTGTCTCCAACCACATCTCTTCCTTCTATCCGTCTCGAGTATCTTCCAGTCTATCAGCAGCCCGTATAAGAAGCCCAACCTCAACCTGATGAGACTTTTTCTTGCGATTTTCGTGTGCATAACAGCAATCATCCTAGCAGTCTATCGACAAGACGAGCTTACTGAGTATATGCGATTATTCTTGCGAACATCGAACCTCAAGACAGCAGCTCGAAGTCTTCACCAAAACATCACAGCAAATCGGACGCTTTCGACGATGTCACCACACTCTACTTTCGTCGGTCTCCCAGTCATCCCACCAGAGGACCCGTCACTCAATGCTGTCTCGCCAAAGCCAAGAGGCATCCAACAAGTCTTCCTAGCCCGGGAGCAAGGCGAAGGAGCGGGTGCGACCGTCCGACGATCGATTGGAACACCCAAGCTGAAGAATTTCACACCCTTCCTCATGCTTGACCACTTCTCCGTCGCTCCAGGTGCTGGCTTCCCCGATCATCCTCATCGCGGACAAGAGACGATAACGTACCTGTTAGAAGGAGCAGTAGACCATGAAGACTTTGCTGGGAACAAAGGCACCATCAATTCTGGTGACTTGCAATTCATGACCGCGGGACGAGGAATCGTGCATGCGGAAATGCCGCACGATGATGGAATGGGGTCGACTAACATCGGTATGCAGCTTTGGGTTGATCTACCGAAGGATCTGAAATCCTGCGAGCCACGATACCGTGATCTGCGGTCTGAGGAGATTCCAGTGGCTACCGCAGACGACGGCAAGGTTACTATCAAGGTGATCAGTGGACGCTCGTATGGCGTAGACAGCGTACAGGAGCTGGCATATACACCCGTCTGGCTTCTGGACGTCACCGTCAAGCAAGGTGGTAAATTCGTCCAGAACCTGCCAGCTGGCTGGAACTCTTTTGCATATATTCTCGAGGGTACAGTCACATGGGACACTGGTGCGACATCGCAGGAAGTGCATCAGTATCACAACACTGTCTTCGAGCAGAAGGGCGACCAGGTCATTGCATCGGTTCCAGGTGATGCAAAGGAGGGTACGAGGTTCATTCTGGTGGCTGGGGTGCCACTTACCCAGCCCATCGTGCAGTACGGACCGTTCGTCCTGACAGATCCGAGCCAAGTCAGGCAGGCCATGATGGATTACAGCTCCTTCACCAACGGCTTTGAGCGGGCAGAGAATTGGCGCAGCGAGATCGGAAAGGTCATGATGGGTTGATACTTATTTTATACATAGCATGCTCGATTAGCGAGGCGCTGGCGTAGATACATTTGAGTTTATCATATCTGTGAACAAGTCAAGACTTGTAATTCTCCTTCTCTCATTAGCTGTACATGATCGCTCGCGAGCAGTGGCTCTGGACCCGATATCACTCGCCGAGCAAGTCGTCAGCGAAGACGAAGATGTTCTCTCTCGCCTCAACATTCGTCTCGAGCACGTTCCGCACGCGCTCTAATTGCTCACGTGAAAGCAGAGGCGCCATACGCAAGACTCGCTGAGCGACCATAGTATCTGCAAGTTCGCCAAGGATTTCTCGTGCTTGGAGAAGTTGCTCGGCCAGAAGTTCCGGGTCGATGTGTTCAGCCTCGATACCATCGCTAGGAAACAAGCTGGTGTCGGACGTCATGTGCAGGTCGCCGCTGAAGATACCGGCAGGGTCGATAGTGAGACTGTCGCTAGTATTGCTGTTCTGAAGGATGTCTGGGCCACCGTCAGAGCTGACACTCTTGAGCTTGCGGGCCTTGCGTTTCCTTAGCGGCGATGATGGCATAGGCATGTCTTCGATGTCCGTCGGAGCCTCCTCGATCTCGTAAGTCGCTGCTCGATCAAGGACTCTATATGTGAAATTAGCTTCGTGTTTGATGTTGGACATCGTTCGCCACTCACTTCAGCTCCATCATCTCCAGTTCGTGGCTGTACCCCTGCAACATGATACTCATTTGCTCGCCGGCTGTGATTTGTGCAACAACATTTCGAAGGCTCTTAACCTTGCGCTTCAGGTACTGCGCAACTTGCAAAGCTTCGATATGCTCATAGCGAGTGGCTCTGTGGTGGTCTTTCTCGGCTCGCAACTCGCGCTTCTGCTTGCTGAGTCGGATCATGGCAATGGCTGTGCGAGCGTCCTGCATCTGACACTCATGTTACTGTTCCCACAAGCAGGAGATATGGGCATGTGAGGATGTCTCGCAAAGTGCAATGCTTGGTGAGAAGCGGTGTCGTCTGGTCCGAATAAAGTTCAAGCATGCGAGCCGAACGCGCAACAAGCTGGGAAGGAGCGACTGCCACTACCTGTGACTTCAGCAAAACGTGTCTTGCATACCCAACTTCTTTCTATCATAACTCCTCATGATAGTACTCCTCCTGCGAATCCTCCTCAGTCTCATCTTCGCTGCCATCATCATCACCACCCTTTGGCTTCTTCTGCTTCAACTTCTTCTGCTTCTTGGTGCCTTCCTTGGCACCGTCCTTTACGCCCTCCTTTGCACCTTCCGCGGCTTCGTCATCGTCGCCTATGATGCCACGATACTCTCGTCCTCTCGGCGTGTCGATGACATCCAGCTTCCATTGCTGTCCATCAGCTATATTCTCAAGTCGCTTCTTGAGCTCCTCTATCGCTTTCGCATCATTAACACCAAGTTTCTTGAGATCCTCCTGGTTGATCACACCCTTTTCCGAAGACGCGATCGTGTCCACATAAGTCTCCTTGCCACCACCAACGATTGCACTCTTCTCAAGCCTCGTCCCTTCAGGCACAAGGGCATGGCCGCCGACGATGATATCACCCACGATCTGCACTGTCTGCATGTCCTCTGTCGTCACTCCGAGCGCAGCGGCTGCATCAGCATTGGCTTCCCATACCCTCGCCTCCTTCTCTGCACTCTTCATAGCCTTCAGATCTCGCTCGTAATCTTCCACTTCATCTTCGGCCAAGATTGGCGAACAACTAATCGTGTTTGGCTGATCCTTCTGTGGTGGCAAGAACGCGACATCGCTGCAAAGCTTAGGTGTTTGGATGACCATGAGGTATGCGCAAGATCGTGTCTCCTTGATCAAAGAAATGCGGTCAGAGGATTGTGGATTGCAATGAAACTGCAAAGACGTCAGTATGTTCTTCTAGCGCGTTCAAAAATCACCTCCCACTCACCTGCACCTCGATAGTCCTCTCCTTGCCAGTCAGATCGCAAGTCGTGCCATTCCCGAGCCTCTGCACCAAGTACCTGCTCTCCCCTCTCTGCACAAGCTCCCCCAGCCCGCCATACGAGTGCTTCGCCTTTACACCTTCGCTTACATCAAGTGCCCTATCGACATCACTTTCCTCCTCGGGCGGTTCCTGTCTCTTGCCGGCTTTGGCCACCGCGTTCGCTCTCTCAGTGTTGTTTGAATACTTACCCAGCTCAAATCCTGGCACTGTCGGATCTTCTACCGGTGGGAAAGGAGGTACACCACGGCTGGGTGGTAACTGATGGAACTGCTTCACTCCGTGGCCATAGCAGAAACTGTAACTCCACCATCCACTGATGAAGTAGACACAGTTGCCATGCATACCAGATAACAACTCCCATCCTCTGTCCGTTGCTCGTGCAAGCTCCTTCTCCTCTTCAGCCTTCGTCAGGGTGTCGTTGCCTGTGGAGGGTGGCGTGGGCTTGATCTGCGGCACACTGCAGACATAACGTTGCCCATCTAATATCATATACTCGTATTCGAGCCGCAGTTCCTCCTTGGTCTCGTCTGGTACACTTGTGCCTTCGTAGCGCTGGACTTGAGCAGGAGGTGGCTGCCGCAGATCGTCCTCAATCGTGGTTTTTTGTTCCAAATGCAGTCTGTTGTTGCTCTCAAGCTTCGACCGCGCATCTTGCTCTAGCGAGTAAGACTCAGTGAACTTGACATCGAACTGTGGGAACGCGAGTAGATCATCGTTCGGGCTGAAGCTGTTCTGAGATGCTGTGGCTAGTAGTATCGATGTGCGCAGTATGGCGGGTAGCGCTAGGATGTGCTTCATTGTGGTAAGCTTCCTGTGATCGAGTCGTCTATGGCACTAAGTTTGTCCTTGAAGAGAGTGTGATCTTGTTGTTTGCGAGATGCGCAGTGAACAACTGTTCGTTGGTCAGCATTCAAGATCCGCTCCGATCGGAGTCTCGGCTGATCACGCTTCGTTCCTTCCCAATCCTGGAAAGCGCGAAAGGTTGCCTGAAACAAGCAGGCACCCATTATATGACAGCGTGGTCTACCTGCTACAAAACCAGTCTCCTCCCACATGTTCCTCTTAGCTCAAATCGACTGGACTCTCGTCAGAGCTCTCAAGAAGTGCACAGAGACAAGGAAAAGACAATGCTCACCGACTTGCCAGAGGAGATCATTCAGCTTATCATTAGCTTTGGTTTGCCTGGCATCCAAGCCTGCAGATCCAAGGACGAGAATCACATACGGCAGAAGACGCTTACAGCTCTGCTTCTCGTGAACAAGCTGCTTTACCGGATCTGCCTTCCATCCCTATATCATACTGTGGACAGCCGAGATTTCTCCTGGAAACAGCTCGTGGGCGTACTCAATGCAATCATTCGTAGACCCGACCTGGCGGGCCATGTCAAAGTCATCCGATCCATCTGCTGGAACGTCTCTTCGACGTGGAACGTTGATGAGGAAAATTCACGAGTCTGCGGAGTCCCAGTCTCCTTGCAGTTGACGGCACTCGACGAGATCGACTGTTCACCGGCACGCCACATTCAGTGGAAACGAGGACTGCTCATGCTAGATCAAGATGCTCAGCTCGCTCTGCTGCTAAGCCTTTGCACCGGCATGGAAATTGTTGACCTTATACTCCCTTCGTTGTTTGCTGGAAGCGTTACGCGTGCCATGTTATGCCACTATAGCGGCCTTCCAGAGCTAATGACGACTCTCACGCCCGAATTCTTCCCGCAGAAGCAATTTCTCATTGCTCCTGCGGCACAAGGTACACGGCCGGGCCATCACTGGCCCAACCTGCGTGAAGTCCGAGCAGCCAATTATGATCAGAGTTCAGGTAGCATCAAGACACGCATGCCATCGCTTCTACCAATACTCCTGTCATCTCCACTGCAGACAGCACGCCTTTCTAACATCGAAATCACCAACTCCAATGACCTTCACGGTTGCAGTTTTGCAACGTTGAAGCGTCTGTATCTTTCAAGAGTGGTCATGGACTATCGGGGCCTCACCGCAATCTTAGCAGCCTCACCTCTATTGCAGGTCTTCTCAGTAGAGTGGCATGATGTTGGAGGCATCAAGTACAGCGAGCTAGGTGACGCTTTGCGAGCCCACGCCTGTTCGCTAAGAAAGCTGATCGTGAAATTGATACTGAAAGACCGGGTATGGACGGTGCCAGGTTCTGCACTATATCCAGGCATGGGATGTCTGCAGTCCTTAGAGCAGTTACGGTATCTCTCAGCTCCGGCCGAGGCGTTGTTCGGTGAACAAGAGATGCCTGACGATGAGATCAACAACAATTGGGATCTTTCAGATGGCGAGTCAATGGATGATCGCATGGAGGGCCACGATGAAGACCTACCAGACGGATGGGCTGCTACACGCGACCAAGAGCATCCGAAACCCCCTCTCAACACTAGTCTTCCGCTCTCGATCAGCGCGCTTAGACTCACGAACGTCGGTAGGATGGACGAAGACCTCTTTGATGGGCAACTTATGCAGCTGATGACGGCGTCCTCTCGATCCGCCCTGAGGTCAATCAGACTGCGGACTGTGTCAGAGTTTACTGGGGATCTCGAGGGCACTGGATGGCGTGAGCACAACGTCAACCAATTTTGGACCGAGTTGAGAAGGGAACATGCATGATCTCTGCACAGATTCGTTCGATGGCGGGTAAAATAGTCAGCTTGTTGTGAGTTGCACCGTATGCCTTCACAAACACGTCCTTGGTTGGCGCAGGGGGATTCGAAAAGGTTAGGCGGTATGCTGGCCTTACTGCTGCTCTCTACGAGTCATAGTATCTCCGTGAATGTCAGTTATGTAGATACAGTGTGACCACTAGAACTTACTGTGCGATTTCCGAGCATTGGCGAGGTCTCTTCACTGTCCAAGGAGATCTCTAGCGTGTTGTGATTGGTCAAATGCCGAGTGACGCAGTGAACGGCCTCGAAAGGCTGCCCCACTCCTTGTTCCAGCTGCGCCTACTCTTGCACCTCCCTCATCTACATCACCTGTACCCTCGACCTCAAGTACGCCTTCAATATCAGTAAGAGCAACACCTGTCACTAACATCCCTACTTGGACGCGAAACCATGCTCGACAAGACCGTCGAGATCAGCGGCTGGCACGCCGGCTGGATCAGCAGGACTCTACCAGCCTTCGACCTCTACGCGAACATCACCCAAGATGTCCTTCTACTCAGCATTACCCTCCTCGGCATCTACAGCTTCTTCCGTCTCCGCTCATATGGACAGCAACTCAAGGCCAACCCAAGCGACCGCGCTGCCATCTTCAAGCGCCTGGACGCCACCGTGCTGAGAGGCTGCCGCGCCAACTGGTACATTGCGATGCTCTTCTTCCTCAACGCTCTAGCCATCTCCGGTGTGGATGCTTACATCGGCATTGTCGCGATCAAAGACGATGTCAACCAGGATCCTACGGGCTACGACAAGCAATTCATCATTGAGGCTGCGGTGTATGTCGCGTACATTACCGTGGTATTCATGACGACCTTCTTTGTGGTGCCTCTCCTACAAATGCTGCTCGTCACCTCCATCCTGGCGCGTGTTATGCGCAAACGTGGTCTTATCTCTCTCTCGGGACATATGCTTGAGGCTCGTGTGTACTCTACCAATATCGCGCAGATCTGGACTATTGTCCTCTTCTTCGCCATGGCCTGGTGGAAGCCATCAGTAAGTCTTCAGTGATCAAGTCACTTCAGGTCATAATGCTGACGAACCAATTCCAGACTGATGCCAGCCTCACGAGGTGGATCATGCTGCAAGCCGCCATGGGCTCTTCGCTCACATGGCTTGATGCGAGCTTTGCCTTCAATTTCTGCTTCAAGAAGATCGCCGACAAGGACTTCACGATTGGCGACGGCCGACTGACAGACATCCTGCGCATGTTCGCGGACACGGTCGTAGCGGTCCATACCTTGGAGAAAGGCAACACTACAAGCCTTCCAGTCTACAATGATAGGGCTATCGCCACCGAGACTGCCACTGCTGATGAGAAGACACCGTTGACTGCATAAGCAGCAGAAGCTGCGTTGACAGTCCCAGAAGTGTGGCCTACGAGACCAGATCACGACACATGCACTTGGGACAGCGTAAGTTAAGTTCATGATCTACTGTGAGCTCCGAAGACTGGGTCAGCGTGGGCCTACGGCGTCATGGCGCAAAATACTTGGGTATCAAAAAGATGATCGCGATTCATTTCGCACAGTTATCTTATCTAGCCGTGTACGTAGCTCACTCACTCACGAACATCCACCACCCTGGATCAAACACTTCAGCTCCCACTCCTGCATCCATTCCTGCACAAATTGCAGCTCCAATTTCTGCGTATCGGCCACAGGCTGAGGTGGGAACGTCGCAGTCGTCTGGTTCGGGAACACTCCATTCTCATCCCAATGATGCACAGCATCCGCAATCTGAATGAAGGGCTCACTTGCCGTGCTAACTCGGTCCTTCGCACCATATTCAATTGCGTGAGGTGTTGCTGGCCGCCATGGGTCCCATTCACCATCTACGATTGCGAGGCGTGGGTAGGAGATATTGTATCCTCCGTACTTGTTCACTGCCTCGAGGTCTGGTGCTCCGTAGATGCCAAAGGCGTAGTTGCAGATGAGCATCTCGTATGCTAGATCGAGCGTGCGTGAGATCATTGGGAGTTGGTCCTGCGGGACGCCGCTGCCTGTTTGCAAGAAGCCCCATTCGGTGCAGTATTGGTAGGCTGTGAAGATTGTTAGCCACGGCCGTTCAACGTTTCCTATCCGGTGAGCTTACGCCACGACCTCCAGTCCGCAGCCAGCGAGTCTTGTTCGTAGTCTGTTGGTAGTAATTAGCATCCAAGCCAATTCCCTTTTTAAAATCAATCGTGGCTCACAAGTGACATTGTAATTGCTAAAGCACTGGTCCTGAGTCTTCGTCTTACCGCACGACGAGACCACAGTCAGGTTCACGTAGCCAATGTAATTCAGCATCTGATTGACGAGACTAGCGTTTGCACTGTAGCCGCCTTGTCCGATCAAGTACTCAGCCGTCGAGCGTAGCGGTTCAGTAGCGGGGTAAAGGGTGTCTACATCACTGATATTGCCACAGTAATTGTAGAATTCCGGCGAGCTAATGGCAGGATCCCAGTTCAAACTCTGCCAGTTACCAACACCTTGGGCCAACTGGTTCGCGAAATCGGCAACATGTGTGATGTTCTCCAGGCCAAAGGCAGTCTTGAGCGTATTGGTAAGAGCCGTGTCGTTCTTGCCAATCAGGATGTTGTCGACGATATGCGTGAGAGTCTTTTGTGCTGCAACGCAGTCTTGGGGCGCATAAGTAGCAACAGGCTCGTAGTACTCCCAGAAATCGTAGATAGCTTTCGTAACGCCGGAGGATGAGATGGTGCCCTAGAAGAAGATTAGCGAGCTCAAGGAAGTGTGCCGGCTTGTACTCACCCAGAAGACGTCGGGATATTGCACCCTCAGGAATGCATTGAAAGCACCAGCATATGAGCCGCCGTACCCAAGATAGGCAGTAGTCTTGCTAGTGAGATCGCCATACTTCTCCAGACCAGGAAACTGAATGTTCTGAGCAAAGTAGGCTTCGTCAGCCATCGCCTGGTCGGTAGTCAGGAAACGTAGGTTCCCAGTCGACAAGTCTGGAGTTGGGAAGCTGGTTCCGTAGTAGCGATGCTCGAGGACGACGCCGATTCCATTCGTGGCGACTGCAAGCTCGTGAAGCAGTCCCTTTTGCAAAAACGGCAGTCGTGTGCTGGCATCAGTCTCTCCAGACTGCAATATGATGACTGGCCCGCCAGGTTTATAGTAGGTCGCGTCAAACCAGTATCGCAATGGGAAGCTGCCATTACCATGAGGCTCGTATTTCGTCTCGTTTTGGAAGTGGTCGATAGGGGTGCTGAAGTTGTACTCCGTGTACAGCAGAGACGGATCGATATCTCTCTTGCGTATTGAATTGTGCTGTGCTTGTCTGTCGCCCGCCACCTGGCCTATTGATGACCTCTTGCCATTGAGAGAGGCCGAGAGCGCATTCGTCCATGGCGACCATGCCAATGCACAGGCGGTCAGTGTTGTCAATTGCATCTTGAATAACTTTCACGAAACTGCCGACTAGACGTCGAAGAGAGGGGCTGAGGGACGTAAGAGGAAAGAGTTGAATACATGTACCTGCCTGCAAAGTGCAGCTTGCACTCGGGACCACTGTGATACCATTACACGAGCGAGTCCGTATCTGGCAGGTCGTGTGCTCGCATATCTTTCGCGCGCATCACAGTGTAACGCTACCATTCGCGAGCTGCAGACTACTTCGACCCGAGGATGATGATCATGTTTATCTCCTCCATGACGTTTTGTGATCCATCCTGGAAAAACGCCAAGACTGCTTCGGGCGTTGGCGGAGTTTTGGACCGATCCCTTCCCTCTCTGTTCATGCCCTCTGGAAGGCGATCTTAGAGGTGTAGGTAGCTTACATTCCCACCATCACCCTTGGTATGGGATCAATTGTATTCGCCAAGCTTTGACTGCAGCTTCGAGCGCTAGAGAAAGCATGTTACTTCAACACGAGACTCCCGTTGCTGACACGGGTCGTGGTGCAATCTCCACTGCCGTACTCATACGAGAGCAGGATTATGGACAGACATGCCTACCCAGCGTGGAGGATGATGTGAGGAAGGTAGGCAACTTGACACGACATTGTCCCTGACCCGACTCCGGCTCGTTATCCTTTCTATTCATTCGCAATGACGGAAATATGTAGACGTTCTACAAGAGATTTCTCACCTGCAAGTCTCCTGATTGTATACAGTATACATCATCTATGTCGTTTCTAGTCCATCTGCTCGGCACACCCTAGGAAGTCACGCGGTCCGAGAGTCTACCCAAGTACGATATAAACAGCCCGTCAACGGGCACGGAGTTCCTTTGCCAAAGCTGATCTCGAGGCTTTTGTGATCCGGCTTTGAAAAGTCGCCCGAGGGTAGTCTGACCGCTCAAACATATACGCCATGCGAGGTCTCGAAAACTTTCATGGCAGGGAGGCGCTTTAAGGTCGCTTGGGGTGCAACGACCGGGTTGGTAAGGGAAACAAGCCCCTTAGTAGTGAAAGCGGGTTTGCCTTTGAGAGAGAGAGAAAGAGAGAGGGAGAGAGAGGGAGTGAGAGAGAGAGTGAGCGATGGATCTATCCACCCACCATCCGAAACCCACCCCCAGCAGCAATCTTCTCGAACCCCAAAATCCCCTCCCCACTATCCGCCCTGACCCCATTATTCGCCACCACGACCCCACCACTACTCCCACTCCCACTCCCACTCCCTGTCCCACCCCTGACCTGCACCCCCATCATCCTCACCCACTCCTTCATCAACCCCGGATCCCCGGCCAGCGTCGCATTCCCCATAGCATAAGCCACAATCCCCGTAACATGCGGCGTCGCCATACTCGTCCCGGAAAGCGCATTGACGAAATTCACCGCCTGCCTCTCACTCTGACTCCCTCCCACTTGAGGAGGCGGCCACGCACTGATTACGTTCTCGCCTGGGGCGTAGATATCCACACAGGTGCCGTAATTCGAGAACGTGGATCTTTGAGCCGTGATGCCGATGGATCCGACTGCTATCGCCGGACCTTGAGTTCCTCCCGCTGAGGCGGGGGAGGATGTACAGGCGTCGGTGGCGTCGTTGCCGGCGGCGACTACGACGTGGATTCCTGCTACTACGGCGGCGGTGATGGCGGTGTTGATTGCGATTACCGGGGAGCTGGAGGCGAGGGACATGGACATTACTGATCCTACGAAGGAGGAGGAGGAGGAGGAGGAATTCGAGTTATTGGGTTCGGGTGTTTGTCTACGGCGGGCATCGTGGGTTTGGATCACCGTATCTATCCCGGCAATGACGTTCGAGCTCCAACCCCCTCCATCGGCGTCTAAAGCTTTGATTCCGAAAATATTGGCGTTCGAGGCCACGCCCAGCACGGCTCCACCAGCTGTCCCAGCGACATGGGTCCCGTGACCATCAGAATCAGTCATATTGCCATCGAACGACCAGAGCATTTTCGCGCGGCCGCCGAAGACGGAGTGTTGGGTAAGTATCCCGGTGTCGACGATGTAGATATCGGCTCCCTGGCCTAGATTGCCGTTCGCGAAGGAGTAGGTGTAATCCATTGCTTTCGCGTTGCTGTTGCCGCCGACGGAGGTGGAGGTGGAGATTTGTTGCAGACCCCAGGGGGCGTTGGGCCGGGTCTGGTATGTCAGGGAGGGTTGCTGGCGGGGGCCTACGGAGATGGGTATGGGTGCGGCTCGGCTGATGGAGGTGGCCTTTTCGACGAGCGAGACGTCGGACATGTTGGCTAGGAGGTCCAGACAGTGGGATTTCATCGAGGCGGCGAAGCCTTGGAAGGCGCTGTTGTTGTAGATGTGGCGGATGTCGGGGTGGGTGGTGGTTAGGGCCAGTCTTTCCAGGACTTCGTGGACTAGTGGTGGCTGTGGATGGGACATGTCGATTATGACTATGTGTTCGACGCCACCGGACTGATGAGCCTGGATGGGTGCGGCGAGGATGCGGCTCGCGCAGAAGATTGACGTGAGAACTATTCGTGACTTCATGATTTTCGTAGCTTGCGCTCGCACTACCAGAGTGTGATGAGGAGCTGTGGTCGTGAGGAAGGCCGATCAACAGCAGGCGTGTAGGAAGGAGTGACTACGGTTAGCGAGTGTGTGTTGTGGTCGTTAAGACGTGAATATCATGGACATCTCGCCATAATGCTTTGTGAAGGACAAAAGAAAGGACGGCGCGAGGTACGAAGCATTGCTATAGCACTGATATAGCACTAATGGACATGGAAGTGTGATACTCAGTCTCTACTCCTGAGACATGCTAGCAGTATCGACGAGCGTAGAAGGCAGCCAACGTGTGTCATGTTGCCGCATGTAAGACTGAAGACGATGATGTTGCTCGTTCGGTATCGACGACAAGCATTGCATCAGCTGACGTTCGTGTCTTGTACCCCCTCACGATGTCGCTTATTAGAACAAAAGGAGGGGAGTCATTGGCGAGCAAGAGGTGAGGTGGATGCGGCGCGTCTACCAGGCGCGTCGTCGTGTCGGCCAGTGAGGTGTGGTGAAACGTCTCGGCTGAAACCAGACGGCGTGCCTGTAGAACAGAACTGAGCACCTCTCGCTGGAATCTTTTCATACTCGAGAAGACGCGCGACTTCTTGCCCGAAGATCGTCTGGCTGGAGCTGGAGCAAGTCTAGATCATATAGACATAGACATAGAATCCGTATACCATGGTGAGGAGGAGGAGGAGACCCTTGGTTGTATTGGCAGCCCTCGCCCACATCATCCGAAAATCGAGGTCAAGATGAAAGTGGGGGCCAAAGTCGCCCTGCATCGGCACAAGGCAACAGCCGCGCCGACGTCCTTATGACCGAGCACGAGAGAGGACCCACTATCGTCACTTTCTAGACGCTCTTTTTGGAGGAACATGTGATCGATTGCACAAACACCCGGCCAGATGGTTAGTAGCTGTTTACGCTTGGTAGTAGTAGTAACCACACTAGTACGAGTTGTAAGTGGATGCAAATCAAATCTACCATTTCCTTGCTCTTCTTGTTATATACGGTGCTGGAGAGAGAGTGAGAGACTGATCAGCACCAACACACTTTCCTTTGGCCCGCCGGTAGCTGGAGGAGCACAGCCGAGTCAGGCACTATTATTACTCGTATTAACACTTGAGCACACGACCTCTCCTCTCGACTCGACCCAGACACCACTACACCAGCAACAACACACCAACACAGTCACTACAGACACAGACCAGCATGCACATCCCACCACCGCCCTCCCCCAGCGACCTCCTCCCACCCCTCCTAGCATGTCTACCCACAGCGTTCATGTCACCCCAGCCTCCGCCCGCCTTACTTCCTCTCCTCTCGCCCATCCTCCGCCAACGCATCCAGTACATGAACCCCGAGCCCAGCACCAACAACCGTGGTGAGACGTGGCTGCCATTACTACAATGGGATCGCGGGCTAGCGGCCAAGCTTCCCGACGTAGTGGAGAGGATCCAGCCCGAACCTCATCCTGTTTCAGGCGAGCTGGAGATAGACGAGCTGCGACCAGCAAAGTACAGACGGTTGGACGAGGAGACATTGCAGGCACGGCTGGAAGTGGAGCAATATGAGATTCTACCGATATATGTCTGGTGTGAGAATGATGAGCATGGACAAACAGGACCAGGGTGGAAACTCGCCGAGCTGAGAAGTCTGGAGGATGTGGAAGACGGCACAATCTGGTCGGAGAGCATACTCCAAGCCAACGACGCGGCAGAAAGAGAAACCAACACGCACTCCCTACCCGTCCCTCATTACACCAACGGCAATGGTCACGCGACCTACTCCCACCAACCTCCTACTACAGACGAAGAAGAAGAAGAAGCATACGACGACGGCAGCTACTGGGCCGCCTACGACGCGACACCCGGCCGAACCCCAGCCAAAGGACCCTCCCCCGCCCCACCACAGCATCAGGACCAAGCGAACAACAGCAATACTTCCCGCCAACGCACCCAGTCAGAACAAGACTACTATAACCGCTACGGCGCCGAAGTGGAACCCGCGCTCGACGGCCACGATCCAGATGAGGAGGTACCGGCTGAGGTGGCGGTGGGGGGGAGTACGTTGAATGGCGGGAGGTTGCCGAATAACACTTCTTCTTCTGGGTTGGGAGGGGAGAGGGGGATGGGGCAGCCACCGGGGAGGGTGGAGACGGCGAGTCGACCGCAGCAACGCTCGCTCTTCCCTGCCGACGCAGATGCAGAGCGTCCTCATGATTCGGCTGTCTCGACCTCCTTAGCACAATCCCAAGCCCTGCTCAACGGGCCCTCCGAGCTCCCCCAACCCCGGGCCATCAGTCCCACGACCTCCCACACCAGCAGCGTCGATCGGCTGGAAGAAGCGGCCGCCGCGATGGATACCTCGCATCACAACGCAGGGAATGGCAGTGGTGGTGATGGAGGGGACGATAGAGCTCTACGCGGGATTAAAATGCACATCGCGACTGACATTAAGAGTTTATTTCGACTTGCGAGGAGTGCGGGGATGGAAAGGAGGGAGTTTGAGGAGGTGGTGGGGAGGGAGTTGAGTGTACTTGGCATGCTCGAGGGGGATGATTGAGAGAGAGGCCATCTTGTCCTGAATGTGTAGGATGTCGTTGTTGTTGTTGTAGTAGTACTACTATTGTCATCCGTCTCTCCAAAAGCCAATGTTAAAAAAAGTCGATGCAGATGTTTTCCGTGGCGCTCGCTATAGCTAGGAAGGGATTTGGTTTTTTGGTGCCACCACTAACTACTACACTCCTCCACCTGCGTTCTGATACTCACCGAGCTCAATTCGCCGCCTCACACCCAAAAACCTGCCTCATTCTCGCGTCAAAGAAATGGTAAAGACGGGGGGGGCCACACCCTCGAAGTCTAGGCGAAAAACAGGGGAGATCCCAGCGTCTGGGTACTGGGGGAGAAAAAAAACCCCCATATGCTCTACCCGCGTGAGGTAGCCTGAAACGGCAAAGGTCTTTGTGTTGATGAGAGTAATACTACATATACACCTCTCCGCATCTACGGGATGAACACCAGACAACCCGCGTGTGTCTGATCTCCTTTGCCTCCCGCTGCCTAGCGAGGCGAAGGGGAAATCTCTCTACCTTGTACGCCTTTCCCATATTCCCTCCCTGAGCATGGCGGAGGAAAAGTTGCCCCCCGTGTGAAGCACTCGACGGGGTAAAAAAGTAGAAGACCGAGACTTTCACCTCCCTCGGCGCCACTGAACGACGAAAATCCCATTCTGGGCAAAAACCTGTGTCAGGAACAAGCCTCTCGCTGTCAATCCCCCGCCGTCCCATTTTTTGGTCTACTCGGTAATGGGGAACCGGCAGGCAGCATAAACGCCACAATGAAGCCATGCCCTTCTTTTTCTTCCTTCTTTTTGGGTAACGCCGGGTCGTTTAAGGTTGTGTGTCGTATTTCATAATTCGTAAACTGCATGTGGTCATTGTCTAATTCGCTGATATCGCTTTGGTGCAGCAAGCAGTCGGTACCACTGCTTTGTGTAGACTGGAGAGGGAAAAAGCCGAGATTCCATCCTGCCTTCTGATAAGCATACACAACGAGAGGGTCTTGTAGTTCCTCATGGCGGAACTTGGACCTCGCATGACACCCTTCTCCCTCCGGCCACACTAAGTCGTCACCATTAGCCACCCACAAACCCCAGCCAGCCCCAAAAGAAAACTCGCATCGCACACGCATTATACTCCCCTTCTCTCCTCAAATCTCCCCACTCTCCTGCGCACTCCTCCTCAACCTCCGATTATACTCCTTCCTCTCCTCTCCCTTCCTCCCCTCCCCAACACCCCAAAACAACTTAAAAGCCTCCGGATTCACCACAGCCCTAGGATCAAAAACCGGCTGCTCGTCCTCAATAGCAACCATAATCGCCGTCAGATGACTAGAAATCTCATCCTCTTTCTCGGGGAAATAACACAGGGTTCCTTTTGTCTCGGAATCCTCATCCGCGCAGCTAACGCGGTGGTGGAAGATGGGAGTGAGGAAGTGGAGGCGGGGTTGGGTGGAGGGGAAATCGAGAGGGATGGTGAGGCGGAGGTGCCAGATTCCGCCGTCGAGGTTTGTCATCGGGGCGCCGAAGAGGGCGAGGTGCCAGAGGAAGGGGTTGTCCGGGTCCGGGAGGTTGAGTTCGAGGCGGGAGGTGTCGTAGGAGCCTTCTTTCCATTTATGCTGGAGCTGTTTGAATTGGAAGGCGAGCTGGACGGCTAGTTGGGTGCACTTCTCCGCTTGCTTGGCGCCTTCCCGTGCCCAACGTTCTCCTTCCTGGTCGAGGGCTGTTTTGATTCGGCGGAGGCGTTTGAGGAGATCGGGGTAGTCGAATTTGCCTTCCATGCTATTGGGTGGGTACTCGAACTCCATGCGTGTGAAGGGGGAGTGGCGGGAGTGTTGAGTGATGCCCGCGTTCACGGTGGCGATGTAAGTGTCGTAGTACCAGAGGAATCGCCGCTTCATGAGGTCCGCGAAGGGATCCCATTGTGATTGGTCGAGGGCGGAGTATGTCGCCTCGGCATCGTACTCGTAGATTGAGGCCTCAGTGGCAGGAGTACTAAGGCCGCTGGAAGCGTTGGTGGTAGCTTTTGGTGACTTTTCGGCGGGCGAGAAGCTCCCATTATCTGTTCGCGGACGCTTAGGTACGTGGAATGAGCTGACGGTGCGATCTCTATCGATGTTCAGGTGACCTTCGAGTCGGTTGCAGACCGATATGCGGATAGTCTCGTGGTGAATTTTCTCGATATATGCTTTGGGATTGGGATCTTCCTTCTTGTGTCCCTCGAAGCCGGGCTCGTTCTCGTAGGGGTGAGAGGACATTAGACTCTGGATGCTGAGCATGATGCTCTCGAGACCTTGCGCAGAACTCCACTCCTCACCCTTCTCACCCCGCCACGTGCCTAGTATGGAAAGACAGACCTTACCCTCGGCGTAGATGTTGGGGTTGAAACGGGTCCGGCAACCATTAGTCGTGAGAGCCCGCACTACCGGACTCTTAATCGGGTAGTCTTTGGGCATCTTGATATCGAATTCTGCTGACACTTAGCCGTACTTTCTTACGCCACTATAATGTGAAAGCACTTACCGAAGAAGCCATATTCGTAAGGAGTCTCTGGAGGGCCGATGATGAGGCCGCGGATATGTCGCACATCACTATCTCGGCAGGCGACGGCGAGGGAGAGATCGGCACCATGCTGGACTTGTCTGATCTCACGCGTGATTCGTGCAATGGCTCCGGAGGTGTTGGCATTCGCCATGTTGAGATGGCGAGAAGCTGCTAGCGATGAAAAGTGGAAGGATGATCATGCAGGCATATTGACGGCGCCGTCGTGCGGATGTGTTTGCTTGGAGCACACTTGCACGACGGGAGCAGAAAATTCCATGTGTAGGACAAAAACCGATGGCAAGTGCAGCTTAGCTTGTCGGAGCCATTGAGTTGGAAGCTTTCCCCACATTAGGTCGTCGATCAGGGTCCAACTAGCGCTGTGCCTTCCATGTGGGGTCTGTACAGCAGGGCTAGGCTATTCCTAACCTGGAAAGCATTCACTGACATACAGCCTACGAACATATGTCTTAACAAAGCACTATTAATATTGCGCTTCCCATCGTGCCGACCGCACTTGTTACAATGTACATCCCACCCACCACGTGCTCCCTCACCATCACTAACATAACCACCCCAGGGTCGTCTTCGCTCTCCTCATCATCAACAAAGCCGGCGGCCTAATCTACAACCGCACCTTCGCCCCCGGCCTCCAGAAACTCGACAGCAACGACTACCTCATCCTAGCCGGAACCTTCCACGGCATCCACGCCATCAGCCGCACCCTCAACCCCGCACCCTCGGCCACCACCCAACCTCTCCCACCCGCAACGCGCAAACCACCCACCACCGGCATCGAAAGTCTGGAAAGTAGTCATTTCCGCGTGACATGTTTCCAGACTGCTACGGGGGTGAAATTCCTGCTTTTCACATCCCCGGAGCAGCCGAATACCGAGGTGGTGGTGCGGAGGTGTTATGAGATTTTCGCGGATTTCGTCATGAAGAATTGCTTTTATACGCTTGAGATGCCGGTGCGGGTGGAGAAGTTCGAGCGGGCGCTGGCGGGGTATTTGGTTAGGCCTTGACGGTATCAAAAATGGAGATGCCAGTCAGGTGGGGAAGTATATTGTTGCACGGTATGTCCAGGCGAGTACGATTCGTACGAAGATATGGACACGTTGAAGAAAGGAGCGAATAGGTCGCTTGTGGATTGGGCACATGAGATCAGGACGATACTGGCGTGTCGCAATGCGCATATGCCATGCCAAATCTGCCTGCTGCGGTCGACACGGTTGCTCCGTTACCTCTGACCACTCGTCTGCGTATGCAGGAGGGGAGATATGCTGTGAATCGCGGTATGAGTAGAGGAAATCGAAGACGAGGGACGAGAGACGCATGCCGTGAACGCGTATATACACAGTAAGGATCGCGCAAAGCTGTCTACGTAATGCAAGAGGAACGAATCGACGCAGATTCGCGCGCTAAGGAAAGCAGCCAGAAAGCAAGCCGAGTATTAGTGATGATGTCGTGATAAGTCGCAGCAGCCGTAACAACTTTTCCTCATCCTCCCCTCTCAATCTCCACCCTTCACTCTGATTTTGCATAACTTCCCTCGCTGATGTGTCATGACCGCAATGGTATCATGATCTCCACCAGCCGTTCGCCAGCCCTTCACATCGATCGCATCGTACCTTCCTGCCACTCCCTCTCTCCCCACTGCTGTCCCTTTCACTTCCCTTCACTTTCCTTCCCTTCCACTTCCCTTCCGTCTTCCCTTCACTCTTTTCACCTCATTTCCACCTAACAGCACCCCTCAGCACACTCACAACAATCAGCACAGCATTCACACCCCTCCTCGCAAACAAAACAACAGCACAACGTCGCTAGACACGCGCCCAAGCACCCGCGATCCTTGCTCTGGCGTTGCCGGGGAGGAGGCTGCTGCTGCATGTATTGGCCCTGAGGCGGGCCACCGTATTGCATTTGTTGTTGCGGGGGGTAGTAGCCGCCTTGTTGGGGTGGGGGGCCGTACCCTTGTTGGGGGTAGCCGCCGCCGCTGGGGTGGAAGTTTAGTATGTATATTCTGTGGCAAGACGGGTTGGGTGGATGTGACGAGGGTGCGGTTCGTGGGGATGAGATGGTGACTTACTATGCCTGTGGTGGGGCCTGAGGTCCGCCGTAGTAGCCTTGGTTCGACATTGTGGGATTATGTGTAGCTGTGGTAATCTGTGATGGGTCTGTTGCGTGGTCGCAATGGTAAGCAAACGATGCGGCGTCGCAAGTCGAAATCTCCGCTCTATGTCGCTGGTCGAGCGTGCACGAAGATGCGCTTACCTGTTGTGCTTATGCGCTGTCGCAAAAGTCGGATGCTCTGATTCGGATCGTATGTATGTATGTGTGACAGAAGCAACTGACAGCTGATAAGTGTCAAATAAAGCTGGCTAGACTGCGCAAGATTATGTCAAGGGGTCGTGCTTGGGCTGAACCCTTGTCTTTCAATTGGTTGGCTGGTCAAGGATCGGGCTGGGCGCCGAGAGAGTTACGAGTGCTTCGTCGTGCTTGCTTGGGGACTGAGTTTGAGGGCAAGAATGAATTGTGAGGCGAGTGGAAGAGTAACAACACGGCAGTCAATGGACCACGATGTCATTGAGGCACCGAGATTCGAGACGCGTACAGTGGCTAATCGAACTCACTTACGTGTGGTGCCCGCTGCGCCATTTTCACATGGTTTAACACAGCCACAGCCACCACCACGACATACTGTAATGCCCTGAGTAGCTGAGAGTCAGGACAATCTTGCTAGGATCGATGCCAGATGTCTCGTGCATGGCCCGGTCGGCGATACTATACTCCCTCCAAATTTGCCACAGAGCTCCTCACATCTGCCCACGGAAGGGCACTATCGCCTAGTCGTACACTGATGCACTCGGCTACGGCTGCCCCACTGCACCTGCCTCCTTTATCACCGCTCACCTGTTCTTGGGGGAGAGCAGGCTTTCGTCGATGCAATAGAGAATGCAGTCCTCATGCTCGTTACACGTATCGGGTGCATGGCGTAACTTTATCCCGAATTCGATGCTGTAATGCTCTGCAGCGTCGTGGAAACGGGAGTGGATGGTCAGCCTGCGAAGTATCGACTCGCTGTGCAGAGCGTCCAAGTCATGGAGCCAGGAATGCAGCTTTCCGCCGCTGGTCTCGGCGCCACCATCCTGATGACACCGTTCGTTGATCGCATAGAACTGCGGTAGTGCCTCGACGCGAAGCGCCCTACACACCAGAGTGATGCTGGGCTGACGGGCTTCGGTAGGGATGTTCATGTCATCGACGTTGCAGGGTGAGCTGCGTGTGACTGCGTAGCGACTGATGCTGCTCCAGATCTCCGGCGGCAGGTCGAGAAGACCACGAGGTTTCTTCTGGGTGACAGTCAGACCCAAATTCATGTCGATAGGAGTGTCAGGCAGGGTTGTGTACATCATCTTTAGCCATTTCGCCTGGCTTGTTACGGCCTTCGAGCTTCATGTTGTGCGTAGGAGTTTGTGAAGTCGAGCTTGGATACTGGAGAACGGAACGTAATTGCATGTGATTGAAGCTAGTCAATCTGACTCATGAGCTGCAGCTAAAGCTGGAAGGCACGACTCCTGAATACTGGTGACTGCCAAGCATGAGGCTTGGAGGACCCCACCTCTTCACGAACAGCATCGTGCGGGAGCATATCATAGCTGCCAAGACCACCAAATCGAGTTACCCAAATGATTTCATCCGTGGTGGCAGACTTTGTCCATATGACTAGCAGCCACTTCTTCGCAAGAGCATTGAAAACATCTCCCGACCTTGCAGCTTCGCATGTATGTCGGTCGAAGTTTCGAGTAGACAGTAGCGTCAACACAAGCCCACACCTGACCCTATAACCTCGCTCTGCCGTCGACCAGAAACTCTCAATGATGAGATATTGAAGCAGCAGATCAATATACTGCTCTGAGATTCGACAGAGATTGATGCGAAGGCGTATGATGAAGATATCCATGGCAATTGCGAAGCACTATCTGTTTGCGTAGTACAGCTGCAGGGTTTCCCGTCGCAGAGCACAGCAGGTCTTGCTTCGTGCTGGCGGTAACAGTGATGAGGGAGGCTGGACGTTGAGCCTCCTTTCGCCGGTGACGGCGTAATAACATCTGCGACCCCGTAATTCTGGAGGCAAGTTAGGCAGGCGGAATGATTTTCCCTACATATCTGTCAGTGATTTTGTTCGCCGTGCGAGGAATGGATGTTGGTGTGACATCCTCCGCGTACCGCAGTGTCAGCAAGGCCAATATCATCTAAGGGAGCCATGTTGGTCGCTGTGTTGAAGGAGTAGCGCTGTGCCAGGTCAGAGAGGGAAAAGGCTTTGGCTCCTGATCTTGGTTGCTTGGACTCGGACCAACCCAGCAGCGGGAATCTGAACTCGGAAGGCACGATCCGGGAACAGTCAATCATGTGCGAGCCTCACGGCCTAGAAGGTGAACGCATTGTTGGAGTCTGGGTTGCCCTGAAATCAGAAGAAGATGCTACGACTTCTCATAATCAAGTTACAGCCGAGCCAACGCCACGCTAAGTCGACAGTTAACAAAACATTCGCAGCAAGTCTCCCAGAGCAGACTAGACAGCACTTGGGAGGGAGCAACCCTGCCGGTATCTGTCATTTGATGAGCCGTGTGACCTTCTTACACCTCCACCCTAGCCCTCTTATCACCCTCCAACCCCATCTCTGCCACACCCATCACCTCATCATCCCCATCCCCATCAACAACATCCCTACTCCTCTTCAACCCCTTCATCTTCCTCGTCTGCAAATTCCCCAGATCCTGCTTTCCCAGATGAATGCGCCCAACCTTATCACCAATGATATCCGTCTCGATATTCTTCTTCGTCTTCGGGTCCATACCCTTGGGCTTCCTCATAGCCTCCTTCAACATCTCTGGGTCCGCTTCCTGGATCCTCCCTACCCTGAAATCTACGCGTGGTCCCATTTCTTCTACCTCGACACGAGGGAGGTTGGAGGCGGGGACGGATTTCTTAGTGCGGATAAGGTAGCTCCGCATGTGGATTTGAGGTTTGCTGACCGCATCATCGCCGTCCTCCTCGTCCACTGAAAAGTGGATCATGTACTGCAGGCCCTCCACATCCACCTCGGCGACATCCGGGCCCTTGAACATGTCCAGGAGTACACTCTTGGCCAGAGTATACGCGTTCGGCGTCGGACTCTCGAAGCCGGAGCCGGAGAAACTCAGCAGTGGCTTCAGTCCTTGCGCCGTCTTTTCGTTCTTGAATTGGCTCAGTGTTCGCATGGTCTCGGGAATCACGGAAAGCTCAATCATATCCAGGACTTTGAAGCCGAAGAAGCGGATGAAGGTCAGGCAGTGTGGCCGTTTCTTGCTATGTGAGGCAAAGACCATGAGGGAGGCATCATTCTTTTCGCTGAAGAACTCGAGGCTGGAGGGGTCTTCGAAGGGGTGGATGTCGTTTTTCTTGCCGAATTTGACCGCTAGGGGTCGTTTGAGAGCGTAGAGGTCGGTGAGGAGGAGTTGGAGGATCTCGCTGCAGGTGGTGTATTTGAGGAAGAGTGTTGTTCGGGGGTTCTCGGTCTGTTGTGGGGCTTTGTTGTCGAGGTATCGCTTCGTTCGTGCGTTCTTGGGTTTTATCTGTCGTAGAGGTAACATGGCTGCGATGTGCGTATGAGGAAGTGCAATGCGACAAGACGATATCCTCTTCTCAAATGGTCGCGCTCGAGACTTTCTGATGGATAGTCCGTGCGCGAAATCTTGGCGAGCGGAATTAATGTCGGATGGCGTCAGCGAGCTCGGCGACGACGATTGATTATGCGGTGCATCTCGTTGCTTGTTCAGTAATCGCGACGATATCTATCACGTTCCAACAGTCTTCCTTGCACGACCACTCGCATCTGCCGTTAACGACCACACCACATCGTCAACGAGCACAATAGCACCTCGACACCATGAACTCGTCCGCCCCGCTCTCTGCCAACACGCCTGGCCCAGCGGCGCAAAGCTCGACACCTTCCACATCAGCCACCACATGCACAGTCCAGCAAATCGCAAGTGAGGAGGAGTTCGACCAACAGATCACTGCCCTTCCTTCATCATGTCTCTCCGTCATCTACTTCCATGCTCCCTGGGCCGAACCCTGCAAGCAGATGAGCACGATCCTCAGCACTCTCGCCTCCACATACCAACCAGGCAACCCACAACGGATAGCCTTCTTCGGTCTTGATGCCGAGGAAGTCAGTGATATCAGCGAACGATACGATGTTTCGCAGGTACCGCTCATGGTGCTGCAAAAGGACGGACAAGTGGTGGACTCAATCACAGGCACAGATGCGAGCAAAGTCCGGAACGCAGTAGAGAAGCATGCAGGCGCATCGAAGTCAGGCGATGCAGGGAAAGCTGGTCTGCCGCCAGCACAGAAGGTCACAAAGCCTGCGCCTAGCCAGAGTCTAGATGACGGCAAGGCATCCATGAACGGCAACTCCAGTCTCTCGAAGTACGCGCCAAACTCCTCCGATCCAGCAACGGCGCCACAATTCAGCTCAGGCGAGATCAATGGCGCGACACAAGAAGCCTCGCAAGAAGAGCTTAACGCACGATTGTCTGAGCTTGTGAAGGCGGCACCAGTCATGCTGTTCATGAAAGGTACACCTTCGGCACCACAGTGTGGGTTCTCAAGACAGTGTGTGAGTATACTACGAGAGAAGGGGGTGCGGTACGGCTTCTTCAATATTCTCGCAGACGACGAGGTGAGGCAGGGTTTGAAGGAGTTCAGCGAATGGCCAACGTTCCCACAGGTTTATGTGGATGGCGAGTTGATTGGTGGGCTTGATATTGTAAGTGATGCTCAGATTTATGGTGACGATGGTGTGCTGACTGTTGTGATCTTAGCTCAAAGAGGAGTTCGAGAACGATACTGAGTTCCTGAAGGACTACTCGGTTAGTGCTCAGGGCAAGACGGGTGGTCCTGCGGCGCCGGCGAAGCAAGCAGTCGCTGCTTGATGGCGCCTCGATTGGGTGGACAAAAGGGGCACCTTGGACCTTGATGCGGCCTCATTCTTGATCGGATCTTACTACGTAAAGGAACGGCTCGATTAATTCAAACGTATAGCATTAGCAACTATTCACGTGCACAATGTGTATCCTCTTCGTATTCTTCTGTGTGCAGCACGCTCTGATCGGCCGCTTGATCGGCCGCATCTCCGCTGAAGCTCGATCGCGACCTTGACATCCACATGTCCTTGGTCGCATAGCAATCTGTAAAGTACATGGCTTCCGCCAGCTAACCAGGAAGACATGTCTCGCAGCGCCGATACGGCGTCCATACTATCACATGCCTCCACGCGACCTGGCACCTTCCATTCCCACCCCAGCCGCGGCCCAATCTACACCCTCGACACCTTCTCCAGCAACGACTTCATAGTAAAAGACTTTGTCGAGTCTCTCACCGACACTGCAATACCACAGCGACGATCAGGACCAGTAGGTAATAGTACAGCACAAGTCTTCGACCCCAAACCACTCATCCGCACATTCGAGCACACGCTTTCACGACTGCGGACTTTATCTGAGGATCTGGAAGTACGAGAGAATGAGCTCTCGGGTAGTGTACGCCGGGCCGAGAGCCAGCATAATAGTAATATCAAGTCGCGGGAGCAAGAGCTGGAGAGGACGATTGAGGCTTTTCATCGGCTGGAGAGGACGCTGGATGGGAATGGCGATACCGGCGGGAATGTGGCTATGCAGATTGGTGAGCGGCTGGACGAGCTAGATCGACAGCGGCAGAGGGCGCAGGATGCGAAGTTCATATTGCAGTGTTGGTTGGAGGTCAGTGAGCGAGGTGATCTCACCGCTTTAGATGATGTGAGGAGGCTGGGGGGTGGAGAGGGCAAAGTTAGGTGTGCGCATATTGCGAGACAGCTGCTGAAGATCTCGCACCGGCTTGATCCTGTCGCGAATGGGAAAGGGCAGACGAATGGAGTTCACCTCACGAATGGAGCAAATGGCGATCACGAGGACGACGATTCCATGGAAAGTGCTGTCAAGTCGCGAAACCGTGGCGGACAGCAACCGCGAGAGATCATCGAGAAGTTCCTGGAGATGCTGGAGAAGGACCTCCTACATTCTTTCGACGACTTCTATCGACGGCAGAACTTCGAGGGCATGCGGGAGTGTGCAGTGGCGCTCCGAGACTTTAGTGACGGCGCGTCCGTGATCTCCCTCTTCGTCAACCAGCATCAATTCTTCATCGACCGTGCGCAACTTGTCACGGAAGATCTCGCCGTCGACACCGAGACGTGGGATCGACTGGCAGATCCTGATACGGAGCCGCCTGGCGTTGAACCGAGTTTGCAGAGTTTGATCGATGAAGTGAAGGTTGTGTGTCAGGAGGAGAGTTTCATTATCAAGCGCGCGTTTCCGTTCCATGAAGAGGTGCTGGCGAGGTTTCTGCAGCGAGTATTTCAGCAGTCGATTCAGCAGAGGCTGGAGATGGTGCTCAACAAGGCCGACTCCATCTCTTCACTGGCATTCCTGCGGAGTCTGCAAGCTTCAAGATCCTACATCTCTGCATTAGTAGAGGATCTCAAGGCGCATGGCTTGACAGAACATCCTGACCCAGCGTCTAGTGTCACATCTACTGTGCTCGATCAGCAGCTGGACGAGCTCTTCGTGCCGTACTTCACAGGATCATCTTACATCGAACGCGAAAAGCGCAATCTCAGCGAGCTATTCGAAGGTCTGTTATTCAAGTACCAGATCTACCACTCACGAAGAAGGAAGATGCAGCCCTCGACATACCTTGGTCAGCTGGCTGCGAGAGGTAATGAGTACATCAGTAATGCACGAGAAGCGTACCTGAAACGGCTCGACACCAGTGACCTACCAGCTGGTCAGAAGACCATGCTCCTGCGTATTGCTGGGCTACACAATGAGAAGGAGCTGACTGGACAGAAGGAAATCGATGTGACGGATGAAGATGGTCGGCTCAGTCTACCCGTCACGAAGCGTTTGCTCAAATGGCTGGCTGAAGGTGTGGGACGTGGCCTCGAATTGGCTGGGGGTGGCAACGAAACACCCAAGGAGATTCGTGAACTCCTCCACCTCTTGATTGCGAACGCTGGCGAGGTCTACCTTGAGACAGCTCTCGACAGCATGTTCGATCATGCCGCTGCCGCCGAAGCGAGCAAGAGTGCCGAGCCGGACTTCAGCTACATTACAGATCTTCGGCCAGCAATAAGCGTGCTACATCTTCAGCTAACCACGATACAAATGCTGCTCCTTCCACTAGCATCGAACAACCTCATCATCCGTCGTGGGCTCGAGAAGGAGACCACCGCCTTCACAGACCGCATGGAGAACAAAATCGACATCATCCTGCAGAGAACAATCGACGCAGCACTAACCTGGACCTCCCGCCTCCTTTCCAGCCAACGCAAAACAGACTTCCGCCCCCGCGACGACACGACCCTCCAACTCGACCACCTCCAAACCTCCACCTGCCAAAGCATCTTCACCTTCCTTTCCCGCCTCCACTCCCGCACCACCACCGCCCTCTCCAGTCGCACCCTCCACCAATCCTTCAGTCTCGAACTCGCCCTCGGCCTGCGGGGCTTACTACTTCAACACTTCAAATCCTTCCCCGTCTCGCAGACCGGCGCCCTCGTCGTCTCGAAGGACATCACAAAGTACATCGAACTCTTGCGAAAGTGGGAACTCCCCGCGTCCTTTGACCCGAGTCTGGAGGTTTTGACCGAGGTGGCGAATCTGTTCGTCATTAGTCCTGAGGCGCTTAGGGAGCGGTTGAGGAATTTCGGGACTGGGTTGGTCGGGGTGGAGAGGGGCGATTTGAGGCCTTTTGTGCTGAGGAGGGAGGATAGTGGGAGTGTGGGGGTGCAGGCGGCGTTGAATGCGTTGTGAGGATTTTGTTCTCGTGGTATTTAATGTAGTAGAGGGCATTGCGCCGAAGTGTCATCAGGTGGATGTGCCTGATCTTGATGGACAGAGGAGCGCTTGGCGGGCCTCTATTGTATGGTAGATCCTGTGATTGTATATACCCGGATTCTGTCTGTTCTTCACTATAATGGTGCTTGGTCATACGCTGGCTAGTGTCAGTGGAACCTTGATAGACTGGGCTCGAGCTCGTCGTCTCAGAGACGCGTATTATTGATATGACGGTTGCGAGTCCAGGGTGTGCAGAGATGCCGACGGGTCGAGATGGCGCAAGACGTAACGCGACATCGCTCTCCCGACCCATGCTACGACATTAGCGGGAGGCAGGCGGCCACTGTGGTAGAGTCGCTCGAACACAGTATCAAACATTATGGGATTGAGTATATAGACTACACATATTCGTACAAGCTCGGAGCTCTCCAACACACAAAGTAGACTCTCTAGCCAAACATCCCCAAAGACCTGCCACACCAAGCACGCCATCACAATCCTCTCCAACATAACATCAACACATCCTCCCATGGGAAACCCTTACTCATCCCCTAACGACTCCTCCCCTGTTCCAGCGCCGGCTCATAGTAAACCTGATACTGTGGCTGCGTCTGCTGCCCATAACCCATCTGCATCTGCTGCTCATACGGATGCGGCGCGTACTGGATCGGCGCCGGCGCATTATCGATAGGGATCAGCTCAAGCGGGTGGCCGAATTGGTCCACATACACGGTACGGGTATGAGGTGGTGGTGGTGGTGGATGTGAAGGAGCAGGGTGGTAGCCGTAGCCCTGCGCATGCTGCGGAGGACCTGCGGGCTCGTATGCGAGATGCTCGGGTGCGTGCATGTATTGCAGCAGTGGGGCTGCGCCACGGTAGGCTGGGTGTGAATGGGCTGGTAGCGGAGGATCTTCGTAGCGGGGTAAAGGCTGCTCAGGCGCGTCTAGGTAGCGGTAGCGTGGAGGTGAGCGGTGGGTTGATGTCGGGTAGGAAGTTGCTTCTGCTGGGTGGCTGTATGTACCCTGCTGATTTTGTTGGTAGTGGGAGGTGTTACGGGCCATGGTAGCCTGTATGTCTCGCGGCTCGTAACGATGTGGAGACGGAGGAGCTTGATATGTCCGTTCAGCGGCATAATGCTCGCTGGCCGCCCGTCTGTCCTGTGGTCGGTACGTCGAAGGCGATTCTTGAAATACTGCCGAAGGATGCGGGAGGGTGCTTCGAGTGGCATTACCGAATCGTTGAGTGCCTGCAGACAGTGGTGTACCGCTTTGAGCCCTTGGCAAATGCTGAGTAAGAGACGCCAGGACTGAAGTAAAGTCCAGCTCGGCAGATAAGATGCCATTAGATGCAGCATGGTCATTCGTATCAATTGGCTCGACTTTGACAGCAGTCGATTGATCCTGCTGCTGCTGAGGCTGAGTCATGTGGCTTGTGAGGTTGCTCAGCATCGCGAGCGTCTCTGCCGAAAGATTGACACCTGGTGCGATCGTAGTGCCAGCGGAAGGAGTCGACACAACGGGCGATGGACCCTTCTTCCTCGCAACATCCGAGTCAAACCTCGCCATAGGATCCTCCTCAGCGTCCATCGGATTCCTCGGATCATACTGATCAGCGGTAGGCGCAGGCGTACTGTCTAAGCTCGCACTGCGTTGCGGTGTCCCATTAGCATTCTGGTTCTTGTTCTTCTTCTTGCTCTTCGGCTGCTTGGGCTTCCATCTTCCAGTCAAGCGTTTGATGAGTGCACTATCTTGCTCAGAATTGGCAGCAGACTCTGTGACGTGCCCGATTTGAGGCAATTGAGGAGGAAACGCGGCTGGAAAGGCCTTCGCAAGAAGGCTAAGCTTGATGTCGTCCATGCCCTGCGAGTGCATCAGCTTAGCGATGGCTGCACTTTCAGGCCACTCGATCATGTCCCTATGCCACTGCGGGCCATCCGCACGATCGTCCTGAACATGCACAAGTTTGAAGTGCGTGGCCAGAGACGTGAAGTTACGAAGCTGCACGTCCTTGATGCGGGCATAGTAGCCCTCAACCTTGGCAAGGCCTTCATGTTGCAGTCTGGTACACAGTTGACAAGCAAGCCCAGATGCCTCCTTCAGCGGCTGTAGCTTAGAACTCGTAGCTAGAGCATCAGTGACCATGTCCAGACCCGGCCAGTAAACGAAAAGCTTGGCATAATTTGCGGCGGCCGTATATATGGTCGTCTGAATGCGGACACAGTCAAGCATTTCTTTAATGCCAGCAAGAGCATCCCACGTCGCACGTGCATCGGACATGAATTGCGACATTTGATCTTCACCATACGAACCAGCAAAGAATGCTGCCGAAGCGCCTGTGCTGTTCGAGAAGCTGCGTTGCGGATCGCCAAGTCTGTGCTGCTGGCCGGCATGGGCTGGTGCACCGTGAACGTAGCCATTCGGGACTATCGAAGGATGATCGGAGACACCATCTGTGTTGACCGACAGGCCGTGGTGACCAGGGTTAGATCCTGGAGTAAACTGTCCGCCGTGATGTGCCGCTGCATTCTTGAACGATATGGTATCATTGTGGCCGGATGGTGTCCACGTTCTGCCTAGTGCTTTGTGGGCAGCTTGGTGTCCTTTATGCTTTCGGCGCTGCTCGCCCGGCTTCTTACAAGGCTGAGGATGAAACGGTGGTACCACTGGCCATTCACTAAGCTGCCAATGCACTACCACATTCTCTGTGCCGAACGATGATGTATGCTTGGCACCAAAGTGTTGGATCAGACTCTCGAAGCCGAGGAGCTTGCTCTGCCAATCATTGGGGCAGTCGGCGCACATGAAAGGCTCGCTATACTGATGCCCCAATCGGCCGCGTACTTTGTTCTCATACAGCGACTTCATGTTGTCGAGCGAAAGGAACGGTTCTCGATAAGGCCTGTCTTCGATGGACATGGAGATGCGGCGGTGCGTCAAGCTAACAGGATTTGGCAGGTTTGCTGAAGCTTTGTCCTCATCATAGCGTGTTTTCGCGTGCGTGAGAACCTTAATGACAAGCTCTGAAGCTTCTTCGCCGCTGGTCACAGGCTGGTTTTGCAAGTCGGTACCAGTAATCTCATCGGCATACTCGGCAAGGCGCTTGCGCAGTGGCTCTTGCGCGCGGTCGTAGTCGGTACCATAGACTTCTTTGGCTGGCTTGAAGTATCCCAAATTCTCGGTGGGTACGTCGTACGTTCTTGTCTGCAGAGCTGCGAGGTCCATGGTTCTCTTGTGTTCGATCAACTCTGCTGCCTCTCGTTGTGCAAGTAGTCGTGGCTCCAGGACTTTCCACTGTGCGTCGTCCATTGGTATACTGATCTGCATGGACTCCTTAAAGCATGGCATCTGGTGCAGGATATTCTGCGGTAGAGGCGGCTGGAGCTCCTGACATCGGCGCTCAATGTCGGCCCTCCTGGCAGCACGAGCAAGTTCGATATCCTGTTGTGTCCGCACCGGCTTTGTGGGTGGTGGAATCATGGCATTAGCCGGCAACATGGGTGGCGCAAAACCTGGAGGCCTAAGCGTATGTACGGGCAGTGGCAGCGGGAGTGGACCTGTGTGGCATTGTTAGGCTCGCTTCAACACGTTGACATTGAGTGTCTGCAGTCAGTGCCATGAGCGTCGGCCGTGAAACATGCAGAAGTAGATGGCAACATTGACAAAATGAAGGTATACAATAGATGAGGACAAATCAGGCTTACCATGGAACGTTGCAAGCGACTCGGCGCTGCTTACACCAGCAGACTTACTGTTATCATTCTTGACTGGCAAGGAAGGCACCTGTGGATCAGACTCTCGGAGCACCTGTGAAAGATCCCGTCCTTGGCTGAAAGAGGCCTCCCAACGCTCCCAACGGGCACAGTCAGTCATACTCTGCTTACCCTTCGTAGCAAGACCTTTCTGCCATTCGTCGGCGACGCCAGCACCATATGCTTTCGTCTCCTCGGCTTCTGCCAGGATGTGTTGAACATCAGTCTTGGAATAGACCTTTGATGCACGTAGTGTTGACGGGATGCCGACGGGGGTCTGGCGCTGGGTGTCTCCCACGAAGTTCATGTCCATTGTCTGAAAGGCATATGACAGCCCAGCTCGGAATGGTCCGCCAGGAGATGTAAGGACCTCGATATCCTGAACACTCTTTAGATGAAGTCGCCATCGCGCCGGGCGTGGACTTACCTTGACTGTCCTCGCTTCAAAGCACGTGCCGCACCAGCGCTGACCAAAAGGCCAGATGACTCGAAGACCAAGACGTCCAGGGCCTGCATTGAATGGAAACGAAGTCGCCTGAGGCAGAAAGGCACGATCACAACCCTGGCAGGTCCTTCCGGACATTAGCTTCAGCATACCGAGTTCCGTGTGGCCTTCCAATGGCCTTGGCATATTAGGCATGAACTTCTGACGGGACTCCCTGAAAATCGCGTTGCTGTCAATAAGGCGTACCGGCTGAACTTTCCTCGTATCTTTCTTCGGAGTTGGCGACAGATTCTGGTAGCTCGTCAAGACGTGCTCGAATCGCTTGCACACGCGGCGGCACCGACAAAGCATGGCCGGAGAGAGGCGTGTGAAGACCTGCTGCAGCAGTTCTGGGGTGAGCTTGTCCGTAAAACAGGATCCGGAGGTGGAAAGTCGAAGTCTCTTGGACGAAATATTTCCAGGTAAGTTCCCGGCCACTTCGGATTCATCTAGAGTATCACTTAGCTTTCGCTTGTTCACAGCGGGCTGGCTCTGGTCACAGGCCAGCTCCTGCTGGGCTAGGCTTGGAGTCGATGCGTCGAGCTCGGCCTCCTGCTCCGACTCTGACATGTCCATGTCCGATGAGGAGTGATCTTCGGTATGGCTGTCCGTAGAGTGCTCGGAAGTAGCAGCGCCGTTAGTCAGTGAGTGATCCTCGCGGGTCTTGTCGTGGGCAGAAGCGCCCACCAGATCCAGGTGGACGGATGCTGAAGACACTGGCTCTTGCTCCGGGGTAGTCCTCACCTCCAAGCGGGCTGTGGTGTCCATTACAGGCGCGTCAGACGCGTCGGGCGCATCGTCGCCATAGAAGTCCTCCTCCGGCGACAGCGGCTCGCTGGCAGTCGGGCTATCCATGGCTCTTGCTTCTATCTAGTACCAGCTGATGATGTTAGAGTGGTGCGTGCAGCGCGAAGAAAATGAACCGCGAGAGCGCAGCGTGTTTCGGGCCGCAGCAGCAGCAGCAGCGATCCGGGACAACAAGAGGAAAAGAGTGTGGTGTAAAGCAGTACTTAAACCGCGCTGACAAGGGTTCAGGGAGACAGCGTGATGCGATGGTCAGAGATGCGAGGGTGTCAAGGCCTCAACTGGCGTTGACGTATGGAAATGATGAGGCGGAACGGGGAAGCCTCACAAAATCGGGGTCGAGGGGAGGAGCTCGCAAGTGCGGGAGTGGCCGCTCGCATATATAGGGCTTCGGGTCTATGTTCCGACCGTTCTTACGTAGTTCAAGGGCAGTTCAGGCAATGCTGCATATTGCAAGTTACCTTACCAGCAAACCACAATCCTTCCTTCGCCTGTTCCCTATAGCAACACATCATGGCGACGCTCAACACATCTACCAATGGCCAATCCATCCGGTCAAGCTACGAGAAGATTGTCAACGGTCCGGCACAGTCGTGGGCAGTGTTTACCGTCCAGGCACCACTTGTATCCGCCTTCCAGCAGGACTCTGGTATGCAGTGGCATGTACAGAATTGATGAAGATGGCACTGATGCAGTACGTTTCACAGGCAAGGAATCAATACTCAAGGTTCAGACGACCGGCGAAGGTGACCTAGTAGACCTCGTCGAAGAGTTCTCAGATGGCCGCATCCAATTCGCTTTCGTCAAAGTCAAGGATCCGAACAGTGGCCTACCCAAGAACGCTCTCGTCGCCTGGTGCGGAGAGGGAGTACCCGAGAGGACGAAGGGCTACTTCACCAGCCATCTCAATGCCGTCTCGAAGATTCTCCATGGCTATCACGTGCAAGTCACAGCACGATCCGATCGAGATCTGACTCCCGAGATCATCATGCAAAAAGTGGCAGACTCTTCGGGCTCCAAATACAGTGGCGGTGGGTCTGCGCTGACTCCTTCCTCAAGCGGTCCACCACCAGTCGCCAGTAAACCGGTTATGCCAACGAAGAGCTTCGGAGCTGCTGGCGGCTACTCACCACTAGGCACGAGATCAAGGCAAGCAGCGATCCAAGCAAGCTCAAGCGATAACGATGGCTGGGGTTCAGATGCACCACAGGTGTCACGATCGCAACTTGAGAAGGTGGACTCGGCTTACAAGCCCACAAAAGTGGACATGGCAAGTCTGCAGTCTGGCCACGATGCATCACGACAGGCACCTCAGCGAGAGAATGGAAGCCCGGATGTCGTGCGTGGAGGGTATCAGCCCATTGGCAAGGTGGACCTCAACGCCATCAGGTCGCAAGCTTCGGGACAAGGGCGTGCTCAAGATGATCGACCAACAGTGGTCAAAGGTGCATACGAGCCGACTGGCAAAGTGGATATCGCTGAGATCAGGAGAAAAGCGCAAGCTGCACCACCGCACTCTGCAGCACCCGCACCTTCCCAACCATCTGCTGGCGAGGACGAACGACCAAAGAGCTTGGCAGACAGGTCTGCAGCTTTCCAACAGTCTGGGGAAAGACTCACCACGCTGCCCAAACCACAAGTCGCCAATCGCTTTGGATCGCAAGCGAGCAGCTTCACAGGTACGAAGGCACCAGCTCCTGGGGGCTTCGAAGCCAAATCCTCTGCTCCTGCTGCACCAGTAGGCACAGCAAGTCGAACGTTCGCCGACCAAGGTGGCAAGACACCAGCACAGCAATGGGAAGAGAAGAGAAGGGCTCGTGGTCTTAGCGGGGCTGCGGATACTACAGCGCCCGGTGGACCTACGTCGCCAATTGCCAGTCAACCGAGCGGAGGCTGGCAAAGCCAGTATGAGGGCAAGAAATGGGGCGTGCAGCTGCCAAGTAGGACTGGCGGTAGTGGCGTCAGTGCTCAACGAACAGGCCAGGACGAGCCACCTGTTCAGGCCCAGCCTGAGGAAGAGGAAGAACAACAGACATCTTCCGGCGGTATCGGCAGCATCCGCAACCGTTTCAAAGATGCTCCGCCCATGGGCGCCGCCCGCGAAGCGCCTAGCGGTGCTCCAGAGCCACCACCATTGGACAACTCCAGCAAACCGAACGCCGGCGTCCGTGGCGTCGCAATGCCTGGCCTACCAAGTCGACTATCTGAAGCTGGGCGTCCAGCAGAAGAGCACCAGGATCTGCCACCTCCTCCACCACGCCCAATGCCTCAAGATGAGCCCGAAGAGGAGGAAGATGAAGAGCCCATGCCTCCCGGCTCTCCAGTCCGTATCGCCATGCCCGTGGCCCGTGAAGCCGTCCCGGAGCTCACAAAAGCCGACCCCTTGCCGCCGCGTGCCGTCCCCACCGCATCTCTAGCGCAAGCTGCGGACAGCTTTCCAGAGCCTAGCCCAGCACCACAAGTACATGAGCAGGATCCAGCCCGTGGTGCTGGCATTGCAGCTGCAAGCGAAGGACCGGCCGATGTCCGTGCGAGTGAGCAGGGAGGCAAGACGGCGATTGCACAGTATGATTATGAGAAAGCGGAAGACAACGAGCTCGAGTTGCGCGAAGGTGAGAGGGTTACGGACATCGATATGGTGGATGAGGACTGGTGGATGGGGAGAAATGAGAAGGGCGAGATGGGTTTGTTCCCGAGTAATTATGTCGAGCTTCAGGAAGGTGGAGGCTCTGGTGCTGGTGCTGGGATGGCGGCGCGTCATGAGCCGGAGCCGGAACCTGAGGAAGAGGAGATACACGCTCCTCTGCCTGCTGCACCGGCGGGTGTTGCTGGAAGTGCTGGTGGGAAGACGGCGTTGGCCCAGTATGATTACGAGGCTGCGGAGGACAATGAGCTGTCTTTCCCTGACGGAGCTAAGATCACTGATATCGTAAGTCATACCCTTTCGTGAATGGACGGGTTGATCTGTGATGATCGATATGCTAATCGCTGTAACAGGAGTTCCCCGACGAAGATTGGTGGTTCGGCCACTTCGGTGGCAAGAGCGGATTGTTCCCTGCTAACTATGTCACTCTGGACTAAGACACTGCAGGCCATTGAGTCCAATGCGGGAGTGGAAGACGAATGCGACGGTCAAGGATCAGATGTACAGGCATGATAGATAGCTAGCCTGCTCTCGCCCACGCAGAGCACGAAAAGTTCTCCTCAAGGCAACTACTCTAGCTGGCATAGCCACGAACCATTCCATGTCCTGCCCGCTCATACCACAGCATCTTCCTTCCGTCTACTCATCATCCACACCCTCATCCAGCCCCAACCACGCCGTCCGACATCTCACAGCCTCAAACCTCACATTCCGCTTCGCGTCATCCAGGCACCCCATTAGCCGCTTCACGACCTGACGTCTGAACGGCACCACCGTCTCTGCCTTGAGCTGTCTAGGTAGAAGTGCAAGACAGAGGAGCGACTTCGCGCGGACTTCGGTGGTGTTCCGTATCCCTGCTGATCTTGTGGAGGCAGTGGTGCAGCTGGTTAGTAGACGAGTGATGAGGCTCGCGGCATGTGTGCTTAGTGTCTGTGGGTCGTGCATGAGTATTGATTCGAAGACTGTCAGGGCTGAAGCTTTTATCACGGGTTCATCGTGGAGGTCTAGTGTTTGTAGTAGTGCTGTGATGAGGTCTGTCAATGCTGGGGAGATGATGCTGTAGGGTAGCCATCTGAGGATGCCGGATAGTGCGACCAAGTAGCCTGCTTTCTTCTCCGTGTCCGCTGTTCTGACGGCGGTGGTGAGCTTCGGGATGACTTGGCCAAAGACCTTCTGTTTGTGTAGGCCAGATATTGGGCAGTGATTCTCCTTTGTCAGAATGTCGTCGGGCGCCAGTAAAGTGCTGAAGAGATGAGGAGCGGTGTTGTCAGAGGTGGATGAAAGGTGATCGAGGATGATGTTCAGGTACTTCGTTGTTAGTGTACCGCTCTTGCCTTGCAGGACTAGGCCTTTGATGACAGCAAAGGCAACGTTCAATGCTTGCGCAGAAGATGTGTTCTGGAGCAGGCTTTCCGCTTCCGTCCCAGCGTCCTCCAAAGTACTCCGCATAGTCTTTGGGTTGATGAACTTATTGACCAGTAGCGAGACGAGGCGAAGCGAGCTGGCTGTGTGCCGTTGGCTCTGTCCGCCGTGGAGAGCTACTGATGCTTGATGCTTGAGTAACAGCATGACATCTTGTGCTTCCACTACTTCAGGTCGAATCGCGCCATAGTAGTAGAGCAGGAAAGGTGCTGTGCCGACGTCCGATGCTGTAGCATTCGATACCATTCTTGCCATCCATTCTCGGTCGCCGTGATAGACAGTGGCCTGGAAGTGAACACCTTGTGGCCTTAGTATGGCATTGCAGATCCGGCCGACTATCTCCACTTCTGCTACATCCTTATCGGCGCGATCCTGTCTGACAATGTCATCGATCAGTGGCTGAGCATAGTCACCATAGTATGAGCTCAGGATCACACCATCGTCCTCCATGGGGCTGCCCAAAGTGAACGCATAAAGCAATGACAAGAGTAGTGCTCGAGTGTATGCCGGTGGAGCCTGTTGCCGCCGCGCACTGTTCAGCTTGTTCTTCAGTCGCAGGACCACCGTATCAAAGACTTGCCTCTCGCGAGCGAGCTGGGCAAAAACTTCGAGCTTGGTTGATGGTACTGCGTTCGCCTCGGGCAGGTCAGGCAACTCGACCATGAATGCTGGTATCGTCCGATCGCGAATAGATTGTGGAGCACTGTGAGCGATGCTCGCGAGTGCCTTAATCGCCTGGGCACGGATGTTGCCATGCCCATCTACTTGCTCATGTAACACTACATCTGTCACGGTATCAACAGCACGATCGATCTGTTTGTCGTTCAGGACTCCAGGAGCAGCCAGAAGCTGTGTCAATCCTGTCAATGAAGCCAGACGGAAGGAGACTTCCGACTTCGGAGCATTGACCAGAGCCCGAACCATCGCATTCAAGGCATCTTCCGCAAAAGCTTGTAAAGATGTGATTTTGGTTCCTGGTAAGAGTTGGCTGAGCTTAACAAATGCTTCTACTATCGGTGTGAAGACTTCGAGCAACCCTCGCCTTTTTGTGATTGACTCAGATCCATGATATAGTGCGAACAGAACAGGCAACACTCCTTTGGCAACTCGATCGGCCACAACTGGGCCGGATAGTGCCAGCGCATGTAGTATTCTGCCACTTGCTTCCGACTGTTTCGTAGGTGCGTCTTCCAGATGCTCATTGCACTCCTTGATGATGGGCCGTAGGTAGGCATTCAAAGGCCCGTCTTCTGGTAGCTCGGCCAGCTTACCACCAATCAGTGACAAAGTGCGCAGAGCTTCTTCTGCCAGATCTTCTTCCTGCACGTTCAGTATCTCGAACTTCAAGGCGTCCCACAGAGTCACAGAGTACAGATTGATGGTCTTCGCTTCGTACTCCGTAATGCATGCTTGCATTGCTTGCAAGACATCTCTCTTCGTGTTTATCGATGTCGAATCTAGCTTGTCGAGCAGCTGTGGAAATGCATATGGGGCAAAGTCCGAGTTGGCCGCTATGCATGCTTTGAGTCGATCCTTTAGATCCTGTGCCGTGATACCGTAGGGGTCGTCTGGCGGTGGTTTGAAAGTGATTGGGAAGTAATTGAAGACGGAGTCGAACAGATCTTGCGCATGCGAGCCCATGTCCCATTCAGTCATTGGCACTTGAAGGAGCGAGAAGATGATCATCAGGTTTCTGGGATCTTTCTCGCCCTCCCAGTAAGATATGAAAGCTGGCATGAATTCTGCATCTTCAGTCTGAAGCTTGCGAGTCGAATCCCGATGCTTTGCCAGAAGCAGATCGACCAATTGGACAACGGCCAGTCGTTCCGTTTGAAGCTTGAACTGTCGAAGAGGATGAGTGTGATCGACGAAGGACCGCATCACCTTTTGAACTGTTTCTGAGTCCCATTTGCCAAGCGTTTCCAAAGCTATCAGGGCTCTGGCTGTGGCGCCGACGCCCTCAACATCACCCTCAAGCCGGCCAAGTAAGAAGTCACATAGCAGGTGTCGCTCCTGTAGGGACAGGACTTTGGGGGGCAGAGCTGACAGTAAGTCCGCCACGTAGCCGATTGACTTAGCCCGTTGGTCACCATCCTCTTTGTTGTTCAAGTATGGCTCAAGGCTTGTGACTAGATCAATCAATTTCAGCGATTTGTCCTGGAGCTTGCTGGCACTGTGTGCAGCGATTTGTTTGGCCTCGGCAGCATTCTTGTCGGCTTCGAGGAGATACAATTGAATGTCGCTCATCTCTTCATGCTGTATTTATCCACTGCGAGATTGTCATTCCACACATCCCACCATCATGCACAAAATATAACCGACATTTACACACTCGGCAGGCGGGCCGTCCCTGGCGTTTTTCTGGCCTTAAATTTTATCTGCCGGTTGACCAGAGTCGATCATTTTGACATCAGCTTTGTGTCACAACGAGATAAGCAGTCATGGCCTTGTCCAGCTCGCCAACAGTATCGTGCAAAGTGGTGCTGGCGAGTGCTATCGCCAAGGCATTGCTGGTGGAGGTGACAGCAGATCTGCAAAAACTGCACCGGATCCCACGGCTACACGGCTATCTGGCTAATAAGGATCCCGCTGCACGAATGTATGCGGACTGGACTGCGAAGACGACTCGAGAACATGGTTTCGAATTTACGCTACACGAGGTCGATCGTGAGGATTTGGAGGACCAAGTTCGTGTTGCCAATACAGATGGTGACGTCGATGGCATTATTGTGTACTACCCAGTATTTGACACAAGACGAGATCAGACGATCCAGTGGACAGTCAGCATGTTCAAGGTGATTTGCAAGCACTTTGTTTCGATCCGAGCGTAAGACTAAATGCAATTATAGGATGTCGAAGGTCTTTCACCACAGCTCATAAGTAATATGTACCAGAACATTAGATATCTGGACTCGCCGAATAACACTCAGAAGTCAATACTACCCTGCACGCCACTGGCCATCATCAAGATCCTGGAGTATCTGCACATGTATAATCCAATCCTGGACTATGGCAGACGGCTTCACGGCCGTCGTATCACTGTCATCAATCGTAGCGAGGTGGTCGGCCGACCACTTGCTGCTTTGCTAGCAAATGACGGAGCTGAAGTCTACAGCGTGGATGTCACCGGTGTGCAAGAATTCAGTCGAGGCAGCGGGCTTACGAAGCAGAAGCACGAAGTCCGCGAGATGGAGGGCTGGGGTCTCGAACAGTGTTTATCCATCAGCGACGTGGTTATCAGTGGTGTGCCAGGCGACAAGTACAAAGTACCTACTCACTTGATCCGTGAAGGTGCTGTGTGTATCAACTTCTCGAGCGAAAAGGTACGAACGTGGTCGACTGTTATCATTGGGTGCCGTCCCCTGACTGATTCTCTAGAACTTCACCCCGGACGTGAAAGAAAGGGCTTCCATCTACGTGCCTGCCATTGGAAAGGTCACGATAGTAATCTTGCTTCGCAATCTGCTGCGCCTTGCCAGCAATCGCCCAGAAAACGATATTCTGCCCTGAACGAATTGACTAACGGCCAGTCGCAACTCTTTAGCGGAAGCCCATGCGATTCGAGAATATACGGCTAAGTTTAGTACCACTTGTTGACACGGTTCCGATCGAGCCTTCAGTACTAATGCTGTCGTGCCTTTGCATTCTTCCACTTCTTCGAGGTGCACTCACGGCCTTCAGTGCAGCATACTCTCTCATTCTGGGAGGTGGCTTGTTCTCGTCCATGACAGCGGCATGATCCATAAGCAAATTCACCATCGCTTCGCGTTCCCGCTTAGCTGGCTTACTGGCGGCAAAGTACAATGGACTTCGGGAGGCTGAATCCACTGCATTGACATCGAGATGCTGTCTATGCCCGAGAAGAGCTTTCGCATGCTCGAGCTTCTCAGCTTCTGCGCAATGATGCAATGCAGTCTTGCCGGATTGGTCCACGGAATCTTTGAGCTCTGGCGCCAAGTCGAGCAGGAGAGTAGCAACTTTAGTTGTCGGTAATTGTACTGCATGGATTAATGCATTCCATTCGTCCAACCTGACCAGGTTTCGAGTGAGCATATTAGCTCCGTGATCACAAAGGTCTTGAATTACTTCGCGGTGCCCAGATTGAACCGCCTTGATGAGAGGGGTCTCTCCGTCGTTGTCTTTGGCGTCGATGTCAGCGTCGTGGGCTAGAAGGCATCGCACTATCTCGCGACGGCCTTGTGCAGCTGCGAAGTGTAAAGCTGTTCTACCGCGGCGATTACGGGCGTCAACATCTGCACCGACTGTCGGGTCTAGCAGTCTGTGTAAGGTAGTCTCATCGGAGGACTCCACAGCGTGTATGAGCAAAGTCTTCCCTTCACCTCGACCCATGACCTTGTCTACACTGAGATCGTGGAACGTCATTGGGTTTTGGATGACTTCGGTATCGCCGCCTTTGATCGCCGCCACCAACATGTCATGTCGATCAATTACCTCAAAGTCGGTAGGTGGTCGAGATGCCAATGTAGATGCTCTTCGTAGACTTTCGCCGCCATCTGTCGAGCCCTCTGAGAACATCTCCCGCCAAACCGTAGCTTCGACAGTTTTGCCTCTCGCTTCCAGAATATTCACCAGTAGTGACATGTTGTCGCGATGCCGTTCTCGTTCAACCTCGTCGATGCTGACTTCGGAATCCTCCACAAGACAATCCCGTTTGGTGAACGCCATATGTGCATGTCTCTCGGCCATCTCGAGGTCATCTGTCTCGGCATGCAAAGCGCCGGGAGGGCTGTTTTGCCATCTGTCGAAGTAAGTCGCTGCAAGCATCTGATTCTGCCGTGCATTACATATCTGAGCGGATAGGGCGTCCATGCCATGCTCGTTAGTTTCTCTCAGTAGCCCATGGATCTTTGCTACTGCTGTGGCCCACTTGCTTTGTTTCATATACACGTAGGCAAGATCTTCTGTCAGCTTCACCCTGTTGGCGAATGGCACTCGATGTTGCTGCTCTCGAGCTTCGGAGTAGCGCATAGCGCTATCAAGGCAGCTCTCCGCTTGGTTGAAGTGGGACTTTTCCAGCTCACTAACTGCACGCTCACAGTGGTCTGCAATGTATCTGTTCTGTCGAGGACGTCAGCCAAACTTTCCTATGAAAGTGACTTATGTTATCTGATAGCCGACTTACCAGAATGCGTAAAGGTATCATGTGGGTCTCTGGTTCGTTCAAAGATAGCATGCTCATCGAGTCAGGTAGTCCACTGTCTCGATGAGTAAGAACAAATGGATCGTCTATAGGGCGGGACTCTGGTGTGCCGGCAGTGAGTGGCGACATGGGTCTGCTCCGTGTCAAGATTCTGTCTTGCATGACAAGCGATTGATTGTCCGGGACGTGCTCGGAAGTGTAGCGTTCGTATACGTCTTCAGCGGCGTGTAGGCAATCTGTCAGACTGGAAAGTACCTCGTCTGTAGCGGGCTGTTCGATCGACCCGGTGTCTGGGTTGCCTATTGCAGCTTGACCCATCATCTCTCGTACAGGCTCATGGTGTAGCATTGACTGGAGTAGTTCATTGCCCTTTTGTACCTGTTCACCTAGTCGTTCGATGACAGACAGCAGCTCGGATTGATTAACGTTGATAGTTGTCTGTGTATGAGCTTGGTCGAATCTGTGAGGACAATTTAGCTGGAGGTACCAACCAAAGAACTGGGTGGCTTACAGCTGCAATACTACAAGGTCGGTCTGCAATATGCTGATCCTCGCCTCGAGATCTGTCTGTCGCTTCGCGATGGATGGATGTCTGCAAGCAACTTTGAAGCGATGCACCAAGGTCCTCACGCTGTTGCCATTGGTATCGAACCCTGCCACGCGCGATTCCAGATTGCGTAAAAAGGTGCTACACCCCTTGACTGATTCGGCGATTCTCTTTGCGGCAGCGCTATCACCATCATCAGTGACTGTCGGCCCATTTTCACTTCGTCTCTGCAATATAGCTCGAACGCCCTCCAGGACATGTGATAGTCGCTCTGTCCGTTCATAGACTTCTTTGGCGATGGCGTCTGCTTCTGACACCTTCTTCAGGAAGACTCCAGCCTTGTACGCAAGCTTGAGTAGATCAAATACAGCCGCCACCGTCTGGACGGTAGTGATGGGATCCACCATTTTTTTACCAGTCCACTCGATGAAACGTTTGATCGGAAGGATGCTCGAGGCTCAGACGGATGAAGTCTAAAAGATCATCCTTGATGAGCCGCATCGTGCCTGTCGCCTGATGGTGGTGTGTCATCTAGCAACACTCGTTCACAGGTCACAGTGACTTGCTGCGCCTCCAGGATTGCCTTGGCCCCAGTGCACCTAGATTCCCCGCTGTGCTTGCATGACACCCTTAGCCCTGTTCAGGGAGTCAAGTCGCCGATCGAAAAGGCTGCCTCAACGCCAAATTAGCAGTTGCAAAGCACGGAAGTGGTTCACACGCTCAGCCTGCATGTTGTGCAGATTCTGTGTCACGAGCTCTGCTTCTCGGCGTGGAGGCTGTGGTGATTGTACCGTCAGAGCAACGCGTGTTGTGCTGTCGATCTAAACTGTATGCGAATGTCCAACACAGAGTCCGGGCAGGTACTTGGTAGCACACGACTGTGCTTTGGCCCATCCCAACTCAAGCCTCTTGCATAGCACATTATTGTCCTGCCATTACAGCCTTATTCCAACCTCAGGCCATGGTGAAGGTGGCTGTGAGAGCTGTTTCGCAAGCTTGCATCATACTAGCCAAGTATATCATTATCCATCCTTTCCGAGTGTCTGGATGTAAAATGGGCTGCGAGTTCATCGTTTCAAACCTACAGTCGCCGTGTTCGCTCAAAACAGTGTAGTACTCATAGCTTCAGCGACGACGCGCATACTCTGCCACCCTCAATGAGCAAGACACCAAAAGTGTTATGAGCGCAATGCAAGTTCCGGAGGGACGACCAGTCCGCCGGCAGCCACAAGTGGTCGAAGACGACCATCTGGACGATGGCGACTCGGTACTCGAACTTCCAGAGGAGATTTTTGATGCAAACGATCAAGGTCTAGTCGACAACCCGTTGCTGCATCTCAGACCGGATCAGCTAGATGTCTTGATCAAGCAGTTCCTTGCTCAACACGATCTCAAGATGCACCAAGACGTGTTCATGAAAGCTGGCAAGGCTCTACGAGATCCAGAGGCCTGGAGCAGTGTCCCAGGTCTGACTAGCATCGAAAGACACACACTGCAGCACGAGACAGCCACCGGCTTCTGGCAGCAACCAAAGCAGCTGCAGGTCACTATTATTACGCTCTGTGTTGCTGCAGTAGTACAGGGTGGGCACCTCTTCTCGTGTTTACATTGATTAAGCAGGTACTAACAATTTTTCCAGGCTGGAACCAAGTACGTGGAAGCGCTGATAGTACGTCTTCGCTTTGACAGGATCACTGACCCTTGTGTAGACAGGCACTAATGGGGCCAATCTGAATTGGCCGCAACAGTTCGGGTTGAACCTCCCAGGATGCGACCCCAAAGGACCAGACGCTTGGATCTTCGCAGTTGTCAATGCTGCGACGTACTTATCGGCCAGCTTAGTCGGCTGCTGGCTGTCGGATCCACTGAACGAGTATTTCTTTGGTCGAAGAGCAGCTATATGTGTATCAGCTCTCGTAATCCTTGCATCGATCATCGGTGGTGCTTGTACACGAACCTGGCAAGAGCTCTTGGCTTGTCGTATACTTCTCGGCATCGGCATGGGTTGCAAAGCTTCTGTCGTGCCAGTCTTCGCTGCTGAAGTAGCGCCTGCTCATATCAGAGGATCACTGGTGATGAATTGGCAACTGGTGAAGACTTCTGTATGCATTGCAGGACCTTGCTAATTAGTCTGCATAGTTCGACGCTTTCGGCATCCTGCTTGGCTTTTCGGCGAATCTGGCGGTATCGCAAGTCGGTCGCACTGCATGGCGATGGCAGATTGCCAGCAGCGTACTACCCGTGATCGTACTACTCAGCCTGATCTACGTCTGTCCGGAGTCGCCACGATTCGAGATCAAACGAGGAAGGTACCACACAGCATATCAAAACTTGATATTGCTGCGCTTTCACCCCATCCTGGCCGCGAAGGAACTCTTATACATCCACTTTCAGTCTCAGGTCGAGTCGCGTTTCATAGGTCCCAGGAAGCACACCGTCGTTAGTCCCGATCAGCCGCAAGGCACAGAGGAGAAGGCACTGGAGAGACATAGGCGTCGTGCAATGTGGCGCCGACCTGCAGCCTCTGTCAACTATTGGGAGAAGCTCTACCATTTGTTCACGGTCAAGAGAAATCGCCGCGCTCTCGTCGCCGCAGTCGTCTGCATGGTGAGCCAACAGCTCTGTGGTACGAACGTGTTGCAGTTTTTCTCTTCAACTTTCTACTGCGACGCTCATGCACAAGATCAGTCTGGGAATTTTGTGTCAAATCAGTCTTATCTGCAACCTCTCTGGCTGTCGTGGGGCATTGGCTTATCCAACTTCTTGTTCGCCTTTCCGGCATACTACTTCATTGACAGGAAAGGCCGTCGCTGGCTCTTACTGGTCACCATACCGTTGATGGCAATAACGATGTTGGCGGCAGGATTGAGCTTCTTGATCCCAGCCACGGAAGCGGCGCAGTAAGTGTTCCCACCATGGAGTCTATTTCACCCGGATCGTTGGACGCTGACGTTCATGATTAGCACACCCGTAATCGCATTCTGGACATTCTTGTTTATGGTCTTCTACTCAGGTAAGTAAGCAATGGCTGTAAGGCCTGTAGTACTGTCTGAGACTGTTGCTGATCCTTACATCCGTCGATGTGCAGTTGGAATGGGACCGGTGCCTTTCGTAAGTGCGAGAGGCTGAAGCCATCTCTGAGACATTCGTGGGTTCACACTAACAGCTTTTGCAGACGCTATCGGCTGAAGTCTTCCCACTGGAGAGCCGAGTCGTGGGCATGTCCTTCGCCGTGTTCACCAATCTCTTCGGCGCCGGCCTGCTTGCGCTATTCGTGCCGGCCCTCACAAATGCAGTCGGCCATCCTGGTCTTCTCGGAATCTTCGCGGGACTCAACGTGGTCGCATTCGTGCTTGTGTTCTTTTTCGTACGCGAAACCGCCGGAGCAGCAGTTGGCGGCCATGATTTCGGTACCATGGTGTCGGTTTCACTTGAGGAGCTGAATTACATTTTCGGGGTGTCGACAAGGAAGCATGCTATCTACCAGTGGCGCACTGTCTTACCATGGGCATGGAGGTATTATATCATCCGAGACAAGAGCTGCCAGGATCAGCCAGACAAGCTCTACACTTGGGCGACTGCCAGAGATCAACAGCAAGAGTTGCAAGAGGTACCGAAAACTGTTTGAAGGATTCCGTACTTTATTCGATGCCTACATAATCTTGCAAGAAGCAGTTTATGACCTTTCGATCTTACTGGTGTTGCATTGTCATGCTGTAAATGTCTCGACACGACCAATTCTCAGCCACATTCGGATCGCCATGTCCAGAGTACTTTGCTTGCTTCGGGTACGGACATAGCGGTCTCTGCCTCAAAACCGAGTCTGTGAGCGTGTCGTTGTGCCATTTGGTAGCGACGATCTGGTCAGGGGCAGTGTCATGCTCGACCCAAGCCATCAGGGCAAGGAGCGCATCGTGTTTGGCGTCCATGAAGCCAGGGACGGAGTACACGCTACCAGGCTCGACACCCAGATCCCCAGCTTGATTGGCGCCTGCAAAGTACCAGGGTGCATTGACATCCGATGGCGTACCAGCACAGTGCTGCATGCCTGGCACCAAGAAGAATCTATACCAGCTATCCAGCTCGATACCTTTCGGCACGAGCGTTTTTAAAACTTCTTTGTAGAAATAAACACTACTTCCAGTAGAAATAAGTGCATCCGAAAGGCCATGATACTGCAGAAGCTTTCCGCCACGCTTGTGAAACGGAGAAAGATCGTAGTCGTATGCGGTGGCGTTTCCAGGCTGAATCTTGTCGGCAAGCTCGACAATGGTGTAGTTGAAGTCCCAAAAGTTCCAGCTTGAGTCGTTCAGTACCATGTCTTGAACGTATTGTACGCCGTAGCTGCTCGGAGCACTTGCAGCGAGCAGGAAAGGCCACTGTGCCTCACTGCCGAGTTCGAGATGCGGGAAGATCAAGGTCCTGTTCGTTGTGTTAGCGAATGTCTCTAGAGTACCTAGAAACCGTGTCGCTTACTGATTCCAGTCCACGTAGTCGTTGTAGATCTGATATAAAGTCCCAATTTGTGCAGCCATTAAGCACTTAGCTGCCGTCTGATTGGTAATATTCGGTCCACAAAGTAGTGCCTCTGGAAAGAAGTCACAGCCTCTAGGGTCGCTAATGATTGTGTCTACTAGACCATCCTGCCCATCGCACTGCTTCAAGACTTCAGCGCCGACGACTGAGAACAGTGAAACAGGAATATGGTGCGGCGCATCCACCGGCAAATTGTAGAGGCCGATCTTGACAGTCCACGTCTGTAGGTGACTCGTCCACCACGCAGGAGCGCCCGCTAGGACACCATCGAAGTCATCTGGGTAGAGTTGGATATCTCGGATGCCTTGTCGTCCCCCAGTCGAGCAGCCGGAATAGTAATTGTACTTCGGCTTGCAATCATAGTATTGCTCGACGACCTGCTTGGCAAGCTCGACCGATCCATGCATAGCACGATAGCCCCAATCAATCACACGTTCTGGCTCGTCCAACGCCCATGTGATGTCGCCCGATGTGCTGTTGTGTCCAGTGTCCGTGGAAATAGTGGCAAAGCCATAGTGGGCTCCAGCAGCCATGTCAAGCCAATTGATCCCACCTGCAAAGCCGCCGTTCCCGACGGCCAGGAAACGCTCGTTCCAGCTCTGTGGTAGATAGAGTCCGAAGCCGAAATGCGAAGATCGACTGGAGGCAACTTGGATGTGTACTGCGCAAAGTTGAGGTAGCTTTGCCGGTGAAACTGGATATGCTACATCGCCGGATGGCACCTGGAAAGTCGCATTCGTTGCCACTGGATAGGCGAATGCCACGGATGCATTGGTAGGTAAAATAGCTTGGAACGCTGCCGGTGAGCAGTCGAAAGCTACAGCTGCTGCTGCGAAGGGCAACATACGACCCAGATCGCTGAGACGCATGTTTGAGAGTGTTGGGAAGATGGAATCGTGGTATGTGGCCTGTAGCAGCTCCATGGGATATATGTACTGCGTCCAGGTTGCACGTCACCGCTACGTGCCGGAATGTCCTTCGCGGATGAACATCAACGCGTGACACGCAACATAGAGCGGGCGATGTGGATCTCATTCGGGTCCTTAATGCGGGGATCGTGTGAGAGGACGAAGCTTCGGCATGTAGAGCGGCAGCGACGCGGCCAGATCTGTTCTATCGATATCATTCCGATCGTTAACGCACGGCAATGCTGCGATAAAACACTTCAACAGACTCTTGAGCCGCTGATGACTCTCGACATCGTGCCAGGGCATTTGGGTGGCATAATCGATAATACGAGGAGTCGTTGTTACCAGCGGAGCCAGACAACAGGGTTGTGTCCCGACGTGACACTGACGACCAACGAGTGCAGCATGTAGCAAGACACATCGCTGGCCGTAGTCTGCTCCCTGTGCCGAAACTTCTGGTTGTGCGAAGAAGTGTCATCTTGGCATCTCACAATTTGGCCTTTATCGGTTTTCCCTCGTCGCCAGTAATGCGTACAGGAACTTCTTCGACCGCGATGCACACCACAACCGCGATATCGTCCGGCTTGCCGCCCTGCCAGCCCTCTTGCGGAAACCTCATCTGAACTTCTCTTGCAAAAGGCCCATTTCGCTTCTGATCGAGACCAGCAGTCTTCGCCTCCCGCATGACAGCCGTCGCCAGAAGTCCTGGTAGGTACTGCTCATCACTAGTCTCCGTGATAGCTCTAGGTAGTGATCGTACCATGCTCTCATTCAGCAATGTCTCGGCTCCAGCAAAGTTGTGACTCTTGAACCAGCCTCCCTGCTCCTCCATGACTCTGGTGACTATGCCAAGGGTATCTTGTGCCGAGAGGTTGTCCCAAACCCCGTCTGTTGCGAACACTACGATGTCACCGTGCTTCAGCTTGTGCTTTTCAACGTCTGCCTGCTTTGGCGTCTCCGACAGATGCGTAGAGCCTCCAAATATGGCGTGCTGAGCCTGCATCTTCGCGGGAACCTTTGACAGCTGGTATGGCGTGTTGAACGCGTGAGTCTGAGCCTCTGATCGATGTGCAACCTTGCCGGGTCCTATGATCAGGAACCCGGAGTCGCCCAGGTTCGCACTCTCCATGCTACCGTCCGCAGAAGCAACGGCAAGACTTGCCGTGCAACCTCCAGCCAAGATCCTTGGGTTGCCTATGACTGCATCGTATGCGACTTGCATCAGATCTTGTGGCCGCGCATTCTTGCCCTCCGTCAGACCCTCGTGTAAGTATGCGGTGCCTGCCATGAGTCCACTGAGCCCGTGGCTGAACTCTGAAGGATCCACGCCAGAATCTTGCCATCCTCCGACGCCATCTGCTACGCCGAATGCAACGTGGTGCTCACTGCCGCCTATTGTAGCTGCAAAGAAGGCGTCTTCCCCTGATTGAGGCTTTGTGGATCGTAGATACGGTGGTTGAGCATTGGCATTGGTGGAAGTGTAGTACCAGAAATCACGGCCTCCTTTGGGTGAGCGAGGTGGAGATTTCTTGCCAGATGCAGCTGCTGCTAAACGATATGTAAAGCCAGCATTTGTCGCATTGCCGCTAGAGAGCACACGAGATTGTCTTGTCGGCATTGACGCGACTCGCTCCGTCAATGCAAAGGTACGACCAGCAGCTCGAGTCGCATGTCGTATATATCCGGCTGGTAAGGTCATGAAGGTTGCTGACATTGCAGCTAAGAAGTGCTCAGAGGTCAGGCACGAACCACGAGGTACTCCATTATTCTCGCATTCCCAGCTCCATTGGAGAATGACAGTGGATAGGACAAGCACCAGCGTGGAAACCAGGAACGCGCGAATAGAGATTGAAGGCATATCGTTAAACACAAAACCAGACGGCACGAGACGGGGATGACGATCCAGTGGCATATTTGGCCTTAGGCAGAAGTTGCTGAGAAGCCATTCCATCTGTCCTTCAAGACCCCCTCATCTTCGGCTTGCCTGCTTTGTGGGGTGGCCGACTGTGCGTGCGAGCATGGCGACTCAATATCTGGTCGTCGTTGTCGACGTTAGACCGCGGCTCATCTGTACTCGTGTTCAACTCTACCCTCATACGCCATTGTCGATCAATAGCATCGCACGTAGACACTAATCTCCTCCTCTGACCTGCCTCTCCATTGCCACTGTGTCTTCCACTCGACAGGCCAATGTCGTTCCCAGATCACTGGGGTTTGCAGTTCACCAAACTCATACACAGCAAAGCCGAAGGACCTACCGACCCAAAAAATAACCAGCTTTCACCGAACTTCACTGTGGTGGTCACAGGAGCAGGCAAAGGTCTTGGCTATGGTATTGCTGTAGCATATGTTAAAGCTGGTGCAAGCCGCATCGTGATATCCTCTCGCACAAAGGCGGACCTCGACAAGCTGCAAGATGAACTTCGATCTAGCAATCCCAAAGCTGACATCCTGGCACAAACCTGCGACACGATGAAGGATGAAGACGTGAAGAAGCTTGCTGACGCTACACGAGCGAAATTCGGACGCCTCGATGTCGTCGTAGCAAATGCTGGCATCATCTCCAAATATATCAAGGACGGGAATGGCAAAAAAAAGCTACCCGTTGGCATTGTAGAAGACACCGACTTCGATCGAGTCATCCAAACGAACTTCATGGGGTCGTACAGAGTAGCCAAGCACTTCGTACCTCAACTGCTGGCTACCAAAGATGGTCCGCAGGCGTATATATGTATCACATCGATTGCAGGTCATTGCACGGACTCCAGTCTTACGCCTATCGCGTACAGCCTGAGTAAGACGGCTATAAATCGCATGGTAGAGAACATGCACAATGATCATCAGGCGGATGGTCTGCAGGCTTTTAGTGTGCATCCGGGTGCTGTGTTGACACCACAGACTGAGCTGCATCATACTACGCAGCTGGGTTCCGCGTGGACAGATCGTACGGTGCCTTGGACTCAGCAGTCAGTATCTCTGCTAACGTGTGGCAGTGCTCGTGGATGACGTTGGACTTTGTGGTGGCTTTCTAACTTGGTTGACCAAGGAGCGACGAGGGTGGCTGTCCGGAAGATATCTTTCCAGCAATTGGGACGTCGATGAGCTAGCTGCCAGGAAAGATGAGATTGTCGAAGGTGACAAGCTGACATTCAAGATGGTAGTATAGCCGCCATTATTGCACCAGATGATCAGCCAATAGCACAAAAGTCGTGGGTATTTAACGCTCAATTATTGTGGTAGGTCGCAATCGTTGCTGTCTTCTGTGGTACTGGCATTGCAGGGACGTGCTGTTGTTGCTTCTTGATCGGGAGCAGATACAAAAGCACCCCATCAAACATCCCCAAGGTCAAACGAGCGTTCAAGCCTCACGTGGCTAACGAGAAACAGGTTGACTCCTCGGCCACAACCAGGTTTCATGGCGATCAGGTACGGAATCGTTTTGATTCGTGAGAATTATCGAAATAGAAATGGATTTACTTGACAGGGTCGAACTTGTGGATGCCGTGGCTGTGACCCTGTGACGTACTTTTCATGAAACAACCACCATCAAGTATCTGCACTGAACTTGCAAATGTTCACAACAACAACAACAATATCTTCAACAACAAACTTGCAAATAACCAATATCGATCGATCATGAGCTTATTGGTAGAAGGCGGAGAGTATCGCGGCGAGTCTGGCAAGACTTATCTCGCCGTTGGGCCACTTGGACAAGCCAATGTCTGGACCGCCGTCGAAAAGGAAAACAATGAAAACATTGTCGTGCTCAAAGCACCTGCCTCTGATGACACTGGAACGTCATGGCCTCTCTTCCAGCACGAGATGATAATGCACGAGCTGCTGAAGAACTGCCAATCAGTACGAAAGCAAGTCGATCGCATCTCACCAAACGCGGATTCCGGTAGTCCTCCAATACTGGTCTTGGAAATCTTCGAGACGACCTTATGGCATGCTCGGACCAAACGACCTTTCACAAAAGCAGAAGTCCGGTCAGTCGCAAGGCAAATTCTGCAAGGCTTGAAGAGCGTCCACGACCAAGGTCTCGTTTATGCCGACCTCAAAATGCAGAATGTCATGCTCAATGGTTTCGACACCACTGTACCTGGAGATGGAAGCAAGCTCGAGGTCAAGCTTGGCGACCTTGGAATCGTAATGCAGCCAGCCAAAGGCACTGTCCAGCCTGTCGCATATCGTGCTCCTGAGGTCTTCTTCAAGGGCGAAATTACTCCTGCTGTTGACGTGTGGGCTTTTGGTCTCGTCTACTGCCATCTCATGGAGGCCATTAACCGCTTCGAGCGAACGGGTCTGTACGACGATTTGTATGTTGGAGGAGGCTCCATGCGCGAACGCGAGCAAGCGATGAGAAACGCCATTGGCAACGACTACGATCTCCAGAACAACGATTACTACAAGAACTGTGCTTTGCCATATAGAGACAACCGCCATGAACCCGGTCAGCAGTGGGACGAGCTGCGGAAACGAGGCCTGGATGAGGAAGACGTCGAGTTCCTACAGTTCATCCTTGCGTCAGACCCGAGAAGACGACCATCAGCAGCTGATGTTCTCGAGACGAAGATTCTGGGTGGAGAGGGACTGGACGAGGCTCAGGTGCAAGGTATTACCTCAATTCCGCAAGACCCCACAGGCCATCTCATGCCACAAGTCGATGGCTTGTCAGAGCAACACACCTTCAGTGCGGGGAACTCTGGTGGTAGCGCCCAGCGCCTGCGTCGTGATGCAGGCAGTATCTCACGAGAAAGTCCTGGATCGATAGATCTACCTCCTCGACGTGAGTCACTTCTGCGCGGCGCAAGTCAGTCGGTGTCTACGCCGGGTATGACCTTGCCTGGTGGAGCACAGACACCAGCATTACCACCCGCACAGAGACAAGATGGCATAGATGATGTGCATGGTGGTGTCAGGGCACACCCACTTGTCAGAAGTGCTGTCCAAGCTGGTATCGACGAATCACAGCGAGAGGCGAGCAGGTTGAAGACTGTCGACAGTTCCAACGAGCAAGTAAGCAACAGCCACGGCGGAGGCGTTCCATTTGCCTTGTCAGATGGCTTCAACGAGCACAAGTGTGTGGGCGGAGAGTCGAACATCTCAAATGGACTGGTTGCAAATGCAGGACAACTGGACGCGGCAACGGATGGGCTACCACAGCCGTTACCTAGCCATCTCGGTCAGAACTCATCATCTGGAGGCACCTACCTTTCTTACCGTTGATTTGGATCAATTCAAAATCGATTGACTGTACGTTCGACGGCGCATTGGTGACATTGTACGATATATCGAGCATGAGGGTTTGGCACGTAACCTAGACTGGCATTGGGGAGGGTTGCATCTGTACACTACCGGAGTACGAGAGATATGTAATCATGGTAGCACTATTTCGACTCAGGTCCCTTCGAAGTTCACTTACAAACCTTTGAAACCACTTTCGAGATCCTCGCCCGCAGCTTTGCGTACGAAACGCGCCGTCTCCTCTGGCATCTTGATGAACGGACTGTGGCCAGTGGGTGCTACCTCAGCATGAAGCGCTTGACCCATAGCTTTCAGCGCATCAACGGCCTGGATCTGCATCGCATACGGACATGCATTATCCTTATCGCAAGCCAGATAGCTAACATGTATTCCTTGAATCGCAGCCGCAGCATCTGGCATCGGAGTCGTATTTATGGCATACGACTGAGGTTTAAGTCGCCAGACTGCTTTCTGGGCTTCGAGAGTGTCTAGATCGTTGTACAGGACTTCGATGGCGCCGGGACCGGCGAAGGGCAGTGTCGTGTCGCCTTCGTGCAGGTACTGAGCTAGCAGTTGGCCGCCCATTGCCTGGAGCATGCTGATGCCTTCTGAAAGAACGAATCCGGCGATGATGACCAACGATCTGACACCATTTGCATGGCCTGCCGCTTTGCGAGTATCGAGACTGAGGTCTCTAAGAGCAGCAGTGCCGACAAGAGTGCCGTATGAATGGACAACGACTACGACGTCTTCACCACCATCGAGAACTTTGGTGATAACTTGGCGAGCAGCAGATACGTCGTCGTTGAAGTCGACCAGTCTGCCATCGATGTATGGCTCGTGTGCGTTACTGGGAAGGTTCACGCCTACGCAGCTATAGCCATCCGCTTCGAGAAGCTTTTGCACTGTTTGGAAGTGTTCCGGGACATGCTGCAAAGTGTCAGTGAAAGGGTTCAGACTGCAAAGCTCAGAGGACATACCCAAGCACCCGGCACGAGGACGATCGTTGGCTTGGTCATGTCGAAAGTCTGGTGATGCTTCGGAGGGATTTGATTTGGACTGCTATCAGGACCGTCTTCACGGTAGCTATGGCACAGGAAGTATCGCTGTATATTCGTCACATGCATGTAGTTGGTTGGGTGCTGAACATATAGGCAGCTGCCTTTCTCGTTGCGCTTGTCCACGCTAGTAAACGAGGATTCTTTGGAATCAACTTTTGGGCTGTAAGACGCCTATTTTTTCAGCTGATGCACGACTCACGGATAGCTTTGCATGAAAGTGGAATGTGAGGGACGTCATTTTATGCTTGCACTACGCTTGGTCCCACGACCTTGCTCTATTGGAGATGTCAAAGTCTGTTTGGTTCAAAATTTCATTGCTCCCGGTGAAGCCTGAAACTGGCCAACACATTTCGAATTTCGATCCTGCTTTCCTTGAAATTGTCCCGCTCGTCCAATAATCGTGGCTTTTGACCACGACGCATGTCAAGCCCACATTTGTACGACCGAACAGTACATGTGACAGGACCATCCAGGGAACCGGCAACCTCCTCAGTCGCACCACAGAGCGTCAGCGGCCCGTCAAAGCCGTTAGGTCACGGGCTGATGGCTGTTGCCATTCAATCCAGTTACGCCATGAGAAGCTGAGTTCATTATCCGAAAGCAATGAGCCGCTTTCCCGTCAAAACCTGACCGACATGGTTCTGCACCGTTTCGAACCTCATGAACGAGCACGACTCACTCTCCAGATGGTTGAACAGGGCAGCAAGCGAGACAAAATCCTTGCTGCAGCCACGATTTGGACAGTGATATCCCTTCTGCTTGTGCACAGGGGAGTTGAGGTGCTGGGTGAGACCCGCGTGCTTGACGAAGGTGCGATGGCAGAGATAGCACTCCCAGGAACGACCATTCCAGGCATTGTCGTTGACTTCGTAGGTGGTTTGATTGTAAGTGAGTTGTTTGTTGGTAATGACGCCGTTGGGATCGCGCTCGCGAATGATGCGGGTGATGCTGTCGTGATTGAGACCAGTGGCTTTGGGGCATGAGCCGGTCTCGAGATGATGACATAGGCCACTTGCTGTGGTGTAGCCGACTTTGCAGAAGGGACAGACGATGTTGGAGCCACGGTGGATCTTTGAATCCAGGTGCTGTCTACCACGTCAGTAGAAGTGTTGTGTAATATGAGTAGAGTCCATTCACGTACCATCTTCAGATTGCTCTCACTGTCGAAACGGCGCGCGCAAGCCTTGCAGTAGTGCCTCCAGTGACCAAGCGATGCCACATGCTGATCTCTAGCATGTTCCGAACGGAAGGACTTGTCGCAAACCTCGCATTCGTACGTCGGAGCCCAATGCGAAGTGTCATTCATGTGTTGATTGCAAGCACGTTGTGTCTTGAAGGTCTTGGGGCACGTCTCGCACTCTGGCCAGTGATCCTCATGGTCCATATGGTCATGGCAGTCCTCGAGGTCGTAGAATTGCTCGGTGCATGTCTCGCATTCGTACATGGTGGCGGAGTTCAGCGGTCAAGGTTTTCGTAAAGATTGAAAGTGTTTTGGTCGTGGCTCGAGGTCTGTTGAACCTTTTGTACTACATCCTGGAGGCCACATATCGGAGGTGAATGCAAACGACGCGCATGCCGTCGCGCAGAGGTGGGTCGGTGAGTGCTGCTGTTTGTCGATACAGATTCGCACGTTGTCTGCTCTCGTTCGTACCGCCGCAGTCTCGAACAGATGATCGAGTCTACGTCACGATAGGTCTGCCGGTCCATGGTGAAGGCGTTGTTGTGGCACGAAGAAGCCATCGCTGTGTGTTGCAGCTACTTCCCTTTACAGCTCAGCTCGAATCGAATCAGGCCACAATCAGGCATCAATAAATCGTGCTTTTCGGAATCTCCTTACCGTAGAGGCTTCTTCGTTTCCAGCCTCCAAGCAAGTAGCAAACAAGCACGACGGAAGCAAGCGCAGCAGATGGATGTCGCCACCTGCGTCCGATACCAAACCTACGCGCGATGAAGTAAGCCATACGATATCGTATCCAATGCCAGCCGGATCGCAAACTGACACCCGCGTAAAGGGCACACGAACCCAAGTCCTCCTCGCCGGAGCCTGCGCTGGTCTGATCTCACGCTTCTGTATCGCCCCACTCGATGTCCTGAAGATCCGTCTACAGCTCCAGTATCACTCTCTTGCCGATCCGCTATCTGGGCCCGTTCGCCGACCGCCGTCTGGTGTGCTACGGTTGGCAAGGGATATCTTCCGTCATGAAGGCATCACGGGATTCTGGAAGGGTAATATACCCGCTGAAGGACTATACCTGAGCTATGGAGCTACGCAGTTCTTGGCGTACAGGAGTGCGAATCAGGTACTGGAAGGAATGGAGGAGTCTGCCAACGTGAAACTGCCGGGAGCTGTGCGAAGCTTCGTCTCGGGTGCGGTAGCAGGCACCGCAGCGACTACCATGACCTACCCACTCGATCTGCTTCGCACGCGTTTTGCGGCGCAGGGCACAGAACAGGTCTATGCCGGCCTTCTAGCAAGTCTCCGCGACATCACCCGCCTCGAAGGACCAAAAGGCTTCTTCCGTGGCCTACCAGCTGGGATTGCACAGATCATACCCAATATGGGCCTCTTCTTTGCTTTCTATGAAGGTTTCAAACCGCTCGCAGCGGACATCCACCTACCGTTCGGGTCTGGAGACGCTGTTGCTGGTATATCAGCAAGTATCCTGAGTAAATCTGCTGTCTTTCCACTGGATACGGTGAGAAAGCGGCTGCAGATCCAGGGACCTACGCGAGGGAAGTACATCGGTGGATCAAGGATGCCTGCTTATGAGAGAGGCGTGGTGGGCACGATCAGTATGATTATGAGGAAGGAGGGGTGGCGGGGATTGTATCGGGGATTGAGTGTCAGCTTGATCAAGGCGGCGCCGGCGAGTGCGGTGACGATGTGGACTTATGAGCAAGCCTTGCATCTCTTGCAAAGTATGGATGAGGAGCGGGAAGTATCTTGATAAGCAGTCGACACGATCACACCATGCGTCACCAACAGTCGATCATCCAAGCACGTATTCATTGTATTGCCTAGTTTGAGACTGCCGTGAGCGCTTCGACCTCGAGTGCCGCATATGCGCTCGCATGTCACCTTTTACAATAGCAATGGAACGTGGTTACCTTACGCAAAGTCGAATTTCGTGCATATACGCTTGCTACCGCCTCGTGATCAAATCGACTGACCTAAGGGGGCTTCGCAGCGCGCAGACGCGCTTACTAACAAACGCGACCTCCTATCCCGTCTCGTCCCCTATCAGATGTCAGACGCCCGGACATCAGCCCCTCAGCCCATGTATGCAAGAAGTGATAGTTGAAAGGTAGGACAACGTTGCTTCCATCTCCCTCATCACTACAGCTCGGTTCTTCGCCCGTCTACTTCGATCTTGACCATCTCATATACTCCACGATTACAACTATGGATCCCATAACCATCACACGCTATGCCCGTCTCCTTGCTGTGCCCATTCCCTTCGCATTAGCTGGGTAAGTAGACCGCTGATGATGACCTATCTAACAAGCTTCATTGACGAGTTCTGACCTTCATGACCTTCAGCTACTCCTTCGCCTTCTCCCAAAACGCCGTCCCTCTTACCTACGACCTACCAGCTGAACAGAGCACCCCGATCTTCCGCGGCGTTTACACCCAGGGCGCCGCCGTCGTCGCACCCGGCGGGATCCTCGGAGCGGCTTCCGCTGCTTGGCTAGCCTACAGTCTTCCTGAGCAACAGCGCGTATGGGCCACCATTGCTGTCATGAATCTCATGCCCCTTGTTTGGACTGGATTGGTGATGAACACTGGGATCCAGAGGTTGCTGGAGATAGGCAAGGACAAGGGAAAGATGGCGAAGGCTACGTCGAATTTGGAGGTTAGGCAGTTGCTTGGACGATGGGTTTTGCAGAATTATGTGCGGGCAGGGCTGTATGTCGCTTCTGGTGTGCTTGCGTGGAGGGCAACGATGGTTGTTTAGGGATGTAGATATGAGGGAGACTGAGGTGTGACGCTTGATGTGTTTGTATTCGAAGTTGTACTTAGCGTGGCATCAGGGGAGATATCAAGTCCTTGTAAAATTTGGAGTAATCGCTACACTACACTACACTACGACCCATCTCATGCTTTTGTCCAGTCAGGTACCAAGACCATTCGACTCTTGATCTTACCCTCATCGAGATCCTTTACCACCTTCGGTAAAGTCTTCATCGACCCTGTCTCAACACTAGGCTTGATCACACCCTTGGCTAGCAGATCCATACACTCTCGTAACGCCTCCATGGATCCATTGTAATGGCATTTGATCGTGACGCCCTTCAATACAGTGACCAGCGGAATCATTGTTACAGTAGGACTGATCAAACCGACCTGCACCATTGTGCCTCCAGCCCGGACGGCGAATTGTGCGCTCTGGAAAGTATCTCCATGACCGACGAAGTCGATGGTCGTATCGATGTTGACTCCCTTCTCTGCAGCGAATTGCTCGATGGATGGAGAACCCGAGTTACCCGTGCAGAAAGCGTCTTCTTTAGCGACACCAAGACCTACGGCGAGATCAATGGTCTCCTGGCGTTTATCGACGACCAAGATCCGCTTGACTCCAAGATGCTGTGCGATCTTGACGGCATTCAGGCCTAGCCCTCCGAGGCCATATATAGCGATTGTCTGGTGAGGTTGCACTTCCGCCGTGTACCGGATGGCATGATAGGCAGTCAACACGGCGTCCGGCGCCACAGCAGCAATTGGCATGTTTACGCCATCGGGGACCTTGACAGCCGCCCGAGCCATAATATTGACATACTCGGCGAAGAAGCCATCGCTGATACCGAGACCGTAGTTGCCGCTCTTATTGCCGTGGCATAGACGTTGAAGACCGATCGAACATACGGGGCAGGAGCTCTCCTCGCATCCGGGAATGATCAAGATGGCCACTTTGTCGCCGACTTTGAAATCATTGACGTTCTGTCCGAGCTGGACGACTTCACCGGCTCCTTCGTGGCCGAGTGTGTACTGTGGTCGCATGTTCATGCCTGGTGGCGCTTCCTTCATGCCCAGCAGTGTGCAGTCCTGTTGCCAGTCAGCTGCTTGAATGGGCTCGAGGTTTTCGACCTCTATTGTCTTCCTACCGAATGGCAAACTCCAGCAGCCAGGATCTTGACGAGCATCTCACCATCGCCAGGCTTCGGTACATCGACTTCTTCGAGTATAGGCTCAGGCTTGCCAACATGGACTTTCCAAGCTTGCATCTTTGATGGTAGTGATTGAGACATATTGTTGGTAGCACGTTCCTTGCAAGTCGGCTTGATGGCTGGGAGATGTAGACACGACACTAGATAAGGCGAACAATATAGATCGTTGCGTGCACCTAGGCAACTGTGGATGGTGAGGAGTCGTGGGCTTCAGATCGTTCCTGCCGAGTACGCTCCTACTGCAGCCCCGCTCGAGCGAATGCTTGAAAGGATGTGGCTGACATCAGCTGATTTTCGAGAGCATGATCTTGATTCAATTGGCACTTTCACTGCCGTATCCATAGTTCGGCGAGATTGCATGAACTGCGCGACGTCCATAGCGGGTAGTTGTCCTCGATTTCCCGTGGCAATTCGCGTCCATCGCTTCCGGTGTTACACTGCTCCCTGGACTGGTGATGTGCTATCGACAAGTCAGGCGCCCACTTTTCGAGCAAGAACATATCATGGATACGCCGTATAATTGGCGGTCCTGTGAAGCGCCCAAAGGCTCAGTATATGCCCCAAACATACGGGTCGATGCTGATGCTGCTTTGATCTCGCGTCTCAACAATGCTCAATGGTGAATGCCTGAATTCTGCATGAGAGCCTGACGAGCCTCCCGAGGTCCAAGAACAATACCCTCGACCCACCAACTCACAACGAGTTCGCCGTTGCCATCTTGTGCACAATTATATTTCGAACCATGTCATTAGTCGGTCGTAAGCTAGCTGTCGTATCGGCAAAGTGCAGGGCGCAAGCATCGGGCAAGCTTCCAGGGACGGAACGACTCTTCAAGTCTGTGGCCGCTTCCCAGCAGGAATCATCGTCGACTCCTACACATATTGCTGCTTCAGGCCAATCACTGCTCCACCGATCCGCCAAAGGTGGACACTTTCAGACAAGCAGAATAGCTCACGCTTCTCCTAGTACTTCGCCAATCTATGAGACCACGACCAATGCCACGACTACATCTGGTTGGGATCCTCAGGCCTTCGATGTATCCTTACTCTGGCTCAGAGACCTCTGCGAATGCTCACGCTGTGTCGACCCTTCGACTAAACAGAAACTCTTCTCCACCGTGGACATACCGCCCAACATTCAAGGCACCCGGTTGCCCAGCTCCGATGATGCAAAGATCACACTGCGCTGGACAAATGACATTGTGGGCTATGGAAACGATCATGTAACTACACTATCTACTGAAATGTACAGTCAGAACAGCCGCAATTCATCTGGAGGTCCACTCTTTGACATCCCAGCACGCAATCTCTGGCTCGCGCAACACTTCCGTGCTAAGTGTGAAGACATGGATTACGAGCACTACATGCAGTCCGATCACAGTGTCCTTCAGGCACTACAACAACTACATACCCACGGTCTCCTCTTCCTGACCAACGTCCCGGACTCGGAGAAATCAGTCTCTGCCATCGTCGAGCGCATTGGTCCGCTGAAGAACACCTTCTACGGCTCGACCTGGGATGTCCGCTCCGTTCCCGAGGCCAAGAATGTGGCGTACACCGCGCAGGATCTGGGGTTTCATATGGATCTGATGTATATGCAGCAGCCACCCCATTTGCAGTTCTTGCACTGTATCCGCTCATCTGCTGCTGGTGGAGCGAGTCTGTTCACCGACAGCTTCAGAGCGGCTAGGGACCTCTGGGTCGATGATCCTGATTCTGTAAGAAATCTTGCACAGCTGCCGGTCAATTTCCACTATAATCATCCTGAATTGCATTATTATCACCAATCCCGGAGAGTCGTGGAGTTGAAGGATGGTGCTAGTCTGGACTCCCTGCCGTCTGGTGAACAAGGAGCCAAGATGCTTGCGGATGCTATACGCAATGTATCGTGGGCGCCTCCTTTCCAGGCACCTTTCATCAACCCGAACGCTAAAAAGCTTGAAGAGATCTCTGGTGAGACGCTGATTCGCTGGCATGCTGCCGCGCGCAAGTTTAGTGAAGCTGTTCATCAGCCAGCTGGTATTTATGAGCGGATGATGAGGCCTGGTGAGTGCGTTATCTTCGACAACCGCCGTGTACTGCACGCGAGGCGAGCTTTTGAGGTTGGAGACGCTGGGAAGGAGAGGTGGCTGCGAGGCGCTTATATGGATGAGGATCCCTTCTTGAGCAAGACGAAGGTTATGCAGAAGCTTCAGGCGACTGTTTGAGTGTTATGCAACAGAATTGGAAGAGTCGCCCCTTGTTGCTATCCTCGGTAACGAAAGAGCGCAACGCTCATCGGCCACTCCGCCACCACTCCGCCGCCACTCTGCAGCATCCTCTTGCATCTTTGCTCGAAGTCCATTTGGTGCATATGCTGCTGGTGGAGGAGGCATGAGCGCTCCTTTCGGGTGCGGACGGAACGCATCTTCGCCTGCAGCTATGGTCTTGAGCGACGTCGACCTATTTGGTGCTCCCTTGAAGACCCCAGGGCTGTTCTTTGGCGGGACTAGTGGTGATGTGTCCATGCAGATCAGTGGTATTGGTTGTATCGGCGTTGACACCGAAGGCTTGGCCGAGCTGGTACTGAAGTGTCTCGTTGTCCTCGACCTCGGCGTGGCAGCTACAGGAGCAGGATACTTCTCGATCATTGTGGGCGTCCTAGCTGGCATCCTCGCTACTTCCACCAAGTCCTGTGGAGAAGATGGCGCTAGCCGTACATGCCGTCTTCTTTTCTTCGACTGTATAGAATGGTACACGATTGGCAAATCAATCAGCGTAGGCAAGAAGGGCTCCACCGATTCTTGCTCGTGGCCTGGAGAGACTATATCAGGAACCTGCGGCTGCTCTTCTTCTTCGTGCACAGTCTTCAGTCTAGTGCTGGTTCTGAAGGCTGCTGAGTGTCGGCTGGCACGAGTCTTGGATTGGAGTCCTCTCATCACGCCTGGCTGAGCTGGTTGCGGGGGTAGCGGAAGGTGCTTCTTGTCGTACTGCTCTCGCTGCTTCCTCCAGCTGCCGAAGTCCTGAGCAGGACTACGCTTGTGCCCCGTTGGGGACACTCTTTTCGAAGGTCGACCAAGCGGCCACGATATATCTAGATCACCTTGACCGTTTTCGGTGCCGCTCGCATGCTCATATGCTACCCCTGGATCACAACTCCAGCGCTTCGCACGATCTTCGTAAGGCGTCTCGGCAATGCTTTTCCGTAACCACAACATCCTTTTCTCGAAATTTCCAGGCAGGCCATATGAGGTGTAAAAACGCTCCTCACGGTCAACAAGATACCTATACTGCTCGTGAGTATATCTCTGTCTGACCGTTTGCTCGTGCGCCGCAGATAGGCGGTTGAATAGCTTGTGGAGCATGAAGGCGCAGAAAAGAACGAACAATGTGGTCACAGCGCATAGTATCGCCCATCGTGCTCCTACGGTGACCGAGTATGTGTCGCCATACAGATGCATGGGTGGTGATCAGAGACAGTGTATTGGTGGCTATGCGGGACTATGAGGAAATATACATCGTGATCATCGTTGCACGAAACCACGAGCAGGCAGAGGACATGAGGGAACTGGCATGTGGCGATGGATGCATGATCCACGAGTCGTGACAGCGCTGTGCTGTCGCGCACAAATTTGCCGGTCTTCAAGGGCGACAACTCAGCTTGCCAGTGATCCGCATCGTACCAGAAGAGGGAAGACAGACTGCTTCCTGAAGACTGTTCTTTGCATTGGGCTACTAAGTGTCTCGAGCTTAATACTGAACTATGCTCCTGTGGTACTCGCCACATCTGCTTCTGATGTTCAGGTTTTTGCGGAGTAACGAAGATGTTTGACATGCTATACTATGCACGAACAAGTACGAGCAATCGGCTTGTAGCATGAAACTCTTGCCCAAAGGCGTCAAGAACATAACAGTCGCTCCTGCTTCTCCTCGTCCACAGAAGAAAATATCATCAGACCGTCTCCCCACTCGCGCTCGAAAGCTCCTCCCGGAAGTCCGTCGACCATCGTCGGGACATAGCTTCTCTCGAAAGGGCGACATGCACTTGTGGTGGTGGCTGGCGATAAGCCTCGTACACAGGAGGCGTAGTCTCCAGGGACGAACGTCTGGATGGTACGTGCTCTGGCTCTGATATAGCAGTCCTGCCAAATGTCGGTGCAAGCGGCCATGAGGATTGCAGCGAAGGTCGATCGATTAGGCCATAGCCAGCCTTTCTCGCCTTCCTGTTTTTTCGACTTAGCCAGAACGGCATACGTTCTGACAAGGTGATCCTGCCAGGTGGTGGTGGAGACCTGCTCGCTGGTATCAAGAAGCTAGCTCGATGTGGAACGCCCATCGTACCTCGTCTTTGGATCGCGGACTGCCTTTCGTGCTCGCGTAAGACGTCGCCAACGGTTGTTGCTCGACGGCCATTGCGTCGCAGTGCTCGCATATGCCGGTCATGGCGGAAGCCGTCGAAGATGCTTTCAACAGAGCGTCTGGTTGTGATGCAGAGAAGAATCATGGCTATGACGATGGTGAGAAGTAGGAGGACGAAGCCAAACACGGCGAAGGGGTCGTAGATGCTTAGGCCGGTTATGCGGAAGGCATTGTGGATGTTGAGGTAGTCGATCCAGGCGTCAAGAAACATAGCACTATGTTATTCGCCGATTATCTGGCTGTCACGATTCTTCAGGCGTTTTATGGGCAACGGGAGGGACTATCCACTCGTAACGATGACTGAAATTATACTGCTACCTATTGTCGTTCTCATGCATGTCTTAGATCACGGTCTCGCTTGCAAAACAGGCTCAATATCGATCGTTTGACGTCTCCTATTCAGTTGATGCATACCTCGTGAGACAGTACTCTGACAGAAGACTCACAAAGGACATTGTGGTGACAAGACAGGAACAGAGACGAAAAGGTTGTCGCTCAAGTATGCATAAGCATGATAGCGCTATGTATTGTGGCATGAAACAGTATGCCATGGTACAGTTTGCGATAAAATGTCACAACCCAAGGTACAGAGAGTCGTCAGACCGCCAGATCATCGGAGGAAACTCCTACAAGCCTGTCCGCTCTGTTCTCGTTGGAATGCCGAAGCTCATCCCTTCAACAATTCGCCAAGGTTTCGCATATTGAATACCTCGTCTTTCTCATCCCTCTTTTCCCAGGGATACTTCAGCACATTTAAGACCGCTTCTTTCGACACAGGCTCGAATTTGATATTGGCCAGATACCTCGACTCGATCTGCGGAAACAGCGCCTTGATCCTCATACTCTGAACCCCCTTCGCCATGTCTTCTGGCGGAAACACCTTCCGGATCTTGTCGAGAGCTTGGTCGAAGCAGCTCTGTAGAGCCAAGCTCGTGTAGCTGTAGGATGGACAGCTCACTTTCCCATCCATCCAATCATGACCACCGAACTCCTTCATCAGCTGGCTGATGTTGTAGCCTTTCATGCTAAGCTTTACGATTCCTGCCTGTCGGCTTCCAAAGTTCTTGAGGACCCTGTCTCTAAAGATGGCTATGGCGACGTTGTTGGTCATGATTTGACACTCGAAGTGGTTGGGCAGTTCGATGTCGTGTAGCAAGGACTCGTACATTGTGTTCATCCTCTCTCGGTAGGCTTTGTGTCGCAACGTCACTTCAAAGCTGATACGGACCAGGCTAAGATTAGAGAAGTATTGGCACACGCTAGGCAATGCCATATCGTCACTATGGCGTGACAAATCGTGAAGCGCGATGGCGTGGCGCATGCCCCTCCAGTACATCGAGGCAGATCGGAGATGGTATGCTGCGTACAGCATTGCGAAAGGATTCTCTGCAATCAGGTCGTTGACGTCCAGAGGCCCAGCCAGCAATGTGGCAAGAACTCGTGGACGCAGAACATCAATCAAATCGTAGGCGTCTGCGAAGGTGGTCAGAGCCGGGATGAGTCGTGAAAGGGCTAAGGTGCCGGAAGGCAGCTTGACACTGGTGTTATAAAGCAGCGCGAATCCCAGCTTATATGCTCCGATTACGAACTCGCTTTCGTGGCTCCTCTGCAAGAGTCGGAATCGATCGCTCGAACTGCTGTTGATCGAAGCTTCGTATCTTGCTGCCCTCTCACGCCATTCTCCGGGTCTCAGCAGGTCATTTGCTTCCTTGCTAGCAAGTAGCGGGAAGGTATCGCCGTACCGGAAGTCGAGCATCATGATTCTCGATTTGAACATTGTCGAGAGCTCGGATCGATTCTGCGACCACTCAGGCTTCTTCAAGCTGGCGTGGAAGTATGATGATGCTTCAGCGAGCTTCGAAGAGTGCAGTATCAGAATGTCAGATGCGCTGTCTGGGGCGAGCACAATCTTGACGTCGCCGTCCTCGAAGGTTGGAAAGGTAATCATGATGATCCCGGGAAGTAGTCGTTGTCGAGTGCGGGTATATTAGCTGTGAGGTGCTATAATTGTTCGAATGTATCGAGACTTGGAAGCTCCTGGTCGGTGTGTACCACAAGGACGGACGCTGCAGGACGAGCAGAAGATGTCTTGTAGTGGGATATATACGCAGCAGGTGAGTTGTATGATGCATGTTTCGCGACGTCCATGTGTGGCCAGCTTTAGTAGTAGACGTCATTTCTGAGAGCGGGCAAAGAGATGTCTCGTGAATAAGGCAAATCAGTGGCGTCCGCAGATACAGGTGAATGGGCTTGTGGAAGAGAATACGTGAGTCTCGCTGCTACAGGTTTCGCATTAACGTGACCTTGTGTGAATGACCTATATGACCTCGCAGTATCTGCCTTGGAGGTAGCTGCATATTGCCATCCTGCAACGACGATATGAGGCACTGCATGCATGTTGTTGGTGACAAGGATAGTACGTGGTTCTTTGTCTGTCTCATTCGCAGATAGCAATGCTGGCGCTTAGAGTTGGGCATGGTGCTTGAGATCACGGCAACATCGAGACGCCGTGGTGCTGTTATGCCATCTCCATCTCCATCGTAGTGGTGTAAGTCATCCATCTGCTGTTTGGTGGGACTTGAGGAAAGTGTAGTCGTGCTTGAGCGGCGGCATGTTCCGGTTGCTGCAGCAAAAGCCTCCCGTCAACAACGCGAAGTCTAAACGCGGACATCGCATCCTGGCAGAGTGGTCGCGATGCTCGACTCTTGCGATGGTCTCTTGGTAATTTGGACCCATATGCTGGCCGGGCAGATGTCAGTTGGATAGCGATTGTGTTTTCCGCGCGCTTCTTGGGAAACAAAGCATCTTTACCGGACCCACATGGAGATCACGAGGAACAGCAGCAACACGATACAGACGACAGCGAACACCAGCATACACGATCTTTGAGGACAGGCGACGATACTGGGAAGATTGGGTGCAGGCAGAATCGCTTTGGATAGAGAGTGAAGCGTATAATGGCAGCTGTGGCGCATCCTACGCGACCACATATAAGACGAAACTCTCCACTGGCTATACATCGTGATGGCGGCATGCTCAAGGAAGTGCCGACGCGAAGAGGCTTTAAGATGGAGGACAGTGACTCGGACGATGAGCCACCACCTGCGATCAAGTTCTCGAAGGTGACACAGGCCCTTCTGGCAAATGCGCCTGTGCCATCATCACCACTACGGCAAGGGCAACATAATGAAGCACCCCGCTTCGATCGCTCTGTCAGTGCGAATAAAGCTGGTCTGGATACACCTAGTAGAGCTCCAGGCCTGAAGATTGTGCGCAAAAGCTCGCCATCGGTGCTTGGTCATGATCGAGGTCAAACACCACCACGAATTGTGCAAGTCGGCAAACCTGGATCTGGAGCACGAAGTATCAGTATATCCGGACCATATCCGCAGCGCTATGCAATGAAGCACGAACCTACGCCCGAAGTGAGTATTAAGCCAGAGCTTGTGACACCTGTGCCAGCGCCACGAGCGATGCGCAATATGCGACCACGTGCAGGCAGCAATGGCTCACAGGATGAGCATGGAGCATTACCTACATCAATTAACAGATCTGTCTCGCGAAGTGGTAACCACCATACTTCTGGATCACAGGAACAGAATAGATATGCCAGCGATCATGCCAGAAACACATCAATGCAGCATGCGCCGGAAACTGTAACCAGATACGGACCTGGAACCATAGGACGATCGCGAAATCCCTCGGCAGACCCTCCTGTTCCACCAGGATCGCAGAGAGTGAAACGCGCGCCGCTTGGCACTGGCACCTTCCTAGGTGGCAAAGCACGCCGATTCAAGCGCAGAGACAGTGAAGACAATGTGTCTCCGGTGGACGATGTTCACAATGGTTCAGCATCTCAGCCCAGCACTGCCGGCTATACTCCACATGATCGGAGCACGTCCGGCACAGATGGCGTGCAAAGCCGGAATGACAGTGTCAATACTCGTGCAACCTCGGTGGAGCCTGTGTCCGCACACGACTTTGCTTCGCGGAACGATGGTGGACGCGAGCTACGGCATGCAAATGCAAACTTATCGCGTAGCCAAATGAGTGACGGATCGAGACCACCTTCGCGCCAGACCAGCCGGGAGCAATTACGGAGCAGGCAGCCAAGCGTAGAGCCATATCAGCGGCGAAGACCGAGCATCCCAGCTGCTGATGCAGTGCCGGCAGCCTCAGATCATCAATCACGACAACCGGGCTCAGACGTGCTTGCAGCGAGACCAGCACAGGAGCAGAAGCCACCACAACGAGTGCCGAGTCTAAGTAGAGCACAGTATAGATACGCAGCACCAAAGGTCCATACCGACGCTTCTGAAGACCAGGAAAACATGCCTCCCCCGACCTTCAAGCGCAACAAGGACCAGGACTTCAAAGTATTCGGCCAGAGACCCATCAACATACTCTCAGACGACGAGAAGCCAAAGCCTCGAATGGTTGAGGAAACACCAGTACTAGTGCAACAGCAGGAAAGAAAAGCTCTTGGCGCCATTAGTGGCAATACACCACATCGCCCAGCCCCAGCACCACCACCAAAGATGTCCGTCCTCGAAACAGCAACCACAACAGCCGGAGCCAGTGTCACAAAGTCGAAGAAAAAGCGTTCTCACATAGTAGTGAATGGCAAGATCTTCACCCAGATGGGCAAAATCGGCAAAGGTGGCTCCAGCGATGTCTTCTGCGTGATGGCGGAGAATTATAAGACTTTTGCTCTGAAAAGAGTGAAGCTCGACGACTGCGACGAGAGTGCCGTCCGAGGCTACAAAGGCGAGATCGATCTCCTCAAAAGCCTGTCGGAGGTCGAGAGGGTCGTGCGATTGTTCGACTGGGAACTCAACGACGAGAAACAAGAACTCCTCGTCCTTATGGAGAAAGGCGAGTCGGATCTCAACCGTACTCTGAGCCTCCGCCTCAACGCCCTAGACGCCAAATTCGATAGCGCCTTCGTCCGCTATCACTGGCGCGAAATGCTGGAATGTGTCCAAGCGGTCCACGATCATGATATCGTGCACTCGGACCTCAAACCCGCGAACTTCCTCCTCGTCTCCGGTCGACTGAAACTCATCGATTTTGGGATCGCGAATGCCATCGATACGGACAACACATGTAATGTCCACCGCGAGAGCCATGTGGGAACGCCAAATTATATGTCTCCGGAGAGTATCACCGATACGAATGCGCCGCAACCAGGTATGAGCCGCGATGAGAAGGGTAGGCCGTTGAATCAGAAGAAGGATATGAGGATTGGAAAGGCATCGGATGTGTGGAGTTTGGGCTGTATTCTTTACCAGATGACTTATGGACGGCCACCTTTTGCGCATATTCCCAACCAGATCTCTCGGATTATGGCTATCACGAACCCCGCGCATGTAATCGAATTTCCTTCCACTGGTGTTGGAAACTCCTTCATACCGCCACCGCTCCGTGGCTTGCTTCGGCGGTGTTTGAACAGAGATCCAGAGAAGCGGCCGCTGATCAAGGAGATGCTGGATGACAAGGACGCTTTTCTGAATCCAGATGGTTGTGGTGATGTGGTTCTCATGACGGAGGGCTTGCTGGGACAAATTATTGAGAAGGTTGTTGAGAGGTGTCGGGATCCAGCTAGGGGGGTGCCGGAGAGTCAGGAGGTGTCACAGTATCCGAGGAGCTTTATGGGGAAGATTCGCGAGATGCAGGCTGGTGGATGAACAAGAATTTGGACTGTGGGAGATGTCTGGTCTGCTGGTTATAGCAGTGATGCGTCGGCCGTCTGTGGGACGGGTTGCTTGGAGCTATCTTGGATCGACTGTTTTAAATTCAGCGTGGTGTTGGTGGTGTATGTTTTGGCCTGTATGCCCTTGTTATGCATTCTTGAATGCGGCTCAGTTCGGGCGAAATAAGTCTCCTTCTTTGACAATCGCTCTCCAAGTCTCGGACTTCATTCTCGATGTCCCAGTGCAATCTAATCTGTCGTCATCAGCTTACGCTTTACCCTACCTTGCGTATTGCACAGGCTCTCCGCTTATAGACTAGAACGGCCGGATCTCTTCGTCGTCTTCTTGAAGGCCTCAAGCCAGTCCGAAGCCATAATGGCGCTCAAGAGGGTGGGTTCTGACCGCCGCCTTGTCGTGAATGGCCCTGTTGAAGCAATCTTGCTTGGCGACCAGGGAGCATGCAGATAGTAATGCCAGGGTCGATGGAGATTGTGGTCATCGGGTCTGTCGCTGCACCATTCAACCCACGAGACCCACGGTGACTGCCTACGTTCTTTAGGCTCACGGATACTGTATCGTCGCAGGTTGTTGCGGGGCTGTCACGGCCATGTGGTACACAATGCTTCGCCGATGAGAGCTCCAAAACTTGGCTTTAGCACAGCCTCCACTTGATCAGCATCAGGGAGTATTATTAGCTTTCCACCACGTCGCCAGGTGCCACTCATTGTGCACGACACAAGTCATGCCTAGTCCTTCGTAAGATGTTTCCATTGCAGTGAGGTAAGGAAATAATGCCCCTTTGTCACAATAAGCCGCTGTCTACCGTTCTTCAAAACCTCACCAAGACCACAGCCACAGGGCGTGTCGCAAGGGATAGTCACTGTCATTCTCCGTATATGCAACGATGACGGGCTTGAAGGACCTACTGAAGAAGAAGGACAAGCTCGAGAAGGAGAGAGGTCTGACGACTCAGGAGAAGCAAGATGACTTGGAACTTCCGCAGTTCAAATTTATACGCACGACTACCGAGTCCGAAGAAGTAATCCAGCCGCCTGTCTATCCTGGAGATGAAGCGAGTGGGAAGTCTGGCGATGGGAGTAGTGAGAAGAGCAAAGAGAAGAAGCGACACACCCTCGGCTTCCGCAAGTCCTCTGCTGCATCAACCAAGGACTCCACTGCAGATGGCACCACTCAGGACGAAAACGCTAGAGTACTACCCGTGAGGCCGAAGGCAGAGAGACGCCTGTCAGAGAGACTACACTTGCACAGGGACAAGTCACGATCTACCTCGATAGAATCAAGTACGCATTTACCAGACGACCTCCCAGAAGCACCGGATGCTGTACCTGCACCAGCAAGAGAAGGTAGCAAGGTTGCGGCGGAAGAGAAGGTGGTGACAGAGCAGCGAGAAGTAGAATGGGAAAAGCGAGCAACGATACTAGCTCAAAGCAATCCATTACTGGAGGAACAATTGCGACAACATGAGAAACCGCGATCACGAAGCAAAAGCCCAAGTATATCAGACGCTGGCGGCGATGAGAACATCCAAGAAGCCATCCGTCTCCACGAGGCCGGCGATCTGGAACCCTCAACAGCAATGTTCGGCCGTCTCGCCAATCCAAAAGGTGCAAACAACGCCCTCGCCCAAGTGCTCTACGGCCTCGCACTCCGTCATGGCTGGGGTATCCCTCCCGAACCAGAAAAAGCGATCCACTACCTTTCTCTCGCAGCATCAAACTCAGCATCTATAGAAGAACAGGCCCTAGCCTCAGGAATGAAGAAAGGTGGTGCAGCGAAAGGCGAGCTAGTCCTTGCGATATTTGAGCTCGCGAATTGTTTCCGGCATGGTTGGGGTGTCAAGACTGATCCTATGGCTGCGAGACATTATTATGAGACTGCTGCTAATCTTGGGGATACTGACGCTATGGACGAAGCGGCTTGGTGTTTGATGGAGGGGTTTGGGGGCCTGAAGGATAAGGTACGTACTCTTCCCTCGCAATCGTCTCTAGCGAACAGTCTCGTGATCTGTGGGATTCCGTGTTTGCTCCGCCTTGCAATTGTGCGGATAGGCTGAGCACGATCATGATCACATCATAATCGTGCAATCGTAACCACGGACCCGTCCACCACCTCGCTCCAGTCCTGCACACAAACCAAGACACAGCCCCAGAAGTTGGGCACAAACGCACGTGGGAACCTGCATGTAAGACATCTATGAGGCTGACACCATGCCCTTTCCACACAGTTCAAAGCAGCGCAATACCTCCGACTGGCCGAGCAGAAAGGCAGCAAATCGGTCGGCAATTCCTGGTACGTACCCTCTCCCGCACCCTTTCTCCAGCTCGAGATCTTTCAGACAGCTATGCATGGACGGTAAAGCCGCTGCACAGCATCGAGTCTCGCTTCGCACATGTGCTGAACTGCGAGGCGTGCGTCACGCGGGCACTGCGATGCGAACGTGCGGGTGTACCTGCTTTTTTGCCAGAGGGGTGGTATTGATCATGAGTGGACGGGTCTACTGTCTACGCATCATGCACTCAATGAAGAAGCAAAGCAGATGCAATGGCGGGTTCTGGCTGACTGGCGTCTAGGATTTGGAAGGAGAAGTATAATCCGAAGTAGCAGCGGCGGCCGCTTGATGCGATCACGATATCATTTGTAAGAGAGCTGAGCCATTCTCCACCGACATGGTAGGCCTTGGGCATCACGGCATGCAGCGCAGCCCAGCCTCCGGTGCGTCTGGCTTGACAACGTCCCATTTCACTAGCGAGTCGTCTTGGAATGCGATGTGATGGGCGAGAAATGGTCCCAGCAGGACGCATTATGTCGTATGGACTATCCACACTAGACACAAGGCCACAATCCAGCATCCAAAGCAGACCACTCTCATCTCTACCAATGATCATCAAGCTCAAGGCATCAACGCCGAGCAACGCAAGCGAAATGCCCGTCATCCATCTCTTCATACGTTTGCAAAACACAGGGTATCGCCCGATCGTAAATCAATACCCAAGCTGCCAGTATCCATACTTCGTCAGTATCATCAGAACATGTTCCTATTCCTCATCGCAGAGCCGTAGATACGTAAAACCCATAACCGAAATCAGTGTTGACTGTCGTTTTTGTTGCCGTCAGTAAGCCTCTCATTACATGTGTTGCATAGCTGGTCGTGAAAAGTCGTGAAGAAGTGTAGTGTATGGTAGTAGGTCGTTGTTGTCACCTTAGTCGTAGGTCATGAATGTGACTCATTGCTCAGCTTTGTATTGCTGCTGGCCGTTGCGGCGCCGCTGTTGTCGGCCATCGAGTTCGTCGTGGTCGCGTACGATATCTCTAAACTGTCGTACCACGTCCGAGGAGAGCTGATCCCACAATAGGCTCCGAGAGTAGACTTCAGGCCTGCCAGACTGCTGCACTTCTTGTTGCATAGTGGCAAGCGCGGTGGCGATACTGCTAGGAGCAGACGCCGGCATTTGGTTGCCGTGATCTAGTCCTGCTGGCTCGCCATACACGTTGTAGTCCGTGTGCGTAAGCGAAGCATATTGTGCCGTGGTCAGGGAGTATGCTTGATCATACTCCTGTTGGCGTGTTGGCGACGTGATCGCGCGATGCATATGCTCGAGCCTGTTGGTTGCTCGTGGACTGACATAAGACATTGCCGATGGCTGTGGCTCGTACTCATTTTGAAGGTTGCGACGTGCAGGTGCGGTTTGAGTCGTGCCGCCAGCACCTGCAAGAAGATCCTTAAGCACGGTCGGTGCAGCAGCCTGAACTTCTGCAGGCATGCTGGGTAGGTCAGAAGGTCGAGCATTTGGTGGCTTCGATGCCACGAATGCGCCACAGAGCAGTAGCATAAGCAGAAGTCCCGTGGCAAGCGGCTGCTCACTTGTGTTGTCCACGTTCTTCTTCTTTGGACTTGGTACGATGGTGCTAGCAGACGGTCGCTTTTCGAGGACTGGCGATGACTTGACGGCGAAGCTCATATCATCAAACTGGTCGTTCCGGCAGTCTGGCACAACAAAGAAGTCTTCCCAATCATGTGGACCCATGTTGAGCGCCTCCATCTCGGCGTTGAAGTCCGTGAAGCCAGTACTACTAGGCGCAGCAGACATAGCAGGTGCCTCGAGGGCAAGCTGATCCTTCATCTGGTTGACACGTCTCCGTAGCTGTGATGTCTCCTCGGTGTGTTGCACCTTCAGGCTTCGGATCTCCTCTTGCAGCCCCTCAACAGCACGTTGGCTCTCCTGCAAACGATGGATGAGCATCTGACGCTCGTCCTCCCGCTGTTGCTGCTCAATAGAGAGTTCATGAACTTCCTTCTCCAGAGTATGGATCTGGGAGGAGAAACCCTTTTCGCGGACCTCAAGCTCCTCGGTATGCTTCTTCTTGCGTTGTCGTGATGCGAGCCTACACCCGTATTAGCAAATATCATCCCATTCTAATACAGCTTACTCACGCTGCCTCTCTGTTGCGCAAGAGTCGCTTCTGCTGCTTGAGCTCCTTGAGAAGATCCTCGTCACTGGTCTTGTCAATAAGATCGTCGATGGTCTGGATATTGCGCTCCTGAGGGATGTCGATGCGGCCGTTCTTCTTGCGAATGCCATCCCGACGAGTGAAGTCCATCATGGCACTTGACGGGCTGTTAGGTCGCATGCGCTTATGCACTGGTCGACTGTCCATTTCTCGCTTAGCCATGCCCATCCAATCCTGGTGAGAGTGCGGCGACATGGGTGTGTGCACCTGAGGCGCGGGTATGAAACCATGCTCGCCAGGTGGACCGTTGTACTGTGTTGAAGCGTGCGCGATGGGCTGGTGGGATATGAGGCCATGCGTGCTATCTTGTCGCTGAAGTCCATATGGGCCAGCTTCGAAGTGTGGTTGCGCTATGGGAAATTCGAGGCCGGGCGCCGGTGTGCACTGTCCGGAGTTATCGGCCAGAGTCCAAGTCGCGCCATGTAGAGGATGTCCGTAGGACTGTACTGGTGGATGTGGCCCGCGCGGATGGACAAAGGCATTATGCTCCTCGTGGTAATTGGGCGGCACACAATTCGAGTCGATGGGCAAGCCATTATATTGCTGGTCCCAGCCCTGCGACTCAGGTGGAGAAAGTACACCGTTGCTGTTGGCGAAAGAGTCCCTTCGATATTGGGCGTTCGTTGGGCTTTGCATAATGTCAGCGTCTAGTATCGCTGGGTCTAGAACGCTGGAGTCGTCCTCGTCAAAGTATGTTGGGTGTTTGCCGTCCCTTTGCGGGTGATGATAGCCCAAGCGAGAGTTCGCGAATGCCATGTTAGGCTACTTGTAATGCAAGTTGTCGTTCAAAATCCTGATTGAGCGGTGGTAGGCGGTGTAGGCGGCAGGGTCCGCTCTCATGTCAAAGTCCGCTTGGGTACTTGCATGCGATTTCACCGTCAGAGTCTCCGTGGCGTCCTGGCTCGTGGGACGGCGCGTGAATCGTAAATACAGTGATCGACAAGAATGTGATAGAGATGGAGTCGTGAAGTTGGGTCTGGAGCGACAATCAATGCTAGAAGAAGAGTAGGAAGTGGCGAAAGAGGCAGGCATGTGCTTGCATAGATATTCCTCGTTCCGGCGGCACGTAACCTTCAACCCAAGGCTTGAATCGCGGCGATATGACGCGCAGACAGGTATGAAGGACGAGTAGAAGGAAAGACGCGAAGAGGCAGCTCATTCGATGCCCAAGGTAAAAAAAGCCCGATGCCCACAGTCCTAGTTCTATCGGGTAGCTATGCAGTATCATGCAAGCCCCGCCAATCGCGCCGAGGGCGAGGCTGCTTGCTGCTGCGACAGAGCCCGATCCCGGATTTATGGTTAGAGGATGCATCCTGTAGCTGTGTAGACAATGCTTGCTCTTGGCCATGGTGCGGCTGCCGCGTGACAGACAAGGCTGGTGGCGGCGCGTGGGCAGACAGTATAGTGGAAAGATGTGGCTTGTGACCTGTCGACAGCCAGTCTCTATGCGCACTGTCTCACAAGTCTTGTGCCATTGATAAGGCAGCCGTCTAGCATCTTCTGATCCTCCCGTCGGTCCATGCGACGAGACCACGGGCTGTCGTTGCACCATCATGGCGGATACCAGTGTTGTTTGGGAGTTCAACGAGCCGGGATCTTGTTTCTGAAACGGCAAGGCTCATCGGGCGCGATCGGACCGTCGCGAGCGTTCTCGCCAACGGGTTTCTCGGATTCTCTCGCCCAAACATTGCAGCCCAATATCTTCATCATTGTACTTCTTAAGAGTGTGTGGGAATCCTCGATGCAGGCTTGGTAGCTCGAAAGCAGCTTTGACTCGTTCTCCATCAAGCTCTCTAGACCACACCAATATGCATGGCGTGTGAGGGAGACCGGGCTGGGCTTACTTGCTTTCGGCACAACATGGAACTCTGTTCACGGGCAGCGGCATGTGAAGAGCGGCATTTCACCGCTGCTATGACTCCCGATTTCTTCCAGCAATGGCATGGAGAGGTGCGAGTTTTGATAGTCTAAACGAGTCATTCCAGGATGAAAGCTGATCGCTGGAAAGAGCGGTATCACACCGCCACGGACCGCTGCAATGAGAAGTGGTGACAGCATCCCATCGTGGTCGCAACCTGGTGGATGTGGCGCTCAAAATCTACTGTCCTCGGGCGATTTGCGTTTAGGAACTTTCCTTGATGCTCTGGTTTGCTCGTATGCTCGTACGGCTTATGACGATAGCAGGCAGGGTGAGCGCAAGCAGCAACTTCTTCCTTCATCTACATAACTCGCAGCGTGATCGGACTGCAGATGGCGCTTCACGTGCGCTTCGCCCTTATATTCGGGCAGCATTGAATGCTGAATTTCATCACGATCGAGTGTTGAGCTACAGCTTCGATCTTCGAGTCAAGAGCGACAAGGCTTACAGCTCTCAACAGACCACATAAGGGTAACCCTTATGTCACACGAACCGCTGTATGCGCATGGTCCAGCTCTGGTAGCGAAGGCAGCAAAGTGCTCGGGGAATGCTTTGCGGCATAGCAGCCCGAACAGGTACGAAGAGCTAAGTAGAGTGGGGGCGAGGATATTCGAATACTCGACCCGTTTTACGCTGCAAGCGCGGAGAGCTTCAGAGCCAATGATTCCTGCCAATGATTCCTGCCAATGATCTTGACTGTGAGCGAAGACTAATCTTACCCATCCCTTGTGATCGGACAAGTCAGCGTTCCGTCAACAAGCACGGTATTTTGTTTATCAGCACTCGAGAACGAAGCGAGGCACCATTCCTTGCCCATGCGAAGTGCTGGGTTCTGACATACTCGCCTTCGCCAGCATGGCCATTCAAAATGTTGAGCATCCTTCTGAAACGATGCCAGTGAGCAGCCACACTCGGGATCACATCTCGTTGCATGCGCGTCGCAGATCCTATTCATCTCGTATACGTCCGAGTCAAGCTTGTGGCATCACAGATTGCCGATGGTCTGCCATGGATGGTAATCTCACCTCTCATCCACCCCCTTTCAACCTCTCCAAGTCTCGATGCTAGACCAGTATCGCTTCATGTTGCGTTCGTGGTAGTCGCTGCTTCGAACTCAGCCATTGTTGGGATCGGACGGCCATTATCACGAGCTGGGAGACATGTCAGCATAAGCAATACTGCCTAGCAACCGCCCACAGATCCCACCTACCCGTTCTCTTCGCTGCCGCATAGGCATCAATACGATGCTGGTTTTGCAATCTATCTTGCCGCTTCTTCTTCTCGTCTGTGAGCCTGTGCAGCTGCCTAACGTACAGTGGATCGTCTGCTTTCGCTCTGATCGTCGTTTCGAACGACACCTGAGCATTGACATAGCCAGTATCAGAGTTGTGATCAAACGGCGAAGCATCGGGACATAACTTATGACTCTCCTTGAGCCGTGCAGTCGTGTCCACAATATCGCCAACTGTGATACCTGTCCCTGAGGTGATGGTCTCAGCAGGCGGCCTCTCATCGCCGGGTCGATGTCGCCAGAAGCGTGGTCCGGCGCAGCAGCTGGTGTATGCTTGAATCGACTTGATCGGTGGTTGGCATATGAACATCGATCGACACTTGCTGCCTATACCCAGCTTGCATGGTATAGAGTCCATCATTACTTGTATCCGTATCCAGGCATCGTCAGGATCACTCCCTTCCTTCGGCTCGACGGCTTCAGTGTTAAGGAACAGCTCGGCGAACCAGAAGTCATGGGTTGGGAAGTAGATCTTGCCACCCTTGTCTTCGCGAAAGCCAAGTTTCCGCTGCACTTTTGCGGAGGAGAGGATATTATCGCGGAACATTGTGCAGACGGACGTTGCTCGCATTAGGTCTGGATTAGGTAGCTGCAAAAGTATGAGTTCCAGCAGTTCAGGCGTGCTTGACAACTTCTCCACTAATGAAGCTCTCTTCCTCGAACGTCGGTACTGAGGTGGTATACTGTTCAGCACGCCTTCGTTCGCGGTCGCAATATGATCGAGGTTAGCCCTCATGGTGTTAGAGAAGACTGTAAGGCCTGGTCTTTGCTCCCTTCTGCCGCATGCGTCAAGGTCATCGGCAAGGCCGCGTAATTTGCTTTCTGCTCGTTGTACCTGCTGATGGCGAGCATACTGTGCCAAACCGACCTCCATACTGGTGAGACGATCGTAAGATAGCAGCTTCTGCCACTGATGAAAATTAGACAATCCATATGGCGTCTCGGCGGCGACGTCTTCGATATTGGTCATCTCGGGTGGCTGTTTGCTTCCTGAAAAGCTGAGCAACTTGTATGATCACAGCTTGTTGCAGGATCTGCTGAGTAATCGGGGAAGGTGCAAGAGATGTCCTCGAGTATGTTTTGTAAAATGCTGATGTGCGCGACGGTGATAGGCGCGCGGCTGCGATCATGCACGTTGGACGTTGGACGAAGAAGTGAGAGGATTTAAGTGGGGCACAAAATCATGACTCAGCGCGGGTGTCGAGAACTTTAATTTTCGATCTAACAACAAAGATACATGCATAAAGCATGGGAGGACTAGATCGGATAGCCACGAACTCGCAATGAGAATGACTCGACGTAATATCAAGAACGCAAAGTAGCTGCTAGATAGTAAAGTGACGTATCGTGTGAATGACAAAGCTGGCGACGATCCGGGGCAATGGCGTGCTGGTTGATCGGATCCGGCAAAACCTAAATGGAATGCGTTATGTAACTTGCGTCGGAGTCCTTATTATATCCTTACTTCCTCGCGGTAAGGTACACGATATACTCGTTCGATAGTCGGAAGATTCACCAGCTCCCAAAGATCATCAGCATCGGAAGTTTCTTTCCCTGTCAAGGCTACACCTGGCATATCATAGACCCGGTGCCAAAACATTCTGATCAATCACCATGGTCACCGACCATGCACCTATCGAGACGCCCCCTCGAGCTCCGTCTCCAGTGCACGGCTTTGGCACCCTCGCGGTACATGTAGGCTCCGACCATGACCCTACCACTGGAGCTGTTATCGCGCCCATCTCGCTCAGTACAACCTTCGCGCAGAGCGCCGTAGGACAACCTATTGGAGCCTTCGAGTACGCAAGGTCGTCCAATCCGAATCGAGAGAATCTCGAGAAATGCATAGCATCACTGGAAAAAGCGAAATATGCTCTGGCATTTTCATCTGGCTCTGCAACCACTGCGATTATCCTCCAGAGTCTTGCGGCGGGTAGCCATGTCGTTTCGGTCTCAGATGTGTATGGTGGCACCCACCGATACTTCACTCAGGTCGCGTCTGCACATGGCGTGCGAGTGACGTTCACACCTTCCATCGAAGTCGACATCGAGGAACTCATCATGCCGGAAACAAAGCTCATCTGGATCGAAACACCATCAAACCCCACATTATCACTAGTCGACATTCGAGCAGTGGCGAACATCGCTCACCGCTCGGGAATCATGGTCGTAGTCGACAACACCTTCCTCTCACCCTACATCCAGAATCCACTGGAGCATGGTGCCGACCTGTGCGTTCACAGCGTCACGAAGTACATCAATGGCCATAGTGACGTAATCATGGGCGCAACAGCTTTCAATTCAGACGCACTGTACGAGCGCCTGAAGTTCTTGCAAAATGCCATCGGAGCAGTGCCTTCAGCCTTCGACTGCTGGCTTGCACATCGTGGTGTCAAGACCTTACATCTGCGCGCACGACAAGCCAGTCAGAATGCTTCTATGGTTGCTCACGCGCTGGAGGAGTCGATCCATGTCATCGCGGTCAACTACCCGGGATCCAACTCGCACAAGCAGCGGAAGATCGCAATCAAGCAGCACCGAGATGGTTTGGGAGGTGGAATGCTCTCCTTCCGCATCAAGGGTGGGAAGCCAGCAGCGGAGCGCTTCTGCCAAGCAACGCAGATCTTCACTCTGGCGGAGAGTTTAGGCGGAGTGGAGAGTCTGGTCGAGGTACCGGCTAGCATGACGCATATGGGCATTCCCAAGGAACAACGAGAGGCTGCTGGTGTCTTTGATGATCTAGTACGGCTGTCTTGTGGCGTGGAAGATGGTGTCGATCTGGTTGCAGATATCCGTCAAGCGCTGGAGAAGGTCGTGGTTGCCACCAAGGTCACGAATGGGCTGGCTAATGGTAATGGGCATCCCATGAGCAATGTCTAGAACTAGATATACACGCCACAGGGCTGTCATTGGTCAAAGAGAAGCGATCTGATGGATCGTCCGATTACGGCTTGGATGTCCATGTTACACATGCAAGTCTTGCTGCGGCATGCTGACTCGTGCAGTGTCGTACAATGCAGCCTGCCCCGCCCATGTACGTGGTGAGTTATCTCTTCCTCGCTGATGTCTTTATCTCCAATCTTTCATCTCATGCTGAACACCTCCATTCACCATATTCTGAAACATTATCGGACTAGACGAAGTATGCGTTCATTCAAGGCCAGGATAGAGAACCGGACTCGGGCAAAGGCATCGTCAGAAAGGGTCATCACCTGGGAGCTCAATCGGGAGATATCTGCTAAGGACGAACTGGATCATGCTCGGAAAGGCCTCGCACACCAGCTGCAGCTCCAGCGCAAGATCATATCATTACAGGATTCTAGTTCAGCCGGGCAGACAGGGCCCGAAGATCTGAGAGCGAGCCTTGCTGAGCTTCGGCATCATGTCGAAGGTGTGAAAGCTTTCTTCGCCGGCTTGACGAACCCAATGTTGTACAATGAGCACATCAGCTGGTCTCAGCGTACCGATGAGTCCGCTGCTCACGAGGTTTTCGGTATGCCCGAGATGCTCGAGATGATCCTGGAATACTTGAGCATACGAGACATCTTCGCCTTCCAGCAGACCACTTCTCAAGCCAAAACCATGGTTACTGGCTCACCGAGACTCCAATCACTACTATTCCTGCGACCCGATCCAGTAGAAGCTCCTTTTCGTCAGCCGCCGCTTGACGCCTTGGCTGGGCTTGAGCTTTGTCGGCCTTGTCCGCGTGTCGATCCAACGGAAGTCCGTGTTGTTGTTTTGTATCAGAAGACAAGACCGAAGCTCGGAGAGAATTACAGAAGGATGTTAGTTGCACAGCCTCCAGTGCACGATATGGACCTGACCATCTCATGCTGTAATGGTAACGGAGGTCGACAGCGTAATGTGACGATTGGCATCCACTGCGATACTGGGTTCCGTTTCGGCAATCTTCTGGATCTTGCCGTACAGAAGCAGATGGAACACCGACACTGTCCTTTCGCCGAACTAGACCTGCACGATGAGGACGGATTCGTCAGACCAGACGTGACATTTGTCGGCCATGCGTCGCGATTGCCTCTCGTGACCGCTCTTGTCGCTGGAGCTTCGAGCCCGTGGTTTCGGGACGTTCTCGTGCCAGGGCCAACTACTGATGATTTCCAACAAGAGCTGCATCAATACATCTTACACAAGCAACAGAGTGAGTCACTTCGCGTGGTTCCAGGCTGGATATCCCCAGTACTAATGTACGCGTAGCACATGCCGGAGGCCACATCATTGAGACAGTCGGAGAATAGCGGGGTTGCCAGGCCGATTTCGACGCCGGTGGTGTCGGCGAGACTTGATAGAGGACTTTGGGACGACCAATCTCACGGAAGAAGAGAGCATGAGTGCCGCAGGATACAGCCTTCGTGCCGCCAGGGCCACTATCCCACTCTATTGTTTCAGTACATTAGGTACGAGGACGGCTCGTGTAATCCTGGCTCCTCGGGTGAACGACAGGCTGGGGACAATATTGCAGCATCGCCGACATGCAATGCGGGATCATTTTGGGGCTTGAGTGTGGCGTCGACGGTGGTTGCGATCTTGGACCACAACCAGGGCTCGCGCTCCATGCCTGCAATGGTAGAGAGTTGCTCGTGAGTTGTGATGAAAGTTTCAGCGTTCACTTAGCTAGAGACTCTACCCAGTCAGGGAGAAACGACCCGCACATTAATAGCCGCTCATGTATCAGGGGCGACCAGCGTTGTCTTTCTCAGCGGACGCCTAGTCTTTGCAAGAGAGACTTCGGACATGATTTCTTGTCACGTACCGTCAACCCAATCGTCATAAGAATGTTGGTCGCGGACCGTCCGTTGGGAAGATGCGGATGGTTTGTACGCAGACAGGAAGTTGGAGTTTGGAATGAGAACACTGACTGCGGTCGAAAACGAGTTTTGATGTTCGCAATGCGAATTGGTGGGCAAGCGCGCAGGGCGTAGGTAAGGAGTCATCATCTGATCAGGGAGATGCTTTCAATTTTCTAGAATCCCATCATGTACACCAGACTGGGGAGCAGGAGTCAACCACTGAAGCTCAAGTTCTATCGTGGAGAGGAATTTCTTTACTCAAGCTCAACACCACCCTCAATCTCCTCAATTCCCCTCACCCTCACCTCCTTGATCCGCAAGATCGTATGCCGATGCTTACTCTTCACCGTCTTCACCTTCCTCTGTCTTCGCTTCGTCTTTTCTTTCGTCTGCATCGGCTCGCTTTCCACCCCCATGACTACTGCTCTGCATACATAGAGCCTCTCGTCTAGATATGCGACCTTTCCCTTGGCGATGTGGGGGATGAAGTGCGGTGCCACCATCTGACTGCCGGTTGCGGTTGCGGTTGCGGTCTCGGTGCCAGGTTCCGGCATCATGGCGCTGTGGCTTTCTAGTTGCCCTGTCGTGGGATCTTGCGCCGTGATGGTCATGGTGGTGGTTGATTTTAGCTTCGGTGAAGGGGCAGAGGGTTTGAGGGTGTAGTCTCTGCTTCCTAGATTGCTGGCGCAGTTCAAACGGAGGATGTCTCCCGGTTCCACGCCTTTCATGTGGAAGGGGAGCCGGACGGTGTCGCCTTGGGTGAGGAGGTAGGGTCGGTCGTACAGATGGGCGGTGATGAAGTGTGGGCCCTGGGCTTGGAGGATTGGGAGGAGTTGGCGGACGGTGTCGGAGAGGGCGGGTGGGGAGGTGGTGGTGGTGTGGGATGATGGTAGCTCAGGTGTTGGCGGAGGTGGTGGCATAACTGATGTCTTTGCTGGTCTTGGCGATGGGCCTTTTCGCTGACTAGATACATGTTGTGCAGCATTGACGAGCGGCGGAGGGAGATTGTTGGCTTCGGTCGCGTGCGAGACTGTGGTGAGACAGGCGGCCCAGGGAAGTAGAAAGGTCGGTGGTATTGACCATTGCGAGTCGAGCAGCACTCGCTTGAGATTTCGTGTGAGCATCTTGATTGATCAATATGTGGTGATAGTGCAATCGCTGCTATTCTGCTGTCTCGTCTTCTCCGTCTCGAAGCTCTCAAGTCCGCAGGAGGAACAGATCTCGGCATAATCAGCGGCTAGATCCGCCGTGCCAAGATATCGACTTGCTTCAAAAACTTCCCGTCGACTATCTCATCCACCAATTATCATACCACACAGAACGCCTCCCACGCCGGGACGGATTCATCGCCAACATGCCTCAAAATGAATACATGGAACGCTTCACCAAGCAGCACGGCAAACGACTGGACCACGAAGAACGAGTCCGCAAGCGCGCAGCGAGAGAAACCCACCATGCCTCCAAACAAGCCCAGAACCTCACCGGCCTCCGCGCCAAACTGCACCAACAGAAACGGCACAAGGAGAAGATCCAGATGCGCAAGCAAATTAAGCAACAAGAGGAGAAGAACGTCAAGGGCGCCGAGGACAGTGGGCCCAGCAGCACACCGTTGCCTTCATATCTGCTTGATCGAGGCAAAGAGACGAATGCGAAAGCATTGAGCTCAGCGATCAAGAACAAGCGGGCGGAGAAAGCGGCGAAGTTTTCTGTGCCGTTACCTAAGGTGAGGGGAATTAGCGAGGAGGAAATGTTCAAGGTGGTGAAGACGGGGAAGAAGACGGCGAAGAAGAGTTGGAAGCGGATGATTACGAAACCTACCTTCGTCGGACCGGATTTCACTCGGCGACCTGTGAAATACGAGAGGTTCATCCGGCCAATGGGTCTGAGGTACAAGAAGGCAAATGTGACGCACCCCGAGTTGGGCGTGACGGTGCAGTTGCCCATCATCAGTGTGAAGAAGAACCCGCAGAGTCCCATGTATACCCAGCTGGGCGTGCTGACCAAGGGCACGATTGTGGAGGTGAATGTTAGTGAGCTGGGGATGGTGACGGCGGGAGGGAAAGTGGTGTGGGGACGGTGGGCACAGGTCACGAATAATTGTGAGAATGATGGGTGTGTGAATGCTGTGCTGCTCGTTTGAGGTCATGAGTGGGATATGCTTGTGTGTGGGTTGTGGTATTTTTCATGCGGCTTAGCGAGGTGTCTGGCGTTCGTATCTGCATGTGATGACATTGAAATGCTCACAATCCTCCTTCACTTGACGTCAATGTCACTAGGAGCTCGTATCGGAAGCTTTTCACCCTTCTCCATCAGCTCTCCGTACCAAAGCTGTGCTCAGAAGCCCAGCGACTCTTTACTCCAGTCCACGTCTTGACGGCCTACATTCACAATCATCCTTCATCCAGTGTTCAGGGTCACTGAAGGCTGGAACGGGAGCAAGTTTGTGTTGGGATAGTTCACTCTTTTCTTCTCAGCGGAGTGGTTCTCTGCACAAAACTACTGCGCACCCTGCAGTCTAGTCTCCATCTCGATCATATACGCATTCGATAGGAAACGACATGTTGCCACCAGATATGAAGGCGAGTGGCACAGCAGCGTTCTGCAGAGAAAGCAATCTGCCGCAATCGAGAACGATGCCGCCGGCAATGCCCGCTGTTACGCCTCAACTGCGCTCTCAAAGCTGCAAGATGCATAGTCCCTGCTTGCCTAGCTATAACAGCGACTACCAGCCGTACAAAAGGTCGATGGTAATGGCCTCCAATGCCTCTTCCAGAGTGTCATGGAAGAAGTCTCGAATGTACAAGACGCTACAGCTACTTTCCACCGTCCCTTGCTTTGGGTCGACGAAGCTTCGGCGCCTGATAGGAAGTCGTTCGACAAAAGTATTCGATATCCCAGAAAAGCTGCGGGAGATGATCTTTCTGGAGCTGGAAACCATAGACCTGCTGGCCTGGAGCGCATCAACACATTCTTCGCCGCCCACATCAATGGGCTCCGCTGTGCTGGAACGGCGTATGAGCCTCGTCCCTACCGCCAAAGCGCACTTCCGCCTGACCTGTCTCCGAAAGTGTTCAGCAAGCCTGGTCGCTTCGTTCACCAAAATCTATACCCCCCTGACGAGGATACGGGGAGAGTGCGCGTGTAGGGGCCCAGAGTACGATGCGGCGTCCAGAACTCAGCGACAAAATGAAGCGCATGCTCATCGGCCAACCGCCACTCACCGAGATCGTCCTGACATCTATCTGCTGTAGCGCCAGGCACGACATCACTTCGACCTCGGACATCACCTTTTAAGCAATTGACCGATGGAGGCCGAGGTTCTGCGTCGTGAGCATCGCCTGTGTCCTTTTGCTGATATCGTCTATCATGCCGAACATGGCTATGTAGATATTCAACCATGTTTGTCCAACCGGGTCAAGGTCCAGAAGACGGACCCTTCGTATCGAGGCGCCAAGGCTGTCTACGAGGAGGATCTGGAAAGAGAGGCGAATGTGGCATCCCTGGAGCCTTATATCGCTGCCAAGCTCGAAGGTCAGTCATCTGGTACTCTTCTCTTTTCGGTGTGTCGATGCGTGATTTACTGACTGTCTGCGCAGCTGCTGCCCTCGGGCTCGTGATCCCTACTTTCGCTGATTTCAAGGAGGCTCGGGGCGCAAGGGTGCGGCACATGACATGACGGCGGAGTTGTCTCGACGCGAGGAGCTGGGGAAGTGGTCAGGGATGGATTCTTGGTATTGTGCGGGGTGCCATTGGCAGGATCCTGGGGCATACTCGTGGCGAGGTGAGAGTACCACGATATGTGTTCACTTGTCAGTGTACCTCACACCTCGATCGAATGATCCAGTTCGCGACCATGGTAAGTCGGCTACATTATACCTATGCCTAAGCTCATAGCACTCTCCCTCGCGCCGCCACTGAAATGCATGAACAACACCACCAGCACGGGTATGCCATCCAATCCCCAAAAACGCCATCATAATGCCACATATATCATGAAAATCATATCCACTCCATTTCAGCCCAAAAGACCAGCTAGACCTGCACCGCACTCCTAGCCAAACTCCGCTTCAACCCCATCCCCCCACCACTCCTCCCCGCCTCCCTCGCACATCCCCTCAACAAAGGCTCCTCCACAAACCCAGCGCCCCCTGCTGTCTCAAACCTCCCAGCTTCCTTGCCCAAACTGTATCCCGCGCTGAAGCTCAACGCACTCAAGAACACCACCACCCCGGCTGAGACAACCCATGTTAGAAGCGTAGGAGTAATTAATATTGGCAGGTCTTCATTCGAAGCCATTCGTCTGGCTTTCTTCAGAGCGCGGCGCTCGCGGCTGGAACTTCGGCCGCCGGTTGTGAGGTGCGGGGTGGCTTTGCGTTTGTTTTCTTTTAGACGGGTCGAGGATGTAGAGGCGGATGTAGAGGTTGAAGTCCGCCGGATCGTGGGCTGGAAGGTTGGTTCGTGCAGGTGTTGAGGAGGGGATTTGGGGCCGGGGAGTTCGGACTCCGGGAGGAGGCGGAAGGAGATGGGTTCGATGCGGTTGGGACGCGTTGGAGCTGCAACGATGGTGGTTTGGGGTCGTTTGATGGTGGTGTCTGGTTTTGAGAGGCTACGGGCTGCGGCACCGATGGAGAGGAGGGTCGTCAGACTAGCTCGCAGCGCTTCATCGTGTTGGGCTGCCGCATTGTAGGAGGGTGAGAGGATATTTTGTGGCATATGGCTTGGTTGGCGTTCTTGGCCTGTTGGGTAGGATTGTCTGGTTGTTGGCCGAGAGGGCTGGCGTGGGGAGGGGAAGTAGGATCCCGGTACTGGTGCGCTGCCGTGTCTGGCTTGTCCGGCTGCGGAAGGTGGGTGGGAGAAGGCATTGGGTTGTGGTGTGAAGCATTCACGGTTGCTGATGGGCTGATTGATCGCTGTGCGGTTCTCGTCGTCGGAGTCTAATCGTTGCGGCACATGTTCCGATGATGCCGATCGTAATGCGTGTCCCAGCTGAGTAGGGTAGATATGTCCAGGCAGCCGCAAGCCCTCTCCAGACGATGTCATGACCTGGTCCGACTCGCTCTCGCTCTCTTCGTACTCTTCCTGACTACTTGCACCGCCTCCTGCACTAGCTGGTCGGTGAGTGATGTTGAGATGCGATGGAGCGGTAGGACGAAGCGTCCGTCGTCGTCGGTTTCGAGGGTTATGCTGTATACGCAAGCCTGTCGTCACTACGTCGTCGTTGATTGAGGACAAGGACGACGACGACGGCTGCGATGCGATCTCAACCCACGATTCTGCGTGGAAACTGTCAGCATTGTGCGTAGGGCCCATATTGCGCAGTATTCGATGTCAAGTATCATGTTGTTATCGCTAAAAGCATGAGGGAAGCATCAGGCCTGGACTGACCTTCTGATCGCGTGCGCCGGTCGAATGACGCCGACCTCGAGGTCATATCCATGATGCGCTCCAGCAAACAAACAGTATATCGCTTGTCGACCTGTCACAACAGATACCGCCCAGAACGTCTCAGGATCTCTCCCAGATATGCGACAGCGCTCTCAGGTCTCGTTGTCGTATACTCCCTCAACCAAGGTGCAGTATCGTCCCACGGGACCCCACCACTGATGTACGGAGATAACAGATCTCTCGCCCAGTAGTCCTGCAGTTCCACTTGCACGAACGTGATCGCGAGAAGCGGCTGACGGGGATGTGATATATCAGGGTCCTACGACAGGAGCAGTACAAGAAGGGTAGTATCGTAGTATGTCTAAGACAGGCTGGAGTCGGTGTAACTTGCTGGCAGGTGATCACGCCCAAGGTGGCATGACGATCGCTTCGCTTCGGCTGCGTGGGGGCGGGGATGCGATGCGATGCGATGTGATTGATCGCGGGCCACTCCCCCGCTAAATATCAATGTTATTGAGATCAGAACAATGGCGATAGGGTTGATGGCCAGGATGAGGAAAGTAGAGTAGACATGCATGAGAGCACCCGGGGAGAGACGCAGGCAAGGTGGGAACGTATGCTGGAGTCCGCATCATATGAACACGCGGGCAAGGCATAATCAAGGTAGCGGATGGGATTGGATGTGAGAGAGACCAAGTATACCATATACGTTCGTACATCTATCCGCACTAAGAAGTACAATCCCATCCATCAACGCCGTCCAAAACACTTTTTCCAAACAATCGTTACGTTGCTCGCCTCCACCATCAGACAGCATGAACCAGATCAGCGGGAACAAACTCCTCAGCCATGCTTGCGCTTGACCTCGGCCTTCATGTTCGTAGAAACTAATCCGTGCTTCGTCGTCAGAGCCTTCGACGAGCTATCAGGTGAAGCACCCTTAGCAAACTCCCGCGCGAAATCCATTACACGATTCTTCTCGACCTCACCCTCAACACGCTGCGTCGACGATTCCTCCTAGAAAGTCGTCTTCTTGCCCTTGAAGCCACCAACAGCACCTCCCTTCTTGGCCTTCTGCTTTGACTCCTTTTGGCCATCAGACTTGTCCTCCTAGAACGTCATCTTCTTGCCGCTGAAGTCACCAAAGCCGCCGCGGTTAGTGGTGCCGCCGCGTCCACCGCCACGGCCCCCGCGATCCCCAAATCCGCCGCGACCACGGCCTCCGCCGCGCCCACCGCGGTCTCCAAAGCCGCCGCGGCCACGTCCTCCCCCACGCCCGCCACGATCGAATCCGCCACGGCCACCACGTCCACCGCGGTCGCCGAAGCCACCTCGACCGCCTGAACCACCGTTATCAGGACGAGCGGAAGCATAGTCAAGACGCACTGGACGGCCAGCAAGATCAGCGCCCTGCACAGCCTCGAAAGCAGCAGTAGCCTCATCGATGGAAGACATCTCGACGTAGCCGAAGCCCTTCAAAGCACCAGTGTCGCGATCGGTAGGGAGACGGACAGCCTTGATGGTACCGTACTCGGAGAACATCTCGGTGACCATGTTCTCATCGGCCTCGAAGCTAACGTTGCCGACGAACAAAGTCGAGCTTGGCTCCTTGGGTGTGTCGCCATACTGCTGAGCACGGGCAGCGCCCTTCTGTTGAGGAGTCTGGTTGTTGTCGCGCTCAGCACGTGGCTGGCTGAAGTCCAGGCGGATGTTGCGACCATCAAGCTCAGTGCCGTTCTTGGCCTCAACGGCGGCAATGGCGCTTTCAACGTCCTTGAACTCGATGTAGCCGAAGCCCTTGCTCCTGCCAGAGTCACGGTCCGTGATAATGCGGACACCAGTGAGCTCGCCGAACTCTTCGAACTCGCGGGTAAGCCACTCCTCATCCATGTTCCAGCTGAGCTGGCCAACGAATAGGTTGTTGGTGGCATCCTTCATCTCGCCGTCGATCATGACCTTGCTGCGCTTGGGAGTAGACTGAGTCTCGGCCTCAGCCTTGCGCTTCTTGCTTGGCTTCTCCTCAGCGGCAGGCTTCTCCTCTTCCTCTTCATCGTCGCTGTCATCTGAGTCATCCTCGTCGTCATCCTCCTCAGCCTCGCCATTAGGCTTGAGCTTGGCGGCGGCCTCATCATCATCATCTTCCTCGGAGTCGTCGCTGGAGTCGTCATCGGCGTCGGCCATCTTGGTGTCCTTGACTGCACCAGCCTTGACATCCTCCTCGTCGTCGTCGCTGTCGTCCTCATCGCTCGAGTCTGCCTTGGCCTTTCCGTTCACAGCACCATTAGCTTTGCCGTTGGCCTTGGGAGCTGCGGCCTTCGCTGGTGGAGCCTCATCCTCATCGTCCGAGTCATCGTCACTGCTGTCGTCCTTGGCGGCGGCGCCGTTGGTCTTTGAACCGGTCTTGACTGGGACGGTCTCCTCTTCGTCTTCGCTGCTGGCAGAGCTGTCGCTGGTTGCTTCCTCCTCCTCAGAAGATGGCTCGGGAGTAGGCTCCTTCTTCGACTTCTTGCTCTTCTTCTTCTCGACAACCTTGGCGGTCTCCTTGGCAGAAACCTTGGATGCGGCCTTTGGAGTCTCGGACGGCTTGGTCACGCGACCTGCCTTCACCTTCTCGGTCGGCTTAGCGACTTGTGGAGCGACAGCGGCAGCCTTGCTACCCTTCTTATCCTTAGCCATTGCTGAAGAATCTGTGACAAGTGTGTATGTCTGCGCGATAGTCAGTGATCAGCCCCAAAGTAGTGACGGCGTGCAGTAATCTCTCTCTTTCGTCTCAGACACCCAGCAGCAAGAGCGCAAGCACTCAAGCGCGAATAAGCAACAGTAGCAAAGCAATAGCCCACGAGTAGCCGAAGCCACAACAAGCCCTCAGTAGCCCAGTCCTTGCCGCCGAAGCGACTATGAAGCCCACGAGTCGACACACACGCGAAGGTGTATAGTGTCTAATGCCAAACAGCCCACTGGATCGCAAGCGAGCAGCTGAGTGTCAAGGCGCTGCGTTCCCACAAGGAAGCCGAGAAACTGTCGCTGCTACTACGCGATCAACCTGCCCAACAAGCCCACGACGGTGCTCGTTCACGGCGCTGATACCAGCGGTGAAGAGATATTCTTTCAGGAAGCCAACGAACCGATTGATATATTATCCCTCAAGTAGCCCACTGATTGAGAACTGTTTGCTGCGATATGCCTCGATATATCCCTCAGAAATGGAGTGTTGCGTAGAAGTTGTGTGGGTAGAAAATCGTTCTCGTGCGCAAGAAAAATGCGGTGATAAAAGCTCGAGTTCTTAGCGCCGCGCACGGACGAGATTGATAAGATCTTCGGGAAAGATAATCATTCGCCGACCTCGAGTAGTGGTTGTTGCCCAAGCAGGCAGGACGATATGGACATTCACAAACAGCGACCATCCTCAACTCACGGGACGGTCAGAGTATAGCTGGAACTGCTATATCGTCACTGGCAACTGGCGCGCTGGGATCTGCAACTTTCTGCTCTTGCCACCGGACAAGGCCACAGTTTTCCACCACTCAGGGGCCGAACATGCCGCGATAACACAAGTACCACAATAAAACATCATGGCTCCCTCCACACCCTCCAGCCATCGCCCTCGGAAGAAGAGAATTGGCGAGCCCATCACTTCAAATGGCACCGTGACGACCGATCCGTCGACCAAACAGGACAAACCCGCCTTCCCGCTCGCCGCCTTCTTCTGGCCAGCCAAAGGCACAGGTCTGTCCCAATGGATCCTTCTCCCCATTATTCTCATGATCGTATTTCTGTTCAGATGGACGACCGCGATGTGGCCTTACTCGGGCATGCAAAAGCCACCTATGCATGGTGATTTTGAAGCGCAAAGGCATTGGATGGAACTCACTATCCACTTGCCTGTCTCACATTGGTACTTCCATAATCTGGACTGGTGGGGTCTGGACTATCCGCCGTTGACGGCTTATCATTCATGGGTGCTCGGACAGATTGGGTGGTTGGTTGAGCCGAACTGGTTTGAGCTTTATCTGAGTCGTGGGCTGGACGATGCTGGGTTGAAGGTATTCATGCGGGCTACTGTCGTGGTTTCCGAGTACCTCGTCTACGTGCCCGCCGCGGTTTTCTGCGTCCGCCAACTGGCCAAGCTACACAACATCAACAACTGGGAGTCTTCAATCGCGCTCACAGCCCTGCTAATGCAACCTGCCACCCTGATCGTCGATCACGGTCACTTCCAGTACAATACGGTCATGCTCGGTCTCACACTTGCAACAATCGCAAGCATGCTTGCCGGACGACCATTATGGAGCTGTGTGTTCTTCGTGGGTGCTCTGGGATTCAAGCAAATGGCACTTTTCTATGCACCAGCAGTCGCGGCATATCTGGCTGGCGTTTGCCTATTCCCAAGAATACAGCCTCTTCGATTCTTCGGGCTCGCCATCGTCACCTTGGCTTCGTTCGCAGTTCTGGTCTTGCCACTAATACTAGGCACAGCATACGACGCATACCGTAATGTGCCTCTACCATCAGATGCTGCTTTGCCACCACTACTGACGATGATACCATTTGACCTGTCAGAGAAAGCCTGGTACTATCCATACGTTGTTCAACTCGCGCAGGCTGTCCACCGCATCTTTCCATTCTCGCGCGGTCTTTTCGAGGATAAAGTGGCGAATATATGGTGCGCTGTCCACTGCTCTGGTATACACAAGCTACACCAATACGACTCCGCCTTGCTTTCGCGTGCGGCACTGGCCTTGACACTGACATCTATCGTGCCGCCATGCGCACTCCTGCTCTTCTTTCCGAAGAGAGAAGTGATCCTTCCCACCTTTGCAGCCACGGCATGGGGTTTCTTCTTGTGCTCTTATCAGGTTCATGAGAAAAACGTGCTTTTACCACTCCTACCAATGACGCTTCTGTTAGCTAGAGAGGGGGGCATGAAGCCTGCTATACGAGCCTGGGTCGGCTATGCCAATATTCTCGCATGCTGGACTATGTTTCCGCTGTTGAAGAGGGACGAACTGCGCATACCGTACTTCGTGCTAACCGGCCTCTGGGCATATCTTCTTGGACTACCGCCGCTCAACATCAGCGCTTACATGATCTCTGGCGGAGATGGCGGATTGCATATTCCAAGCAAAGCCATCCACATTGGCACATATATTGCAATGGTGGCGTGGCACTTTGGTGAGGCCTTCGTACCGCCACCGGAGAACAAGCCGGATATATGGGTAGTGGCAAATGTCTGCGTCGGCGCGGCAGGATTCGGCTTGTGCTATTTGTGGTGTTTATGGCAGGCAGTGCAAGTGAGTGGTCTGCTGGGACGAAAGACTGAAGTGGTGAAGAAGATGCAGTAATCGTAATGAAGCACTAGCTTGTGGATCGTAGATATCTGTACAGGTTTCTACACACTAATCATACAACATATCTAAGCGTCTCGCGGGAGTGGCGATCTCCATTCTATGCTGCGCTCGTCGTGCCAGTATGCCCGTCGTCCTCAGATCTTACTCCCCAACGCCTGTTCGCAATGCTGAAATCAAACTCTCTCTCTATCCATCCTGCACCACCTGTACCATCTCAAGGCAGACTGAACCCGTATCCCTTCATACATGTCTTATATTGTCCTACCAGATCTTTACACGCATCTTGTGGATCGGCGGCAGTGGAGAACAGCATACACTCGTCTCGGGCGGATTTCTCGTCTTTGCAGACGCAGCAGGGCTATCCATACCGCGTTAGTAAGCTCTTGATAACGGACGTACTTGTCAGTAATGCCTTGCCTTGGGTTTCTGTGTCGCCTCTGCGCCTTGGGATTTGAGATCGCCCGCTAGGTTATTGGGCTGCATCGCCATTGCTGCTAAGGCATTAGCGATAATCGCGGATCCTATTGAAAGGGGAATATACTGTTCAGTGTGGCTGGCATTGTGAGGATGCGCTGATGTAGATGATTTGGAAATATTGATGATCTTTATGTCTTTAGACAGATCGAGACTTTGTCAGCAACATCGATCGGATCTCGGCAGTCATGTTTTGAGTTCTGGATCAAGAACCCTGTGCCGTTTAATCTGGTCATCATCGCCACTTCACCTCAACATTCCAACCTCGTCAAGTAAGGCACGGCGAGAAGCGAACTCGTCGCTCCTCAGGTCTGCTGCTGACCTGCAGGGGGTGCAATCACGTCTAATCTGGGATACAGACGCTCATTCGACACGTGAATTTGTCATGGCGTCAGTACCAGTCGAAATATCCCTTCAAAGTGGAAAATACACAACAGCCGGCCTTCATTGAATGTTACCTGTAACCTGCTGTACTCCTACTCTACTGATTCGCAGATTAATCACAAGAGGGCTAATGTGTAACAGTCATCGCGACAACATGGAACCAGGAATTGAGGACTGCCAAAGCCACTGGGCTCACTATTTGACCAGACGTACCGAAACTAGCACCGAACTCGCTGCTCTTCGTTGAGGCAATCCTCAGCCAACTCACATCTCCTATGTAAATGCAATCCAAACGAGGTGCTGAGATGGTGTCCTCAATGTAGCTCGCGACAAAGACTGGCCCGCCACATCGGGAAGGATTCCTAGGATAGTGGTATTCCGTAGCTTTGAGATGCTTTGTCGTTGCGGCTTCTTTCTTCATGATTGCGAACCGCGACCATAATCTTTACCGAACAAGTACCGTCTATAGCAAGGCACGCTGCTGTTAGACTGCTATAGACTCGTCAGTCTCGCGAAACGCAAATGAAAAACAGATGTCCTTCGGCTCGTTAACTTACAGCCAAACGAAGAAAGAGGAAACGAACGGCTGAAGGTTTGACTGCCATTTAACGACGTAGGTTGAAACCGCTTCCGGTAGCGTACCTGGGTATATGCTGGTCGATACGCTGGCCTGAATCAAGTCATGCCGCTGTGCTGGTGTTAGGTTGTAGATTGGGAGGACGTGAACCGCTGTCGTCCAGGCGCCGAAACCGAGCATCGCTAAGTCAACAAGCGTTGCAGTCGTCACACATAGAAGTGGCCCAAAGCGTCGTACAAATCCCAGACGCTGGTTGACTCTGCGTGGGAGCAAGCCCATTTTCAGGCTTTCCCTAATCTTGTTCAACTTGATAGCAATATAGAGGAAGAAGATCAAGTTGAGGCCGAAGCCGGGTGCTGCCTGTGAAGCACATCAGTCTTCCGTCGTCAAACAGCTGTGAGCAGGTGAAGGCGTAAATTTCTAGCATACTGTAAGGAAGGGAGGCACATAAGGCGCAAATTGGAAAAACGGTCGTAGTGCTGCCCCCACAGCTGGGTCGCCCGCTACGAAAGCCGAACGATTACCGATTACGATCACTGGTAAGGCTACAATGACATACGCAAGGTGAGCTATCCAGAGGAAGTGATGTAGTATAGGTGGCATAGCTGCAACGGACCGTGTTGTTTGAGACTCGTTAGAGGGCCTACTATCGAGCAGACTAGTCTATATTAGAAGTATCAAGGGCTATATCTATCCTTAAGGCATTATTAGTAACCAAGTTGACCCAAGAGATAGCAGATATAGCTTTTCTCTTCTCCCGGAGGCATTGGGGATACTGTAGATGTAACATTCACGTAAACCTTGCCCTTGCATATGCAGGGACTTGACTCAGCGAACGGCCTCGACCGCCGAGCCGCAACGCCACGATCGCCCCACCAAAAGTTCCTCGGTCGCATCCCTGAGGCCACGCGACTTTGGGGTTTGAATGTTGAAGGCGAAGCACAATAATAATAATTGCCTTGTTACAATCCCCTAGGGAGTGTGCCCAGCGTAACACTTTGTGCGATGGCAAACACTTGGTCTATCAGAGGCCGCGCTCTGAAGCTCAACACCGCTGCAGATGTTGAGGAGCATTCCAAAGATCTGCGGGCGAACGACAATATCGAGGAGATACATCTCGAAGGCAACACTATAGGTGTTGAGGCTGCGGCGGCCCTCGCATCGATGCTTGAGACGAAGAAGAAGCTGAGAATAGCCAATCTTGCCGATATCTTCACCGGTCGCCTGCTCGCCGAGATTCCACAAGCTCTTACTAGCCTCCTGCAAGCACTCCTCAAGTGTCCCGAGCTCCACACGATCAACCTGAACGACAATGCCTTTGGCCTCAACACTGTGGAACCTCTTCGGCCTTTCCTGAGCCAACACACACCACTCCAGCATCTCCACCTCAATAACAACGGCCTCGGACCAGCGGCGGGCGCTCTAGTGGCTGAGAGCTTGGCACAATTGGCTGACAACAAGGCAAAGGCGAAGTCAGAAGGAAACAAGAATGTGCCTGATCTCGAGACGGTGGTCTGTGGGCGGAATAGGCTGGAGACCGGGTCGATGAGCGCGTGGGTCAAGGCGTACACGGCGAACAACAAGGTGCAGACGGTCAAGATGGTGCAGAATGGGATACGGCAGGAGGGTATTGCTACTTTGTTACAGCACGGTTTGTCGAAATGCAAGCAGTTACGGATATTGGATCTACAGGTAAGATCATCCACATAGTCCTGATACTGACTCCACTAATGTTTATGCTTACAGGACAACACCTTCACATCCCTCGCCGCCAAGACTCTCTGCAACACGATCTCAAAATGGCCCGTCTTGATCGATCTCGGCGTCGGCGACTGTCTACTGAGTGCTCGTGGTGGCCTCCAGCTCGGTGAAGCGCTTTCACATGGTACAAATAAGCAAATCGAGGTTCTGAGGCTACAATTCAACGAGATCGACTCGAAGGGTGTAAAGGCTATCTGCGATGCGGCACTACATGACACGGCATTACCACGACTGCGGAGAGTAGAGCTCAATGGCAACAAATTCAGCGAGGAGGATCCGAATGTTGAGAAGTTGCAGGAGTTACTTTCGGCGCGGAAAGAGGATGCGGAGCAGAAATACCCAGGTATTGATGTGGATGATGACGATGCGTGGGGCGTGGATGAGCTGGATGAGCTGGACGATGAGGACGAAGATGACTAGGAGGATGAAGTTGCAGATGAGGAGAACGACCAGGAAGAAAAGATTCTCAAGGAGGCTGACCGGGCTGAGGATGAGCCTGTGTCGCAGAAGAAGGATAAGGATGTTGATGAGTTGGCTGATGCTTTGGGTACGACGGAGTTGAAGTAAATTCAGTCGCGATACACGTACTGGATCTGGGGTAGCACCTTTGATGGGCTGACATTGGCTTTACTGCTTTGAGATACCACCTCGCCATCGACAGATGAGCGTGAGCATTGCGAAAGGTGCGTGCAACAAGTGCATCATAAATCTACATAGGTTTGACGGGAGTCATGCCAAGCCCATAGAAATCATCTCTCCTAAAACCCGTCGGGCTCTATCATTCACCTCTACCATGCGATTCACACCCTGCACCGAAGTACGAAAATTTGACTAAAACTGCAAAGCGAAGAAGATCAACCTCTCCTTCTCCCAAAACACCGTCCCCAAATACAACCCTTCCCCAACCAACCGAATCTCATCCCGAATCCAATGCGCCACGAAACTCGTCTTCGAATAATCAAGCACAATACACTCCTTCCCATCCACCCAGCTCTCGTCTTTATAAACCTGGGCTAGGATAGCATCGAGACCGAAGACGGAGATGCGGTTCACGAGGGCGGACTTGGAGGCATCGAAAATCTTGCCTTGCCAGGCGAAGAGGTTGATGAATTCGGCTATGGCGGGGGTGAAGGTTGTGCCTGGGATGATGAGGGCGGTGCCGTTTGCAACGCCGTTGGGGATGGGGCCGGGTGGGGAGGAGTCGAAGAGGATTTCTAGGTCGTCTTTGGACATTTGGAGGAGGGTGGCGGAGGTTAGTTGTTTGGTCATTTTGGGTGATTGTCAATGGCTTTTTTTTCTCTTGATGTCGATCTTGATGTCTGGCGAGTTTGCAGTCTTTCCCGTGGCAGTGGGATGTCTCGAGATATACGTGGTTGTTGGAGATGTGGTCAGCCTTGTGGCTGCGGCTGACATGCCTTTCAGCTCTCGCTACTGGATCTCGAATGGGTGACTCGTACGCATGGCGGCTTACCGCTGATATATGTCGTGGAGTGATCTGCGGTAAGATCATGTCGTTTGGTGGCGTGATGTAGTAAGGCGTTCAGCAGTGGAGGCACCAGCCGCGAGGCATGCAAACCTGAGATGCTGCATTTCTTGGCTGATCCATTTGCTATAATCCTGGTGGTGCAAGATATACCGCTAGAAGCCGCCTCCACCGCCCATCAGTCCTCCCAACCCGACTGGGATACCCAAAAGACCTAGCACCACCGATCCGACCACTGGTAGTAATCCCGCCACCAATTTCATTCCAGTCCGTCCCGGCGACCCCTTCTTCTGCTTCTTCATCTCCTCGATCTGTTTGTTCATTGCGTCCCTCTGCTCTTTACGCAGCTTCGATTCGTTAGCCTGTAGTATCCGAACCGTCTCATCGAAGTCGAGTTTTTGCGCACCCAGTTTTTGCTGATACGCCAGCTGTAATTGCTCGTATTCGTCTCGCATTTTGCGGGACTGGTTGCGGCTCTCGTAGCGGAGTAAATCTTGCTCTGCGTGGACTCTGTCGAGTTTGCGCTCGAAGTCTGCTTTGGCGTGTTCGAGGGCTTCTTGGACGTCGGCTTCGTTTTGTTCGAGAGCTTTGTCTAGATCGAACTGGATTTGCTGGAGCTCTTCTTTGTACTTGCTTTCTAGGCGCTTGACTTCCTCGTTGACTGCTGTTCCAGCTGAGGTATCGATAAGATCTTTCTTTTGATCGACCAGCTCGGACTGGATCTGAAGGACCTTGGGTTGTGCTTCGATCAAGCTCAAGATGAGATTCAAGGCAGAATCACGGGTGTCTTCGAAGCGAGCTACTCTGGACCCGCGTGAGATCATCGGCTTCCAGTACGTCTCGTCGTCGCATAGCTGCTTCTCTCGAGACTCGCCCATGTCTACCTCACCAGACTTTGACAGCTGACCCCAGCGAGTCGTCGCCAAGACCACATTCTGCAGTGGTTCGGGGCCAACGAGTTCCTTGAACATCTTCAAGTTTCGCAACGAAGAGCCGTACATGCGTGGGTCCATGATCGATTGCAGATATATAATTCCGGTGAGCTTAAGATGTGGCGGGTTTCGGTAGCTGAAGTCGAGCCAATCTGCGATGGATCGCAAGACTTCCGTCTCGCTGCGTGTCGTGTCGTTGAAGCCGGGAGTATCGATGAGTGTGATGTGTAGGCCAGCATAATCGAATTCGAATGGTTCGACTTCGGCGGTGACTGCACAAACTACTTAGCCAGGACGACAGCGACCGTCGACGGACAGAGATGCATACTCACAGGATTGCAGTTCATGGCCAATTCCGACGTCAAGATCGCTGGCCGTTTGGATGAAAGTGCTCTTGCCTGCGCCTGTCACGCCCATGACAGCGATGCGAACGCTGGGCTTTCCCATGGCCTTTTGCTAACAGCTTATTGTGTACGACCGTATCTTGTATGTAAGAATATATCTCGGACGCAAGTCCACTCCACAAGTATTGAATTGCATCAACGACCCGTGACCACGTTTGGGAGCACTTCTAAGGTTCTCATGCTGTATTCATCAAAAAGGCTGGGCAGCGCCCGAGTTCCGATCAAAGATCACAGCCATGTCGAAAGCAGGTGTTGCATAGCATTGGCGGGCCAAATGCGTGTTGGGTCCGGTGAACTTCACCATGATTTTGACTTCCAACGTACATGGTGGCGCGAGCTATGTGCATTAGCGAGACGCCACTTCATGATGGATTTATCTTGCCCGGACACTAGTTCCTCTTCCACCGGTGAGAGATATGGCGAATGAACGTCGTAACACCGACAGCGATCAGCTGGGCCTGTGATTGATCTGCATACTGGCCCCCATTTCGCTAGCCATGGCCGCTCACACGTCAAGCCATACAATTGCTTTGGCCCACACCTGCGAACGCTCATAATCCTCACCATCATGCGTGCCGTAGCGAAGCACGGCTGGATGCACCACTAATTTGATGCGCTTGCCGTCCAGTCTGTGATCCTTTGGATCATCAAGCTTATGCAAATTGTGCGCCTGCATAAGAGTCGAGTCCACAGCGAATGGCTCTTTACGCAGGTCGGGCAGATACGAGCATCTGATCGCCGTTCGCTGCGTCCACAATCGCATTGCCATACGACCAGCGTCCTCGAAGAGTTGGGTCAACGTCTTGCGAAACCCATCTTTGGTCGCAGTCTCCATAGACTTTATGTTCAACAACACTGCTACTGGCCCCTCCTCGAACGAGCGTGCAGCACGCAGACACTGGTCTCGGCAGCCGATACGCATCTCCTGCCTGAGTCCCTCGGCAGGGGCACTGGTGTCGTGCTCTTCTGGCATGAGAAGTCGTAATGTATCGGATCTCCAGACATTTGCAGACCTAGCATCCACTGTAAGGTGTCAGTCACAACGCCTCCGTGCTAGCAGAAATTTGACGAACGCACCTTTGGCTATACGATGTAGATACTGCTCTAGAGCGTCCGCCGGATCAGGTCGTTGCTCTAGGTGGCGAAAGTTTTCCGGGAGTGAATCGAAATCACCATCCATACCATCCGCCATGAAGAAGAACGGATTTGTCAATACTAACCGATGCACTGCAGCCGATAGCAAAGCTGTCACACAAATTCGAGGTCCAAACTGCGGTTCGAGCAAGCTGAGCATGACAGCCTTTCCAGTCACATCTGCCACGCCCGCTTCGTTAAGCTCGCCATCGAGAGCCTGTAACTGATCGTTAGATAGCTTGTAAGCGGCTACATGATCAATGCTGTATGTTTTGGCAATCTGCTGGATATCGGCCTGGAAATCCGACAATCTCTGGTTGACCTGGCTATCCTCAAAAGGTTCCCATCTGGTCGGTTGAATGTCTTTGAACGCAGTGCTCTGTAATTCTCGGAGCTCAGCTTCTCGCTCCTTGACATCGGTGAGGTACTGCTCTTTTTGGTCGGAGACATGCCGTTCTAGATCCGTGATAACGCCCTCCTGCTGACGGACAGCGTCTTCAAGACGACGGACCTTGTCTTGGAGCTGGGAGATGTATTCTTCCGGTCGAATTGCCTGACGGTTCGAGACGTAATCATCTTTGCGGGACTGATGGCTTTGCGCATAGTCGTCACGGCGGCTTGATCGTGCTTGCGGGTACCCAGGCTGATGCTATCAGCTGATCTTACACATGCGGCATCGTAGTCAATCATACCCTCTGCGCATATGCGGAAGGCCCATTTGTGGTTGACGAGCGATCCATGGAGGACGGCTCGTTGCCCATGCTGCTTGGCCTCTTCTCAGAGATGGCTGGGGCGTCTTTGCGCGGAGGTACGGGGGGCCCTGGCTTTGATGAGCTCTGTCATGACTTAGCACAAGAGACCTTGTCGAGCTATACAATATCGATCATGGTCATGATACCTCGCGTCTAGGGTACTCGCTGGTTGGTGACAGATCGTTCTCTCGGATGAACTTCTTGGCCTTGTCTTTGAAGTTACTAAAACTCATCCTTGGAGTACAAGTATAAAACTTCAGGTCCGTTGGCTGCTGGGCAATCGTTCGCTATCTTGTGAGGCTTAGGTGTAGAAGTTGTTTCGTCCGACTAGTTATGCTTGGTTCTTTACCGAACAACGCCAAGCCGTGTGCAGCCTTGCTGCACTATTGAGTGGCTTGCAGCTTACCCTGTCTCGTGCATTGTCCTGCAGATCTGGCCCCAAGCATAACTTCCATGCTATTAGCGTCGCGCTCAGCAAATTGGATCTGCACCTTCTCGTGGTGTGGTGGTTCGACTTGAGCCTCATGAGGTGTAACATCTGCTCCTTCGCTCAGTAACTCCGATCAGCAAAACGATACAACAGAAGAGAGGAGCCGACACACACGACCTTACGAATGATGTTTCTTCATAGGGTACGATAGCTGCATTGCTGTGGAACGTGGTAGTGTTATTTCGGAGGGCTCAGATCGTGGCAAGATGGCGAGCAAATATCGCGAAGACACAAAGCAGTCGTTGGTCGCGAGACTGGCAGCAGTATCATTCAACGCTGAACCAACGTCTCGACATCGTCTGATCGTTGGTGTTGACTATGGCACAACGTATTCCGGTACGAGGATCGCAACGGAAGTGTGTAGACAGCAATGGCTGACAGCACACTAGGAGTAAGCTTTGCGACTACCGACAAGTCAAGCGCGGATGACATTAACGTCATCCGTACTTGGCCTGGTCGAGATGGTGAATGGAAGGTACCCACCAGGATAGCGTATGCCCAGGAGAACCAGGCCGATCAACTGACCGCAAACAAATGGGGGTTTGAAGTTGAGCCGCGCATGACCTCCTGCTCGTGGACGAAACTCTTGCTTGACGCGAAAGCCGATGAGCAGACGCACGATGATCCGAAGCTCCAGAATGCCGTGGACGAAGGCATGTTAAGACTACCTCCAGGATTGAGTGCACAGCAGGTGTGCAGCGATTTTCTCCGAGAAGTGCACAAGTATGTGACTGTCAGACTTAGCAGGCAGGTCACTGAAGAGGTCCTGAAGTCCACACCTATGGACATCTGGCTTACGATCCCTGCCGTCTGGACGGATGAGGCGAAGGATGCCACTCGTTCGGCTGCTCGCGCTGCAGGCTTTGGCAATCGCCCACACGATAGCATAAATATCATCAGCGAGCCAGAGGCCGCTGCGATCGCTGCCTTGAAAAAGTACACAGAGCCGCACTCGTTGATTCCTCCCAAAGTAAGCAAATCATATCGAGCTTGTCCTTGCCAATTCGCTGACGAGAATCTCCAGCAAGGCGAAAACGTGCTCGTGTGCGATTGCGGAGGCGGGACAGTGGACATCACCACATATAACATTGTCGACGTTAGTCCCAGGCTAGAGTTTGACGAGATCTGTGTTGGCGTCGGTGGGTTTGCCGGCTTCGTGGTCATCGTAGATGTTGCTGACGGTCCTCAGGCGGGAAGTGCGGTTCGACGTACATTGACCGAAATCTGCACCGTTTAATGCAGACACGATTTGGTAGAGCATTCGATGAGATAGAGATGCGCCGCAAGGGACCAGGAAGCCGCTTCATGGAGTCGTGGGAAAGAGTCAAGCGTTCTTTCGTGGAACCAGAAGATCATAGAGTCCGCGAGGTCGGCCCATTGCGCATGAAGAACGTCTCAAGCTCACAGTATTATGATGAGGACGAGTCAATGGTCCACTTGACATGGTGTGTATGCCTCCCGGCGCTCGTTCGGACCCGAGCTGACTCTGCTAGGCGAGATGTGCAAGCGCTCTTCACGCCGGTCGTGAATGAGATCTTGAGCTTGGTCATGAGCCAGAAGAAAGAATTGCAATACCAAGGCAGAGCGATCAACCGAATTATCCTGATCGGTGGCTTCGGCGATTCTGAGTATTTGTTCTCGAAACTGAAGTCATGGTGCGACAGGAATGGCTCTATACAATTGCTCTGTCCAGAGCACCCGCAAGCCGCCATTGTGCGAGGCGCCGCGATAAGGGGTCTAGAAGGATTTGGTGCGGGTCCCCGAAAACGGCGATGCAGAAGACATTACGGAGTGGCGACTGCTGCCATATTCCGAGATGGCGTAGATCCAGAAGCCAAAGCTGTGTTCAGCCAGTGGGATGGCCGGAAAAGGTGTTTGAACAGGATGCATTGGCTGATCAGAAAAGTACGGGAGATTGAATTCATGAATCAGAGCTCAGCTAACCATTTCCCAGGGAGAGGAGATCTTGCCCGATACCAAACGGCTTGTCAAAGTATTCATCTCCGTCACCGAGAGCCATGACTGGAAGACCACGGATAATCTCTGGACATGCTCGTTGAGCGAGCCACCAGAGTACAGCGACAACGATCGTAAGCTATCGGTTGATATGGAAGGTCCTTGCATAGCTGACCATATCTAGGAGTTGCCAAAATTGGCCGGATCGAGACGGACTTCTCCACTGTGAGTAAGTCATCGTTCGCCCACAAACGAGAGTTCCACCTTTTCCGGTCGAATAAGAAGATCTGGTGCGTCGAGTTCGAAATTGAAGTGTCGTTTGGTAGCGAGTCGGGTGTTCTCGAGTTCAGAACTTTGGCGGGTGGTCGCGTAGTTGGCACATCTTCAATTGCTTTTGAGTAGGATCCAACTCCGGCGGCTCCGACCCAGTCGTCCATACGCCAAATCCTGGACCAGTATCCATACTCAACACCTGCCAGAATATGGAACGCGTCTATAGGGAGGTCTATCGGTCTGATGGCGTTACCATGACTGTGGACTCCCATATTTCGCACGTCAGCACTCCTGGCGCTAGATAAGATGGAAGTGGTCCTACGAAAGCCTTCGCCGGTGTGGGGACATCACGGCGCACTGCGGGTCCCAAGCGTGTGCTGTTCTCATGAAGTACATGTTGAAGTCAATCTCTCATGTCGTACAGATTTAGTGTGTCGAACATAGATGAGAAGAAGGATTGTCTGAACCGAATTTATGCCGCTTTAGGCAGCATAATTATCATGCAGTGCCATTCGATAATAGCGGCTTAAAAGGGTGGTACATATTACTCAATACTCCGATCCCGGCTTAGAGGTATCTGTTCGGTCATTGACTTATACCTCACCCTCCTTCTTATAAGCGCAAGTGCAGGCACATTCACAAGTCCACCCATCATGGCCGAGACTTCTCGACTGGTCTGTGAGTCTGACCGTAGGTATGGCACCTCATCAGCCCGTGAACTACATGCAAAGCAAAAAGTACATGCAAACCAAGCTGAGCACGACGGCGAGGAAGTGCATGATCATGATATCGACACCGAGCGTCGTCTTCTTCGCAAAGTCGATATCCGACTCTGTTCGATAGCTGCCATACTATGCTCTTTGAACTTGCTCGACTCTGGGGTCATCAGCTCGGCGTCCGTCACGTCAATGATTTCTGATCTCGACCTGACTGGGAACAGATACTCTGTGAGTATTTTCATCTTCACACTCGCTAGCATCACTTTCCAGCTACCCTCGACGATAGCTATACGAATATTTGGCCCACGGAAATGGCTATCGTTTATTACAGTCTCTTTCGGTATCATCACCTTTGGCACAGCATTCGTTCACAATTGGAAGGAGATGATTGCTCTTCGAGTGCTTCTTGGCATTGCTATGTCTGGCATATACCCAGGACTGAGCTACCTCATCTCGACATGGTATCTGAGGAGCGAGCAGCAGACGCGATTCGCATACCTGCAAAGTGGACAAGTCATCATTCTGGCCACTGGCGGCATTGTCAACTTCGCCTTAAACAAGCTTGATGGCAGAGCTGGGCTGGCAGGATGGCGTTATATGTTCTCGGTACAGGGCCTCATCTCCATAATTATCGGCTCCATTACATACTTCTGGATGGTAGACTTCCCTGACAACGCTCACCATAGCCTGTGGTTTGTGACGGAAAAGGAGCAGGCACTTGCAGTCTCGCGCATTGAGAGTGACCGCAAAGATGCTCATGCCGAGCCGTTCTCTTGGCCAAACATTCTGGTCCACGCCAAGGACATCAAGGTCTACGGTTTTGCCTGCATGCTCTTCTGCCTCAACCTGGTGTCCACATCGCTCTCCTACTTTCTACCGATCATCCTGCAAAGCGGTATGGGTTTCAACGAGAGCGAGTCGATACTTCTGTCGGCCCCGCCTTACTACTATGCTGTCATCCCAGTGATCGTGTCCTCGATCGTAAGCGACCGATACAGACTCCGCGGACCAGTCATTGTCTTCAACTCTGTTTGCCTGATCCTGGGCTTCTGTATGCTAGGCTTTGTCGATCAGGTCACAGTACGCTATATCGGAGCTTTTCTCGCCACTGGTGCATACATATCGAATTGGAGTGCATTGACAACATACTATGCAAACAACATTGCAGGACAATGGAAGCGGGCGTTCACTGCCGCGGTCGTCACAGCCATGAATGGCGCCGGTGGTATTGCTGGTAGTTTCATTGTGCGCCAGAACGAGGCTCCTTGGTATCCTACGGCCGTCTGGACCAGTATCGGCAGCCACTTGCTGCTCATTGTGTTCATCTTGGCCTTCTCTGCATGGTTTGCTATTACCAATAAGCGCCAAAGAGACGGCAAAGCGCTCATTGAGGCTACCGAAGAATTTCGATACACTTTCTGAGAGCTTGCACAGGCACAAAGCCATAAGAGGGTATGGCGAGTATGTGCTTGGTGAAGAAGGCTACACCATCGTTTGCTATTCCTGCAGTTAGTGGCCTGGCTCGATATGTGTACTCCAACGTGGCACTTGGCTACCAAAGGACAATCTCATCACTCTGAGGACTTGTCAGCTCCACCATGACGCAGGATACACCTCAGACCAATCTTCTTGACGAACCAGACGACCAGATGGATGCAGATAGCCTCCAAGATGGCAATGAGAGGTCACCCACTCAATTACATGAGCGGGTTCCTGGTCAAGCTCGTCTCACCGACAGACACAACAATGTCCAGCAGCTACTCGACACTCTCAACACTAGAGCTACTCAGCTAGAAAACCAACATTATCCAGTGCGACGATCACATCCTCAGCCACCGACTCCAGTTTCACGTACCAACCATGTACCAACGATCAACCGGGTGGATGATATCGGTACCCTTCGAGTAGATGTATGGCCAGATGGTCATCGTACGATACAGCTTTCTGGTATCTACACCGATGACATGCGGTCTGGAGTTGTCAATCCACTCGATCGTGAGCAGCATAGCGTCACACGTGCCAGCCGTGATACGCAGCAGCAGGTCGAGCGTCCATCGATAGATCAAGCACATCCACACCTGTCTACTGATCGAGCCACGGTTCAACGTCTAAATCTACCTGCATCCACATCTGACCAACGACCCAGTTTCGCTCCGCGACAAGAGAAGGCTGTCAGATCATCACTGAAACCCGGGGATAGAACAACATCTGCATCGGTTTCGGGAGCTGAAGACTTTCGACGGCAGCTTCAGGAACTACTAGCCTCCAACGAAGCCACGGGACACAGAGACAGCACTCCGCCAGGCGTGGGTGCAGACCCCACTCCTGTGAAAGACCTCCAAGCCATGCCCAAGACCAAATTCGTTGGTGATAAGTCGTCGAAGAATGGTCGCGATACACCTAGTCAATACAACCAAGGTGACAAGGGCTCATCAGTCGTGAAATACGACGCCGACGCCTCCAATATCACAGTGGCGCCAAGGAAACGTGTGTCTACTGTGTCCTCGGCGCCCACTGCGCCCACGAACGGCCACAAACGACGACGGGAAAGTCTCGCACCAGCTCCACCCTCATCTAGCAACATCGCCAAAGCTCAGGACGGCCGCAAACCACGCCATGGGAGTTCAGTACCCGCTCCACCTTCAGCTAGCAGCATTGCCCGATCTCAGAAGACGAAGAAACCAGGCTATGACATACAGCAGGTGTCCATGGACCAGACCTATGACTTCATGGATGATGCCATCGCGCAAGGCGAAGCTGCAGCGCTCCTTAGTGACGGCCCACGTCGTCGTCACACGAGGAGCCACGGCGGCGATCTGATGTTGCCAATCAACAGCCAGCATATCAATGCTCTACTCAAAGGTCGAAGCACAAGTGTTTCGAATGCCAGTCACGAGCACGACGACGACGATGGAGACGTCAATGCTGGTACCGCAACGAAGCCCACAGTCAAGGCCAAAGGCAAGGGCAAACTCAAGGCTACTGCCAAAGCTCGTCCCCAACCTCCACCCGCACCGCAACGCGCGACTCCAAGCAAGTTCACACCGGTCAATCCCTTCCCAGGCCTAGCGAAGCCATCACAGAAACCAACACCTCCCGCTCCTTCCACCACACCAGGCATCAAACTGCCTTATCTCGAAGACAAACTTGGCAAGCTTGGGTACCGAGATCCCCCAGATTCGCGTAGTAGCAGCCATGACGACAGCGAAGTGGAGCGTGATGTTGAGCAGAGCGAACGTCGTGTGCAGTTTGAGGAGGAGGGGTTGATCAAGCGGAAGACGAAGGGGAGGCATGGGTTACATGCTGGTGGTCACGTTGGAGACGATAGGCCTGCTGTGGGCGTGAGGAGGAAAGCAGGAAGAGACGACGATGAGAATGGCGTTGGTGGAGGTGCTGAGAGCGTAGCGAGTGCTAAGAGAAAGAGGGAGGGTGCTGAGGACGAGATTGAGGATGACGAATATGTGGAGGAGGAAGGTGATCAGGAGGACGGCGAGAAAGGAGGAGATGATGAGATGAGCGAAGACGATGACAATGATGGTGACAGGAGCCCGCGCCGTGGGTCGCCTTCGAAGAGGGCCAGGACTGGTAAGAAGAGTTGACGGGACGTGTGGATGGAGAGGACAAAGGGTGAGCTGTATGCGTGGCTTTTGGTTGCTCAATCTCCACTTCCCTTCGTTCCGCTCGGCTGGCATGGCATGGGTGGGCGATGGAAAGGTATCTGTATCAGTAGTACGAAGCAATTGAGACCACGACATGTAACCCATCTGACAGAGAACTTTTGGCCAGTATACTACGGTACATATGCCATCTATATCTTTCTTGCTTTCAGACAGAGAAAACAGCCAAATCACATCAGATCAGCCGCCGCTCATCAACACACTACTTTCAATCAACCCTCAACACCCTCGCCCCTCTCCTCTTCCCCCCCTTCTTCCGCTTATTCCCCTTCCCAAACGCCCCAGCCTCCTGATGCGTCCTCCCCAAATTATCCAGATCCTTCACCTTATAGATCCGAATAATCCAATTCTCGCTCGTGAAGGCTTCTTCCAGGGTACTCAGTTCCGGCCCAGTGGCGGGGAGTTTGGAGCCGCGCACGCGGTCTTGGGCTTGGCCGGCCGGGAAGAGGGAGTTGTAGTTGTAATAGGACATTTTGTACATTAGCGAATTTTTCATGGTGGGCGTGGCTTCGTCGTCGACGCGGTATTCGCCACGGGCGGTGAAGAAGTCGCGCTCTTTTACTTCGTCGGGCCAGATTCCTGAGGATGTGAGTTAGTATCACGGGGTAAGCTTGAGGTGAGAGAGAGAGTGATGGTGATGCTTACCCTCAGCAATTCTGACCATCCACAAGAACTTGTTGATATCATCCCCACTATACCCCAGCAGTCCACCAAAGACAACAAGCACATAATCCACTTCATGCTGCCTCATAATCGGGTACGAGACCTCCTCCCTCGAACTCATCGCTTTCCCTACAGTAGCAATGTGGGTATTATTCCAGGTATTATTGTCAACGAGCGTCGGGCGGTCAGCCATCCCACCAATCTGATACCCGTAATCCCACCACGACATCACCTTGGCATCTTGCTTGGTGTTTTGGCGCAGCCAGTAGTAGGCTTCGCGGTAATCGTCGATGATATGTTGGCTTCCGTCTGGTAGGCGGGAGGCGAGGACGACGGAGGGAGAGCTGTAGGCGTTTGAGGTCACCCAGGTGCAGTGGAGGACGAAAAGGAGGAGGTAGGCTGTTACGGCGCCGGCGGTAAGCGATTTTGACAAGTAGCTGTAGATGCCGACCAGTGGTGCTTTGGTCGAGCGGAGGCTCTCGGGGATGGCGGAGTTGAGTTTGTCTTTGATGTTGGCTGAGCCGTTTGAGGATGCTGAGCCATTGGCCTTGGTGGCATCACCAGATGGTTCTGCAGGTGCTTCCGCCACGAGGAAAGTGTCCAGGATCTGACTCAATGCCATGGCGGCCGCAACACAGACAATTGGTGTAAGAGTCAACATCAAACGCACCATGACGCCCGCGAAGTAGCTGGACAACACGGCATAGATGACGACAAAGACCTGCTCATCGCGAAGGTTGCGGAAGCACATGTACACACCAGCCGGGAAGAGCCAGATGAGCATGTTTAGATCGAAGAAGAAAGCCGGCCAGGCGGTAGGCTGGTGCTCAGATACACTGGCGATGATGGGGATATGGATCTTGGCGTATCCTGTATCCCAGAGCGAGTAGAAGCGGCCAGACCATGGAGCGATAGTACCGGAGACAGTGAGGAGGACAAGGCCACCAAATGCCACACCGAAGACGATCAGGACCATGGCGCGGAGGAGTGTCTGGAACTGCTTGGAGGGGAGCTGTGCACGGATATACTCGGTGAAGCCGACCAGTTGGATGAGGCCGAAGATGCCTAGAAGTAGTTAGTTGAGCGTTTGTGAGAGGTATATATGCTTACTCACCCAACGCAGACATGTGATCACTACTCCTAATTGGCAAAAACCCCACAAAAGGAATCTGCATACTAGCCAATGTCCCTAACGCATACCAAGTCGTATAGCTGACATACAATCTCGGGCTGAACCTCCCCATGCAGATGAGCACGAAAGCGTGGAGAGGGATCAAGTTGGTGATGAAGACGTATCCTCCCCACGCACTGACCATGTAGCCGTAGAAGAGTGCTGTCAGACCACCCCACATCACACTGCCCACCTTGACTGCCTTGATCCAGAGGTAGAAGGTGAAGACGAGCAGGAAGATGGCAATGGCTTCGTTGTCGTAACTTCCCGCTACGGAGCGACTGATATATCCTGGTGTGATCCCCATGAAGCAGGCAGCGAGCAGACCTGCACTCGGGCTGTCACTCATTTCGGATGTGAGGAGGTATGTTGCAAAGGCTGTCAGACCGGAGAAGGCCGGGGCGAGCAGGACGCAGATGTTGCGGATATCGACGGGGAGGGTGAGGAAGCGGAGGAAGTGGTAGATGGCGCCGGAAGTCACCATGAGGCCTGGGTAGAGGGTGCCGCCCGTGACGCGGCCGAGGGGGTGCCATGTTCCTAGTCATCATGTAATCAGTGGGTGGACATAGGGACGTTGAACAGGAGGTGTATCACATACGGTCATCAAACCAATCCCAGAAGTTGTAGAAGCCGTGTTGGATCAGGTATTTGGTCGCGCGGAAGTTGAACCACGGGTCGACTGGTGTTCATGTTAGTCATGCCATACTATATCCCATCACGTGCTCTTCCACATCAATCTTGCATACACTCGTGGATGATACTCTCGAATCGGATGACGGAGAATAGTCGACTGGCCACCGCGGCTGCTGCAATAGTACACAGGATGATCAGGCGTAGGAGACCTCGAGTGTTGCGGCCCGTCTCGCCCTTGAAGAAGATGGACGTCGGGCTGTCCGAGTTGGTGGCGGTGACAGCCATTGTGGGAGGTTTAGTAGTTGTGACGATGCCGTCTCGCTCCTAGTAGAGTATTGTTACTGAAGCTCCACGTTGCTCTTTGGGGGGACAGCTATGTCTTGGCGCTCAATGTCCGTGCTCACTCCCGAGTGAAAGTTGCGGGCGATTGCGATGCTTCGAACTAATTGGCAGAGTAGAAGTGCCATCAGTGATTATCCTTCTATCATACCACTTCCGCCTTTATACTGCAACAGTCATCATCGTCTCATACACGAGCAGAGACAACGAAAGGACGCCACACTATCGATTACCCGGTGACTCGCAGAGGCGATAAGAGAACAGCAGGCACAGAAGGAGAGGAGGGATAGACAAGATGTACGCATACCATTTACCATTTACCATTTCATCGATGATAATGTGAATAGCTAACACGTGACAGGTTCGCCCTCAAACGCGTAGCCGTGCGCGCGCTATCACAGCAACCCTTGCGCCAACTCTCCACCTCCACCTTCCGACCCCAGACGACTCGCGTGCCTGTTTCATCCAAGCCCGCCATACTCAGATCTTTTCATCAGTCGAGATTATGGCTAGCGGAGGAGAAGGCTGGAGAGACGGCGACAACAGATGCGGCGACACAGCCTGGCTCAAGCTCAGCCGCCGTGGATGCCGTCTCAGAGGCTTCTGGCACCACCGCTGAACCTATCGACTCGCCCCACGACATCAACGCCCACGACTCGGGCCCAGCATTGAACACTTCCAGCAATGATGCCAATGCCATGCCCTCCGCCACTTCAGGCGTCGAAGCCTCAGAAATGCCGCGTGCTGAAGAGACTACCACACAGCAGCATTCAGAGTCGCAAGACGAGTCCCTAAAGGACAAAGCCCGCGACGCCGCATCTTCCGCAGCAGACACAGTCCAGGACGCCACCGCCTCCGCCGCAGCGTCAGCCCGCAGCGCCTTTGACCAAACCGCCTCCAAACTCCAAAGCAAATCCGCCGAATTCCCACCCCGAACTCCAGCACCTACCGCCGCATCATCCTCCACCAACTCAGCAACCAGCTTTCTCCGCTCCTCCGCTCCCAAGAACAAGATCCTCTACATCGGCAACCTCTTCTTCGAAGTCTCGGCCCAGCAACTCGAAGCAGAATTCGCTCGTTTCGGGACAGTAACCAATGCCCGAGTGGTCAGTGATCAGCGCGGTCTAAGCAAGGGTTTCGGCTACGTAGAGTTCTCGGATCAGTCAGGTGCAGATAAAGCGGTCAAGGAGTTGGATCAGAAGGTTTTCCAGGGGAGGCGCATGGCGGTACAGTACCATGTTCAGCGGGACAGACAGCAGGGACGCAATGATCGTCCGGCGGGCGGTATGGCGAGGGGTGGGGAGAGGTTTGATCGGCCGGCAAATCCGCCGAGTAAGACGTTGTTTATTGGAAACATGAGCTATCAGATGAGTGATCGGGATTTGAATGGTATGTTCCGGCACTCTGTCTTGAGATTCCAATCATGCTAATATGCTTGTCAGATCTTTTCCGTGAAATCAGGAATGTCCTCGATGTCCGAGTGGCGATTGATCGACGATCTGGTCAGCCGAGAGGTTTCGCTCATGCGGACTTCATTGATGTCGAGAGTGCGGAGAAGGCCAAGGAGTATTTGGAGAAGAAGGTCATCTATGGGCGCACGTTGAAGATTGATTATAGTGCGCAGAACAACAGTGGCATGAGGAGGGATGGTGGCGATGCGGAGTAAGCACTACTCGACGTGGAAGTGAGGAAAGCGTTACAAGTGCCGCTTCGTGAGTATCCAACGACGACGTGGCCTTCACTTTGGCATCCAGGGAACAGTGGAAGCACGGCCTTTGGCGAAAATGCGGGACAAGGATACATGGGCCGAGAACTGCCTTACCGGACCTGCCGACTGGAGGACGGGATCCCATCGCTCAGGGCGGAGACGGCGATTCTCAATCAGTCGGAGGATGAGAAGGGAGGTATTAGTCCTCGGTCGCTCCGGGGAATGCATATTGGAGGCGCATGATTGTATTTGATAATTCTGTAGCATAGATGTTTGGGTGGCGATGAACGCCATGTGAGGCAATGATGTACAGCAAACGATCTCTTCGCTCTGTGTCCCCGCTTCCGATTGAACCCTTTCTTCTTCGAAGCAACCAGTCTTTCGGTCAACATGTTGATATCCTCGTGGTCGCGTGTAAAGGGGAGTTGTCTGTATCCTAGCCGTGGAAAGTGGACCCCTACTCCACGAAGCATCATGTGAAGAGCCTCGGTCATTACATCAGCGACTCTCGAATCGTGTTCGGCTATTGCACTGCACATACGACACGTTCCCACGCCTCTACCTGAGCATCTCTTGTCATCTGTGCAGTCTCTCATACTATTATCGACAAACATGTCCTTCCTCGGCGGCCCAGAATGCTCCACCGGCAGCAACCCTCTCGCCCAATTCCAGAAACAAACCGGAGCCGACACATCCCTCCAACGTGACCGCCTCACCTCACGACCACAGCAGTACGGTGGCTTTCGAACACAACAGCAAGCTGGACCAGGCGATCAAGCCTTTCAGGATTTCCAGCAGCAGGGTCCTGGGTTTGCTGAGCAGTTGCCTGCTGATGCGGCGTATTTGGAGCAGTTGGAGCGGGAACATGCTCAGATCGTCGCTGCTGGTGGCGGAGGCGGAGGTGGCGGCGGTGGATGGGCTGGCGAGTTCGCCAAGCAGCCCATGGGTAATGGGTTCCAACCTGAGTTGTTCCAACAGCAGAGCCGGGAAGCGGGTTTCAGTCCCCAAGACTTTGCCAATTTCCGGTCTCACCAGCAGGGTCCTATCCAGCGGGATACGCAGAGTCCGCTAGCGCAGCAAAACTCGATGTATCAACGTCCGCCTATGTACGGCTCTACTTTCGGCGGTGGTGGCGGTGGATTCGGCATGCAGAGGCCGATGATGTTTCAACAGAACCAGTCTATGTTTAATCAAGGTGCTCAGCAGCAGCAACAGTATGAGGGGAAAGGGAAGGGGAGGGTTCAGGAGCTGAGCGATACGGATTGGGAGAAGCAGTTTGAGGAGTTGAGTACGCAGGACAAAGAGCAGGATCTGGATCAACTTGATACGGAGGCTGAGGAGGCGATTGAGGCGGAACTGAACCAGATGGATAGGTAAGTTTGATCCTTCCTCTCCTGACTTCTCGCATCCGAGCACGCGGTAATCGTTGTTTCTGTTCTGGCAGCGGCTTCGGCAATTTCGAGGACATCTGGAAGACTTATCAGGCAGAGACTAACGCGGCCAGGGATATGCTCGCCGATGACGAACTGGGCCATATGGGCGATTACGATGAATGGAAAGATTTCGACGGCCTCGGGCATGACTTTGACGGGATGAGGACGTTTACCTCGCAGGGCCCGGAACTAGGGAACTATTTGTTTGAGGAGAATAATTTGTTTGAGAACACACCGAATGCTTTCGAGGAAGGAATGAAGATCATGCGTGAAGGTGGGAATCTGAGCTTAGCGGCTCTGGCGTTCGAGGCGGCGGTGAAGAGGGAGCCGGAGTTTGCGGAGGCATGGGTCGCTCTTGGCGGTGCGCAGGCGCAGAATGAGAAGGAGTCGCCTGCTATTCGGGCTATGGAGCAAGCGCTCAAGATCGACCCGAATAATCTTGATGCGCTTATGGGGTTGAGTGTGAGCTATACGAATGAGGGGTATGATACTCTTGCCTACCGGACGTTGGAGAGGTGGGTTGGAGTCAAGTACCCTCAACTTGGTGTTACGCCACGCGGTCTTGGGGATGAGGGAGAGATGGAAGAGGAGATTGGATTCACGGACCGCCATATTCTGCATGAGAAGGTCACGAATTTGTTTCTCGAAGCGGCACAGATGAATCCTGATGGCGCGGAGTTGGATGTAGATGTCCAGGTTGGGTTGGGCGTGCTGTTTTATGGCAGTGAGGATTATGATAAGGCGGTTGATTGCTTTACCGCTGCCTTGAACAGCGCACACCATGGTACATTGAAGCGGGAAGGGGAGGAGCATCTCCTTTGGAATCGACTGGGTGCTACTTTGGCGAACAGTGGGAGGAGTGAGGAGGCTATTGGGGCTTATTCAAGGGCTTTGGACCTCCGGGCTAATTTCGTGAGGGCGAGGTATAACCTGGGAGTGTCCTGCATCAATTTGGGCGTCCTGGAACAAGCGGCCGGACATCTACTCGGTGCACTTTCTATGCATCGTGTCCTGGAGCGCGAGGGTCGAGATAAGGCGGCGGAGTTGCTCAAAGATGGCAGTGGTAATAACGTGGACGATCGCGCCGTGGAAGATCTGCTTCAGCAAAACCAGAGCACAAACCTCTACGATACCCTTCGCCGTGTCTTTACTCAGATGTCGAGGCGGGATCTGGCAGAGGGTGTGGGGCCGGATATGAATCTTGATGCGTTGAGAGGGGAGTTTGATTTCTAACAGATGTCGACGAGCGAACCTCTGGTGCTCGGTGAGATGTCTGCTCTCCGTCCTTCCGGAATGCAGGAAGACTAGTCTGTCGATCGTGATTCGCAGGCTTCCGCAACGAGTAGGCAGGATAGAGGCGCACCGCCCGACACGGCAGCTTTGGACCATGGCGAGCAAGTGGCATCGAACTCATTAGGTCGCCAGCCCGACGTCACGATTGAGGGAATTAATGCCTCTGGAAACTCCAACGGCCGGGAGCAAGGACTCCCTGAAATGACTGAGGCGTTACGCTCGGCTCACGACGAACCGGCGAGGGTCATTGGTCGGATGACGGAGGAAGGGCACTTTATTTTGTTCGATGAGCGTGACCGTGTCAGGAGTGAGAAAGTTCAGCTGTTGCCCGGGGCCGACGACGAAGCGGCGAGAGTCATTGCTCGGATGAGGCACGATGGATACACTATGTCGTTTGATCCGCAGCGTGTACGTTCCGGCAGTGAGACGACGGCCTCGAAGAACGACTCGAGGTCTGATGGCTCTGGTCAACGCCGTGGGATTACGACCTATGCTTCGGGCGGAGAATGGCCATGATTGGTTGTGGGAGGAGGCGGATGGGCATTGGTCGACGCTCCCTAGACTGAGTCGTGAGGCTCGTAATTTTGACGAGAGAATGAAATTGTTGCGGTGACGAATCTCTACTCTATCTGAAAGAGCCCGCTTCTGTAGTGATACATGCATTGGGCGTTGATAGATGTATGCAGAACTATGGCACAGGAGAGACACACTTGCAGTCAGCGCCATGGTGATCTCATCGACCAAGTGGAAGCACCGATCCATCAAGGTATCTTTGGAGCGTCATGCTCGGTGATGCAGCTAACCATGTCTACAGCTGTGCTTCTCTGTGCTGGGAGGCGAACGCAATACCCAGCGGTGCAAATTATGCTATCCATCCGATACATATCGGACATCCAGCAGTCTCAATGCGATCCGACTGATGACTGCAAGGGAGAAGCTGTTGAGCGGAGTGAGTTGACAGAGCGGCAGTTCACAAGACTATGAGTATTCTGGTCCCGTGTACTTCCGACACATTGCCGATAGTGTTTGGTAGTCTAGGAGAGTGTCTTAGGTATTTGCTAAAGTACCCGGTTCGTCTGCGTAGCGATCTAGTCAAAGCACGAGGCCATCGGCTCAGTTTGGCGGGGAAGAAATGGACAATGTAAGCCAGACTCGTGCATGACAGGATGGACGAAAAGAGTGTTAGGCAGTTGTAGAGGTTACATACACCTGCTAGAAAAGAATGTCGCGACTTCCTCCAAAGATTCAGTACCTGTTCGTCCTGCAAACCCATCACTTCTCGCCCAAGTACTCACTCCACCGCTTGCCATTCTCCGTCCTCACCACACTTTCCATCGAGCATCTGACATTTAACCAGAGACCTTCATGTTGGCGGATCCAGTGCCGCTGAAAGCCTCGACAGCCATGACCTGGTAGTTGAAGTTGGAAGCGGCGAAACCGCTCTTCTTCCACGCATTGAAGTGGTTGCCCTACAGATCGATGGTCAGCCCATGTGTACACAGTCAGTGCCTGTCATGGAGATTGTCTTACCATGGTGACAGTGCCGGAAGAGCGCTTGCTGGCGCGCACAGAGAAGTACTGGCCGAAGGTGTTGGTGCCCTTGATGGAGGGTTGGTTGACCTGGGTGTGCTTGCAGATCTTGTAGCTGGAGCCGTCGGAGGTGACGCTGCCCACGTTTTGGGAGCCAGAGACGGAGCAAGGGTCGTAGGAGTAGTTCTCCACGACGTAGTACTCGGTCAAGGGGCTGTTCAACCAGCCTGCGAATATGTTAGTGACAGCCGATCGAGAGCATGAGTGAGGGTCCGAACCGTAAACGGCGAGGTAGGACCCCGAGTTGGTGCTGTAGCTACCGCTGAAGGTGATGGATCTGGCGGAGCCAGTGGTCCAGCCGAGACCGACAACGAAGTCACCGGGGTTATTCCAGCTGCACGAGAAGGTGCCGGCGCCCTGGTTGTACTTGCTGCAATCGGGAGTCAGCAATTGTTGGGCAAAGTCGTTAAGGGCAGCATACTAGTTGGCCTTGTTACCATTGTAGTTTTGGACGTAGTTGAGAGAAGCACGCTTCTCAAGGTTGATGAGCTCCGCAGGCTCCTCGACAGTCTCGACTGGGAGAGGGCTGGCGGCAGCGAGGCCAACGAGGGCAAGAAGAGCAGCGGTGAACTTCATGGTTGCTGTTTTGAAAGGAAGGACAGTGAGACAAGCCTGTGTTTGTGTGATGAAGTAGAATGAATGTGATGATGAACTGGAGCAAATGTGAAAGAGAGATGTTGTTATATACCTCTTGGTTCGTATCAAGATCCAGCGGGCTACGGCCCATCTCTACAAGGTTGATTCAGGCTATCATGGTGATACCCGAGTGCCTGTCTACCACAGATTGATGAAGTTGCGACTTCACCCAGATGAAGGATATCGTTGCCAAGAGGGCGATATAGGTGCCCAGCGGTTACGAGACGACGGGGATAGTGTCCGAAGACTCGTGAACAGTACCGCATCTCCACTTTGATAGCCTGAGACCCAGCAGTACAACGAGCATGTTTCACCTATGTAAAGATGTGGCCCAGGTGTCGTCCGGGTCTGCCTATTCCACGCCTGTGATCCTGGCGTAGATGACCGGTGGCGTTTGATTTCTTGCTTGTGTATGAGGCCACTTCAATGTAAATCAACAGTCTGTCTTGAGCATAGCGTGGTGGGATTTGTGAGGTGCCTCAAGCTGAAACGCTTGATGAAGCGAAGTCAACTTCGATTCAATGGCTCGTCTTGGCTCCCTTGGCAAGTCGGTGCTCCTTCGGCCGGAACACGATCGTTGTTTTGCTTTAAGCCGGCCAGATGACCATCGCTATAGCGGTAAAAGTATGCTCATCAACTTCATGGCCAGATCAGGAGCCCCGGGATGAAAAGTTGGAGCTATAGAGTCTAGACACGACGCACGGCCGAAGGATTGTACCTGCAGGACAAGCTCCACCGCCAAGACTATGCTTGTTTGGCCAACATTGCATTCGTACTCTCGGTGCCGCAAGAGATTGCGAGCATGATCTCGGCACCACTCGTCGCGGACTGGTATTCACAATGGCCCCTGCAATAGCTTCACAATTCAACACAACAACGAAATAGCTGCCTAGGGGTTGTTTTCAAGCTTCTCAATTACTTCATCACCTTCTAGTCACACGACAATGTTCAAGTTGCGATGGTACACTGTTCCACTCAATATATCGGAACTTTAATCCTGCTATAGCCTGGGTATCACAAACGACCATATATTGGCTGACAGAAAACCGATCACCCGCGCGACTCCTCAATCCATTTCTACTCAGCGTCATGACCATGCCCTCGCATGCTCAGTGTCAACGCTTCCTGGAGATCCTCGTCGTCCTCGTTCCTGATCGGTCCGGCGACGGTCTTGCTCCGATGCTGCAGCTCAAGCAGACTCTGTTTCTTTATATACTCAAGCACGATCTCCTCTTCCGTCCGCTCCTGGGCTGTCTTCTCTGCCGGCCTTGCTCGTTGTCTCGCCTCGAACTCTGTCTGCGTCATGCCTTCAAGGTGCCCTGGATCGTACGCGGGTAATTGACCAGTGCTTGCTGATAATGCATCTGGCGCTCCTATGCTCTCCGTGACCTTCTCCGATCTCCTTACTGCTTGATCGAATTCGTCGTCTTCCTGATCGTTAAGCGCCATGTCTGAGTTTGAGTCCCAATCGCTATCGCTTACTCTTTGTTCAGTTGTCCGCTGACTTTGCTGTGAAGATTGCATAGCCTGAACGCTTACTACTGGGGAGCCTTGAGCTGTGTCAACGCTAGCTGTAGTGTGCTGCGAAGCCTCCAACTCGTGAAGCGGGCTGTCTTGGCTTCCGCCCAATGGCTCAGGTTCGTATCCGTCGGGAGATTGAAGACCTGTAGATTTTTTTGCAGGGACTGGCCTTCGGCGTGCTGTCCGAGGTGCGTCCGGGTGAGACTCAAGCTCTGTGATAGATTTCTCGGGCGTACTAGAAGGTGTCGTATTCGGGACCAGTCTTCGTATGGTCTCATTGATCTCCGCGGCAGCCAGCGACTGGTTGGAGGACCGCCGGCTATCTATCTCAACTATAACGCCCTGACCATCGCTTGTTGATGTCTCTGAGCTAGTGGTCGGTGCAAAACTTGAAGTACGTTCGCTACCCTGACGAGACTCTTTGCCTTTTTTGCCTTGGCTTTGGTGGACTTCCAGGATATCTCGCATATGCTCTTCGTGCCGGCGGCCTTTTTTCAGATATTTCTGTATCAACTTCCATCGCTCGATGACATCTTCCTTTTCATCGTCGGAGCTTTGTATCCATTCTTCATATCCTTGAGTGGTTCTGGAAGCGATGATGTAATTGTGCGCATTACTACCGAATTGTTTTTGGACCTCCTTCTGGATACCTTTCATCGTGTGTCCGAGCAGACCGAGCTGGAATGTTGTCAGCATAATCTCAGTCAGGCTCCCGTATGCTGCGCTTACCATGCCAGCGCCTGGCTTAGCGATGATCCCACCCACTCCTCTACCTACGCCCTTAGCGAAGCCAAGAGCGCCTTCCTTCTTAGCGCCTTGCCATGGTTGAGTCACCATACCAGTCACTCCATCGTACCATCCGTAGCCAAATTCTTTCATGGCAGCTTGGCCGCCGGACTTAAGGTCGTATACCCGGTATTGTGGACGCACAGTATCGCCCAACATCTTCGGCGCGTTGTGGAAGCCTTTGGTTATACTGACCGAGAGGTCCATGGGTGATAGCAAGAGAGCTTTTGCGAAACGACCAGCACCTTTGCTGCCATGGGGAGTGCCTTTGCTTAGCATATCGTATTCCTTACCTACGCTTGACTTTTCTTGCTTCACAGGTTGACTTGAGCTTGATTCGCTTGATCCGAGGTTCTTTGATCTCGTACTAACGGTCTCATCAGACAAGACCGAGGACTTAGAGAGACTGCGCTGACTCTCAAGGCGTTGAAAAGAACTGTGAGCATCCAGGCTTGACTGAGCCGGAGATACCGGGGAATGCGTCATGGCGTCCTGGCTTGAGCCAGAAGTAGGGGGTTGTACTGACTCCTGCGACGGTGCGCGGCTCGTACGACTTGGCTGTCGCACAGCTTTGTATGTCTCCGTAGGAGTCTCCATGAGGCCCATAAACATCGACGCGAATGCTGAAGTTGCGGCAGTGAAGCCTCCAGATACCGGATCCCAGGGTCCTTCGTCCGTGGTATATTCTTGCGCACGGAAAAGCTTTAGGTCCCGAAAGTCCAGAAGTCCGGCATTAGCCAGTGTGCATGCGGCGAAAGCGCTTAGTCTCATGTTGGTACGTCTGATGCGCCACGCAGCTGCTCGTAATGGCGCAAGGGTACAGCGGATGCGGTCGACTTCCAAATACTGATGGAAAGACTGGGCGCCAATCTCACTTCCTCGCTCTGTCGCGATATTGTTGGCCATCGATTTGGCACGCTCTAACGTTTCTGGCTGCAGGCAGAAATTGATGGCATCAGCTAGGTTTCGTGATGTCAGCCTTCTGTGTGGGATTGGTTCCGGGCCAGCTCCTGCCCGCGCGACCATCGAACCCCAGAATGGCTGGTCTCCGAAAAAAGGCACGACTATTGTCGGACGGCCTGCTGTAATACCAGCGGCAGTAGTTCCTGCGCCACCATGGTGTACTACGCACGAAACGTGCTTGAACAGCCAGTCATGTGGTACGTCATCCACCATGAAGACGTTGCTAGAAACATGGTCGCCACCTAAACCACTCCAGCCACGCGAAAGCAGAAGCCGTTGACCAGAACTCTTGATGGCCTCGAGGATGATGTTCGTCATTGCTTTAGCATCATCTAGTACAATGCTTCCGAATCCAATGTACACAGGTGCTGGACCTGCATCAAGAAAGGCTTGGAGATCAGGTGGGGGAGTATATGAAGGGGCAGTCAAATTGAAGAACCCCGAGATGGTGATATGAGAGCCCCAGTCTGTAGGCTTTGGTATGAGAGCCGGAGACCAGCAATAAGTATGAGGTATCCTTAGGCGCTGGAGCATCCCGGGACCCCATACCATGCTAACAGGCTCTAGCCCGAGACACCTGATCCGAAATCGATTGATGATATCGCCGAGACCTTGCCAGGAGAGGAGTTCGATCATGGCGTAGCTTATGTAATTCACCATCTGGGGATCGGCATTCGAAGACTGGATGTTGGCAAGAGGGTGAGAAAATGCTTGGGTCGGAGAGTACGGCATTGTGAACATGATGTGTAGCGGGATGCCGAGCTTCTCTGCGCAATGGATGTGTGCGAAGCTCGGCGGATTAGCGATGATGCAGTCGGCCACGAATGGTCGTGCTTGAGTTGTGGCGGAGTCATCATTGTCTTGGGACTCTCCTAGTTCATTGCCAGCTTTGTAGCACGATCGCCAGCAGCCTTGGATGTACTCTGCTATGTCTCGTCTTCGCCGTCCAACGTCACCGCTTGCCATGGTCTTGAAGCCCGGCATTAGTCCAGGGTTCTTGACCATGAAAGCCATTAGTTGTGAAGGGTCGCCACCGATGCTGAAGAACTCCAGATCGTGCTCCTCCACGAACTTTTTGAACGTTGGATGAGTTGCAAGACGTACTCGGTGGCCGTAGGTGTTCTTCAAGACCTTGCCAAGCGCAATGAAGGGCTGGACATCTCCACGTGAGCCTACGACTTGGATGACTATGTTAAGTGGAGGAGGTGGTGGGATGCCTTCCAAACCTCCTAGAGATGGATGGATATATGGCGCTGGAGCCGGGCTATCAAGGTCGACTTTCAGCTGTTGGCGTAGAGCAGGAGTGAACACCTGAGATAGACGGCGGTTTAACTGGTTGACACGAATATTCACCCGGCCATCGTCGGTTACATGGGCCATGGTACCCATGCCATTCTTCTCGCTCCTAATCTCGCCATAGATGTCGCCGTATGCTGGAGGAGGTAGCTCGTCATCGTTACCCTCTGGGGTGACCAGATCGGTTGTTGACAGAGATGGATCCTGTGATATGAGTGGTTCGGGCTCCAGTCCAGCAGGAGTAGTGCGCTGCAGGCGCTGAGCCATTGTTATTCAATGGCAAGCCGCTGTATCAAGCTAGAATCGAGTTTCGTTTTGGAGAAAGGAGTCCTCTGCGGATGGTGTTTGCGTGAGTGGTAGTGACCGCGAACTGTAAGCAAGGGGGGTCCTCAATGGCAGGCAATCCAATGCCAGATGGGACTACACGTGAAGTTATGGCATCCTTCATGTACTTTGGCTGAAAGCGAGGCAGCAGAATTGAGCACCAAGGCAGCGACTTTCGCACTTGACTGCGCCGAAATAATGCGTACCGTAATACAGTGCGGTATACCATCAGCTTTCGTGTCTCACATCTGCTTCGCCTGCATACAGTGGTGGCTTAGCCTACAGCATTATGTACAAGCGCAGGAGGGACATCATCTATTCGTGCAGATCTGGTGCGCGGTGACGCGCTTTTCTGTCGGCTTTGCACGGCTTCAACATGATGGCCATGCGTCGATCTCGTGGACAAAGAACAAGTTCTACAGTCATGCAAATAGACTCTCTGGCGGGTCCGCTCCACTGCATCGAGCTTTCAATTATCTCAATATTCGGAGGTGGTGAGAAAGCGAAAGATCGAAAAGGTATGAAAACGGGATTCCAGAATGCCAAGCAATGTCCGAATGTTCGAGCCATCCAGGATTGCCTTGAGCATCAGCGAAGTCTCTTCCTACAAGCTTTTTTGGCAACACATAACCGGCATGGGACATATATCATCCACGTGGTAGGACGGAATGAGATGCGAGAACGTACGACAGACGGCTAGCTCAACGCAATTCAGTACCAACAATGGCGCTCGCACTACTTGATCGGCTACTACTCCGTTCTTCTTTACCTGTCAACGCAGACCAAACGTTTTGTGAGACCAGACTACCATCGAATCTATCCTCCGTCAGTAGTAATACCGATGGAAGCCCATTGCTAACATCTCTGCCTAGTATCATCTCCGCAATGGCCTCTCCACAGGACAAACAATATCCCGTCCCATAGCCGTTGAAGCCTGCTCCAATCCATTCACCCTTACCAGGTCGTCCTGTGACCAGCTTAGGCAAGCTGCCAATCAGTGGCAGTCCATCTCGCACAAATCCCATAATGCCAGACCACATGTCTTTTACAATCGGACTTTTGGCGCCAACGAAGTGTCTCGGCAGAACATCCAGAATCTTCTCGGCAGATATGGGATTGATCTTACTATCGTCGCTACTAATGATAACTTCAGGACGGTCGTACTCTCCACCAAGCATCATATAGCCGGAGTCGGGGTCCTGGGTCAGATAGTACAGTCCTGGATCGACAGCCTCTGTCTCTGGGTCCTGGTACGGACTAGCATCGAAGGACCAAGATCGGTGTGCGCCGAGGTTGGGCACTGAGTTACCGAGCTCTTGAGCGCTCATTGTTCCTCGCACAGGGAACAGCTTGCCACGGAGACTTGGCAGCAGATGCGATGTATACCCATTTGTGCAGTACACAACATGAGTCGTTTTGATACTACCTCGTGGTGTGCCTACGGTATACCTGTAGAGTTGCCCATCGTACTTCAGTTCGCTGACTTGCTGTGCGGGTGTGTGCGTCTCGATGAAGAGGCGATCGCCATACGTACTGCATAGATTACTCCAGATTCCTGTCCACAGCCGGTACGGCCACGCAGCTGCAGCTCGACCGATTGCAAGACCGGCGACGTTTTGCATACCACACTTAGTTCTGGCTTCCTCCGGATCAACCAAGCGGAACGGATTTTGGTGATCTGCTGGCATGTGCTCGTTCCACAGGTTAAGAACAGTCTTGATGTGGTCGAACTTCTCTTGGTCCCTGAAAGCCAGCACCTTTTCTGTTCGGCGGATCTTGGAATCCACGACCAACCCATCATACTCCGCGGCAGCTTCGAACGTCTTGTCAATGTTGCGCTCGCTGAACAAGGCAAGCTCAACTGCGGTTTCAACACCAAAGCCGGACACCAGCTCATCGAAACTTGAGAAGCAAGGCGAGATGATGTGGCCGCCATTGCGCGATGAGGCCCCGCTCGCAAGTCCCCGGGCTTCCAGTACCGTCACTCGAATTTCGTGATCGCTCTGCAGTAGGGTCTTGGCTACACTGCAACCAGTGATACCAGATCCGATGATCAAGACATCAGTGTCCTCGGGAAGTTGTGGCGATGACAGGTTCGCAAGCGGATGTAGAGGTATCTGCCAGTGCGGTGTTGTTGGATCCTTGACTGGTAGACCTGGATCTCTGTCCATGGCAGACATGTTGACTGGCGGCCTCAGGTTCTGGCGATGGCGAAGATGGAGAAGTAGTCGGGTTCACTTAGACGACGCAATCTGATGCTCGCATCTGCTCTGAGAATGCTTCTGCATATATTTTGAGCTGAAAGTGGTCCAATGCCACCGACAGCATGAAAGTCGGAAGACGGGATGCATTTGTAGACTGTTCTCAGAGTCAAGCCATGAAGCACGCCGTCGTCGTCAATCCCACATGGCTGAGTCGTGGTCCTTATCGTAGCCCGACATAGCCAAGGCTGTACTAGTGCTCGACATGGTATGCGTATGCGCGCTTGGGCCTGGAAACCTGGGAAAGGTGGAGAGGGTTGGGTTATCGTGAGCTTATGCCCCGCCCAAGTGTCTCTGAAACGACTCGCTATCTACGGCAAAGCAACGGCCGAGCTTGTGGCTGATAACATGTCGCGCTAACTAGCGGTTATTCCACGAGGTGGTCACGGCTGACGAGGTTCAAGAAGTCGCTCACATCGACGCTCGTCGCAAGGATACTTCCTGCAAACATTTCCATACCTAGCAAATCTACACCTCGTTGTGGTTTCCCTCGTTCGAAACAGTCCTGGCTCATCTTCCAAGATCTTGATAGAAGAGGGAGACAATGGCTTCAACACGACCGCCACCAGGCACCGTGCTTCTAGAAGATCGTGAGTCGTTCCGCGATGTATTCTCCGTTGACATACTGACCGTACCACGTAGTCGAGCATGATAAGCTAGTGTTGCAGCCACGCCCATCAGAAGATCCAGAGCAGCCACTGAATTGGTCGGTACTGCGCAAGACAATCAACTTCAGCATTGTTTGTTTCTATGCCTTGATGGCATTCGTAATGTAAGGCAAAAAGTCCTGGACATCGGCATTATTCTTCTGACATGAACACAGCCTCGACATCGGCACTGTTGTCTGGGGACCAATGAACGAGGAGCTCGGTATCTCTTTCACGAACCTGAGTTACAGCTTCGCAGCGAATTGTGCCGGTCTCGCCGTCGGCTGCTTTCTCCTTGTTCCCCTCTCCATCAAGATCGGACGCCGACCAGTATACATCATCAGTACCCTAGCACTGTTCCTGTCTGCGATCTGGATGGCGAAGACGTACACCGTTGGCGACAACATCGGCAACAATATTACCAGCGGAATCTTCGGTGCTATTAGCGAAAGCATCGTGCAGATGACAATTGCAGATCTTTTCTTCGTTCATCAGCGAGCGCGCATGAATGCCATCTACGTAATCATGGTCGACATTGGTACTTTTCTTGCCCCAGTCGCTGCTGGCTACTGCTCAAACTCGCAAGGCTGGCGCTGGATCAACTGGTGGACGGCAATATTCTTCGGTGTCCTTCTGCTGGCTATGATCTTCGCATATGAGGAGACGAAGTACACTGTCTCCGTTCGTTCTACTGCATCACCTGTCAGGTCGCCACAGGAGATGAAAGCTGTTCTGGAGTCGAAGGACAAAGATGCAAAAGACTTACGCCCCACCATCAGTAGTACGGAGAGCGTTGATCCAGGCACCAACCCATTCCAGAAGAAGAACGTCAGACAACGCTTTGCTCTCGTCACCCTGACGCCAGGTGGATCACGGTCCTTTCTTGCACTGATTTGGGACTTTATCGTCTTGCTCAAGTTCCCCGCTGTGGCATACACAGCGCTGATGTGGGGCGCCACATTGGTCAGTCGTGTCTTTTACCATTCATGAGCATTCCTGCTGACGCTCTTCAGACCTGGTTCTCTGTCATCCTCAATACACTGTCCATATACTTTGTGGCCCCGCCTTACAACTTCAGCGCTGCCGGGATTGGTCTTCTCAACCTTCCTCCGTTCATTGGTGGTCTGATCGCTATCGTCCCTTGTGCCTATAACGACTACATCATCATCTGGCTCGCGAAGCGTAACGGCGGCGTCTTTGAGCCTGAGATGAGACTTTGGCTTGCCTTACTTGGTGTGGTTGTTGGTCCAGCTGGTCTTTGTTTGTTCGGCTTGTCGTTGGCCCAGGTACAGCTCACGTCTTACCGCTCTTTTGATCAGAGACTAATCTTGACTAGGGCATGCACTGGATCGTTCCATGCATCGGGTCGGCGTTCTATGGCGCAGGCCTAAGTATTATAGGTACAACATCTTTGACATATCTGCAGGACAGCTATGCTGAGGTGAGCAGTCCTTCTTTCGGTATCCTGAGTGATGGCTGATGTGCGATTTCAGGTGATTGGTGATGCTCTCGTGCCAGTGACGTTTGTTCGCAATGCCCTTGCTACTATGGTGGTTTTTGCCCTGACGCCTTGGATCAACACTATGGGGTTGTACAATATGTTCGTCTGCGCAACATGCCTTGCCTTTGCACTGTATGCGCTCACGGTCCCCATGCTGATATGGGGCAAGACTTGGCGAGTGCAGACCGCGGCGGCGTATGCTAGGCACATCGAGCGGAGCGGCAATCACGCTTCCATCTCGTAGCATAAGCAGTGTTGTTTTAGTGCGTATCAATCTACAAAACTCTTACTCCCGACGTCCAAGTCTGCATTTTGCGACTTAGGGTTAGTATTTGTATAACCGTATACTATATTTCCGTTAAACTCGCAAAACGTAGATATAGCTCTATAGCTTTCGTAGCTAGTAGAACTATTAGAGACCTTCTATACTTTTTACTCTATCCTAACTAATATAAGGCCTAGAAGGTAATATCTAGAACGTTATATCCTCGCCTAAAGTAGTAAAGCGTAGTATTATAGATACTATTATAATAATTAGTAGGGTAAGCAAGTAGATAGAAAGATAGGAGTAGAGGCTTCCGCTCCTATAACTAATATAACTAATACTCCTTTAATTAGTTAGATTAGATACTACTAACTATTATAAACACGTATATAGGATTAGGTATAGTTTTGCCGCTAGCGGCCTATATCCTATAAAGGCGGGAATAGCGGCTATACGCCTTATCCCTAACTTAGTAGGAATCTACGATCGTATAAGGGATTACCTTATTACTAGGTAAATAAGTAATTAGGGTTGTAAACACTCTAGTAACTACGATCTAGTTACGACTACGGGGGGTAATCGCGACTATTATACGAATCTCCTATATATATAGAATAGACGTTTCTTATATAGGTAGTTTATATTTAACCTAAGTTACTAACCCGCTAAAAGGTTAAACCTTAGAGTAGTTATCTACGCGACCTATCGCTTAGAACTTACTCGTCTAATAAGCTCTAAACCCTATATACCGTAGGTATATATAAGGTGTCGTACTATATCTATAGTATCCTATACGTAACCGTAGGGGGACCGTAGGCTATCTATAGTTAACCTAGGTTACGTAATATATTCCGGCCCCCTATAGGGGGTCCGTAGGGTGTCTAATCCGGATACCTAATAGAATATATTAGCTCCCGTATTAAGCGAGGGGGCTAAGGAGAGGAGATAGAGGAAAAGG